CTAAAATACCCACCTAAATGTCTTTCTGATTCGTTTAAGCTATCTACCTGGGCATTAAAGTCACCTGCTATGAGTACTATATCTAAACGTTTGGCATTCTGAAGAAGTTCAGACAGCTTTCTGTAAAATTCATCTTTCACTTCATCCGAACTGCAGTCAGTGGGAGCGTAGGCAGAAACGACGAAAAGGCAACGACGTGTGTCCCTATACTTCCGAGTTCTTACCGAGCCGTTTAGCCGAGCAGCGCATAGACGACAGTTAACGGGGATCCACTCTAATAGCGCTTGTTCCGCCCTCATGCTTAGTGCTATGCCTACACCTGCCAGTCCACGAGAACTAGCCATCGGGTCGCCAGATACACGGAGGGTGTATCTCGTTGGCTCTCCGTTTTCCCGAGGTGAGGTCTAGTGAATGACCACACTAGGATACTGTATGCGTGTTTCGGAGACACAGCATACATCAATTGTACGAGATTCTAAGGTTTTTGCCAAGGAAGCCTGCTGACCGATTTGGCATAGTGTGCGTACGTTGAAGGCTCCAATGTATAGCTTGGAGCGAGGTTTCAGTAGACCTGGGACAGTGTTTTGAGCACTAGAATCGTTGGCTATGGTGATACTTGAGGAGGAAACCAAAGGAGGAAGTTTAGGTTTGAAAGTCGATGTAGGAGGAATAATAGGAATTGAAGAGGGAGGTTGAATATGAATACAGTGGTCTTGAGTGCTGTTAGAGATATGAGGGCGGTTATCACTTCCCGGTTGCCCACACCGTGGAAGGGTTCTGCTGGAGGTACCTGAAAAGGAAATTGGATTAGAGTTGGTCATAGTGACCTGAGAGCGTGACCGCAGTGCCCAAGGGACAGCTGCTTGAGGTCGGTCACACACGACCTTTTTATGAGTAGTTTTAGTGTTAGCTACGTACTTGTTGAGTCCTTACCGCCGGAGACGGATATCCGTGGGATAAGGCGAGGTGTGCATTTTAGGGTCGACCTTTTCTAACCCCACCCCTCCTTGTGGGAAGGCAGCATCGCTGTCATGCTGGTTGTCTGAAGGAAACACCTTACTGCTGTCACACCTCTGTACAGTCAGCAGTACGACTTCGCCTTCGGACCTTCGTTTTGTTGCTTTTAGTCTTACCGCTCTTCAACCGACCTGTCTGGCATGGTAGGACCTTGAGGAACGGTTGTTTCAGCCAGTGTAGCTCAGTTGCTTCATCACGATAGGCAAGCCCGACCACTACGTCAAGGTAGCAACAACGGTCAGGTCAGGAACAGAGAAAGTCAAGGCACAAGCTGAATATACAGAAACAAACAAGGAAGTGAAGATCATTAGAGCTAAATAGCAGAAATATGTGGAAAACTTAGCAACGATAGAGGAAAAAACTGCAACAGGAGGAAATATGAAACAACTATATGACGCTATGAAGAAACTGACAGGGAAATATAGTAAACCAGAGAAATCGACCAAGGACTAAGAAGGCAAGACCACCACTGAGATTAAAGAACAGGGGAACAGATAGGTAGGATACTTTGGGGCACTATTTAAAAAACCCACCGGACATCGAAGCTGTACACACATACCTTCCTATAAATGTCACTCCCCTAATGATCGGAGAAATCAGGATGGCCATCAAACAAATCAAGAGCAGGAAAGCAGTAGGACCTGACAAAATACCAGACGAAGCTTTCAAGTCAGACATGGAAGTGACTGTAAACATGCTACACATTCTCTTCAGAATAGTTTGGGAGGAAGAACACGTGCTAACAGACTGGAAAGAAGGACACCTCATCAAAATACCAGAGAAAGATCTGAGCAAATGTGAGAACTACGGAAGGATCACATTACTGTCAGTACCAGGAAAGATTTTCAACAGTGTTGCTGAACAGAATGAAAGACTCAGTAGACGCCCAACTTCGAGATCAACAGACTGGATTCTGTAAGGATCGGTCATTCACAGACCAAATCGCGACGCTACAGTTAATAAATAGTTGAACAATCAATCGGATAGAACTCGTCATTATACATCAACATCCTTGATTATGAGAAAGCATTTGATAGTGTGGATAGGAGAACATTATAGAAACCTCTTCGACACTATAGTGTACCTGATAAAATCGTCAACACTATCCGAGATTCATACGATAGACTACACTGCAAAATCGTGAATGGAGGACAGCTGACAAACGCATTTCAAGTAGGGACCGGAGTCAGGGAAGGCTGCTTACTATCTCTCACCCTTTCTCTTTATTCTGGTGGTTGGTAGGATTATTAAAAGCTCCACAGCTCACGGGAAGCACGGAATATAATGAAGAGCTTGTATGCAACTAGACGATTTGGACTTTACAGATGACCTAGCCCTTCTATCCTGTACGCACGGATAAATTCAGGTCAATATAACCAGTGTAGCAGCATCCTCTACATCAATAGGCCTCAAAATACACAAGATAAAAAGCAAGATCCTCAAATACAATACAGAGAACACAAATCCAATCATACTTGATGGTGAAACTCTGGAAGATGTGGAATCCTTCACATACCTGAGAAGAATCATCGATGAACGTGAAGGCGAGGATTGGCAAAGCATGAGCAGCATCCCTACAGTTGAAGAGCATATGGAACTCAAATTAATTGTCAACCAATATCAAAGTCCGGATCTTCAATACGAACGTCAAGACAGTTCTACTGTGAGGAGCTGAAACTTGGAGAACTACTACAACCATCATCAAGAAGATACAAACATTTATAAACGGTTGTCTACGCAAGATACTCAATATCCGTTGGCCGGATACCATCAGCAAAAGCCTACTGTGGGAGAGAACAAACCAGCTTCCAGCTGACGAGGAAATTAAGAAAAGATGTTAGAAGTGAATAGAACACACGGTCAAGAAATTATTAAACTACATCACGAGGCAGGCGCTAAATTGGAATCCTGAAGGGAAACGAAAGAGTGAGTCCAAAGTACACACTGCGTCGGGAATTGGAAACGGACATGAAAATGATGAACAACAAATGGAAACAACTCGAAAGGTTTGTCCAGGACAGAGTTCGATGGAGAATTCTGGTGGACGGCCTATGCTCCACCACGAGGGGTAACAGGCCTAACCAAGTAAAAATTAATTCCTCGTTAAGTTGTGGGAAGTATTTTGAAAGAAGATACTTTTGAAAGTATCTTTATAATTATGTGTAGTAATTTGAAAATAGTTGTCAACTAAGTAAACTTTATTAATCAGTAAAATTTTTATGCGAAATTATTTGCTAAATGGAAGATTAAATCAAATATAGCATAATTTGAAACATAAAACTGCTCTTTTCTACAGGTTTAACATCTTATCTGACACGATGCCCACTTATGATGCTTTACCTACGTTAGCAGTCGGCCAATGACTTGACTTTGATACGTTTTGACATGCTATAAGCATATTCTTACATTGTTGTATCCAACATCACCATAAGCATTTCCCTGCAACTAAAAATTCCCATTAATCAGACTATGGATCAGCAATACGGTCTTGATTATTATAATAATCCTACTGATCTATTAATTCTCTACAAGGATACGAGACATAATGATTTGATTTTATTAAAATATTCGCTTTCTTTACTGTTTCAGTCGTGTACCAGTTTGCTTTTGGTACGAAGGGAATGTTGGCTGGACTCAACAACTGTTTTTCAATTTTGTTACTGATGGACCAAGAATATATGATCTGGAAGGATTTCAACTACCAGAAATATGTAAAACTGATATAACTTGTATTTTTAGACCATGAAATGTTTCAGACAAATAATTTGTCGAGTTGAGTGATAAAATTTGTATGAGTTTGACATAACTATGTCTCTATTGGCCTATTAATTATATGTGAGTATTAAGGACTAAAAGTCATTTTGTTTCTTAACAGTTAAAACCGTTTTGATTTGTTAATATTTCTTATTTGGAATACTTTTCTCTTGCATTTCTTCAGAATGTAATCATTTCATTTTGTATTGTGCACTGCAGTACCAATCAATTTTGTGTCACAAATAAATAAGAGTGCTAACAACGGAAGGTTGGAATTATCATGCCTGACATTCATTATGTTTACCAGATACAATTTAGTCTTAGATAAATTGGTAAAACGCAGGACAAATCGTTTGATGTAGTAGGAAATCTGAGAATTGATGAGGCTCGAAAAATGCAACACAAAGATCGTAACACCAACCATTAAGGTCATTAACGTATTTTTTGAAACGGAGTTAAATGTGTGATCTATATTTATATCTGCTTTGCTCAATATGGTCAAGTGACATGGGACATTGCAGGTTGAAAACACAAAATTGATCTTATTTGAATATCAGTCCTTAGGTCATTACTTATAACTCACGAAATAAACAGTGCAAAGATTTCAGATGGATGACAAGGTGTTAGATCAAATAGTCATCGTTTAACAATTTATATACCTGGAACAAGTTTTCTATTCTTTATCATAGCTACCTGAATCGAACTGCATTTCGACTGACGTAAAATAAATTGAGAGGTGATTTATAGTATTTAAACAGACCGTATGCGACTAGATTTCAAGTTGAACAACAATTTCAAAGCATAAATAATAACTTAGCTTAATCTATAAACTATTCATATATAACCACCGTAATCCAACAAATAAAAAGCATAGTTATAAACAGTCACCACGAAAGAAATCAATTACAACATTAATGTATATATTTCATATCATGTTATCTCTCTCTCTAGAGTACGGAATAATTTTAAAAATAACATGTAACCTTATGATATACACAGAAGAAAACTTAAAAGTAAACAAACAATAAAACAAATTAATAAAGAGTAATTCTGAATACAACTGTGTGTTATTACAGGAAGTGTACTAACTTTGGGGAACAAAAAAATGTGACAGTAACATTTTCCATATATAATAACAGATATATATGTATTTTTTCATTAATCAGAAAAATGTTATATTATTAAATATCACTGATTAAGAAAGCTTGTACTGGATGCGCATTACATTACTAGTCAACAATCTTACAGTCCAGATCAGTTTCTGAAGATTCAACGAACGAATAAGTTAGCGGTGACCATGGTGGTTGTAGATATTTACCCGCCAAAGGAGTACAATGTGAACCAGGAGATTCAATAAAATATTTGGATACCTAGGAAAGAAATAACAAACAAAAATCTTTTTATCCAAATAATGAACAAAACTGATTGAGTAAAACATTAAAAACGGTATATATATTTTTATAAGCAGCTTAATAAATGATTTCCGCTTGCATGAATGATAAATTTAGTCATCTTTTCTAAAAAATATATCCGAATGGATTCCAAACTAATGGTGCACATGGGCTCCATGATCCTGAGGGAACAAATGGTGTATGAACATACTGTTGGTCACTGTCTACCATGGGACTCCATCTCCTAATGTTGCTCCACTACCTTGTGGATTAGACCTGTAGGTTAAAAGTTCAGGAGTGGCCTCCTATGAAATAATCTAGGAGATTGAAATTTAAATAATTCCAACGTTTCGTCCAGCAAACTTGTCTGAGCTTCTTCAGGGTAATAATCGAAACCAAGATCATCAAAGAAATATATAGCGTTTTACAATCAAATCAAATCTATACAGTGTTAATCCAATCACATTTAGATGTTGACTTTAGTAAATAGGAGAACATGAGTCAGTTAAACATGAACAATGAGAATATAAATGACTGAAAGAATTATGTGTATGTATGTGTAAGATTGGATTATTAATAGTTGATATTCGGTGTTAATTTGTTTTTGTATGAAGGAAAAATAAAAGTGTAAGATTTGCAAAGGAAGAACAACAGAATATTGTCTATGAGATCAACTGTCGTGATTGTAATGCTGCGTATGTGCGCGAAGCTTCAAGACAATCGAATGTGAGGTTGAAGGAACACAAACAACGTTTGAGAAATGTTCCCGAATCCTCGGTTGATCTAAAGAAACTTGAGAATAGGTCTACGATAACGTTACATGCATTGGAAACAGGACACAAGACCAATTTTGAAGGGACTAAAATACTTCAGAAATGTTTTAACACAAAAATCGAACGATGAAGTGTGACACATATACATTCGGTGCATCATTATACCAATATTAACGTGTTTAAATAATAATAAAGTATCCATTTAATTGGGCATCATCATTAGCTATTAAAAAGTAAGCATAGCTCAAAGTCGGATGTATTGACTTGTACTTGATAAATATAGTGCATTAAATTACCAACTATATTATATCGATCATACTTACTATATAAAAAAGCATATTTCTCTGAACATCGGATTCACTAATTTCTTTACCAAGTTTTGACGGGTATAAAGGCATTGATTCGATTTGTTTTTCAAGTGCTTCAGCCTTTAAAAAATTTACGACTAGTTTCCCATATTCCTCTGGATTATAACCAAGTTCATTAAATGTATTTCCTGATGAGAAATATGTATATAAGCAAACAAAACAACCATAGATTATAGGAAATAATGGTTATGACAATACGTTAATAATAATTAATTAAATCTGGTTAGTGAAAAAATTACACTTAAAAATAAGTAATTTCTATCTTTGAAAAAAAATTATAATGGCAGATCGGACGGAAAATTATTTTATCTTCTGAAGCACATTCACGTCAATATAAGATGAAAATGGAGAAAAAATATTATCAAGAATCTTCCTAAGTTTAACTATGACCACAAGTGAAATAACCTTATGTACGATTGACAGGCTCTTTTGGAACTTCTTTCAATGATAAATATAGCGAGAATGGAAAATCAATTTAGACTCCATATTTGTCACTGTTTATTTACTTTATATGGTACAATGAATATTAATCCCAAAATGTCTATTAACTAACAACTTACGAAAATGTGCAATACATAGTTTTTATATAAATTTTTTATAGAAAAAGAATAAGATAAAATATGAATATCATAACTCTTGGTAAACTGAATTCTAACGTGTAGGAACCATAGAAAAACAATATACGCGATTATCATAGAAGATAAGCTAATTAATACACAAGGAGAGAAAGAGAGAGTGAAAAAGCATGAATAGGGTAAGTATAAAAATGGGAAATAGGCTAACAGTTTCGTTAGAAAAAGTACAAACTGGTGAAAAATATCTCTGCGTAACCACTGAAACGCTTGTTCTACTGGTTAGTAATTGGGAATACAAAATTTCAAATGACACCAGAGCAGAATGAAAGAGAAGCATTTTACAGGTTACACAGACTAGTCATTATATACAATTTACATACATATATGTACACCTCCTACTTGATAGTTCAAGGTTGATTTGATAACGTTAGTTTGATTTCGTAGTATGACAAGACAACAGCTAATTTATAATTTGCTTGGTCTAATCAATATCAGTCAACAGTCTTAGTACATTAAATATTATTAAAAAATAGAATTAAACAACGAAAATAGTCATATAGAAATTGCTTACTCTGTTCTTCAGCGCTAAGTGATAAATATGCATTGAGGATGGATTCATTTTCTACAGTCATCAGATACGGAAATCTATAACAAATAAAATACCCCATATATATTTCCATGAAATGACATAAATTACTAGTGTAAGGTAACGATTGATAATAATTAGTAATTACATAATTTATAAAAGTCTCTATTGTTATTCTTCAAAAAGCACCATACAAAATTACAACGAAAAGAAAACATTCATTTGGTCAAGTATTTATATATATATATGTCGACATTCGGGAAAAAAGCCCCACATCACAGCTGAGTCCTCATTAGTCGAAAGCATAATTTAATTATACCACTAGGTACATAAATACTAAGAATTTGTGGTTCCAAAATTACAGAAAACGAAATGAACTTCCTAAAGATACTTATCGAAAACAGGTATCCATCGGTATTTGTTGATAAGAAAATAAAACTCAAACCCCCTTAAGTACAAATAGTCTCTATATCAAGGAAAATTCTTTATACGAACGTTAATTTCAAAGGTGATTTAACAGCAAGCATCCTGAAAAGGACAACTTCCGACTCTCTCAATAAAACGTTCTTCGCTTAACCTTGCGATTATTGTCATCAAGCTGACCAATATTCAGTAATAATCTAAAGTATAAACTCTTATTTGACCAATTCCATGTACATTTAACAATTTACCTTTTCAAGTAGAGTAAGATATATAGGTCGTTCGATGCTTACTTTATGCAAAAGAATTCAGTTCTATCTTCACTATTGACCTTTTACTTGCAAATGATTTGTTTTTGTTTTTATGATTCTCCTGATTACAGGCGAAACCTTATCAAGCTGAGTATTCCCTCTCCAACTACAATTCCTTATCTATTTCCAAGATGAATATTCAAGCTCTCAACACCTAAGTTAGTATCAGTTTCCTTAGTAAGAATAATGTTTATATTTATTTAAATGCGCTGTTCTCATATATAATTGCTCTTTAATTAGCCAGTTCAGATACTGAATAGTTGTTTTCTTAGTACAATATTATATGTTTGTTCTGTTTGTCTGCAGTGAAGTAATCATTATTATATAATAGCTACAAAAATTTTGAGAGGTATTATTGTTTATTTAAGCCAACTACTATGGAACATTTAACAGGTCTTAATGGGAATACTCTATCATTTCTCACCAACTCATTCATGATTTTTGTGTTTCTTTATACTGAATATATGTAGTCTGCTGACATCTTAGGACATTGCTTTACTATTTTTATTCCTATTCATATTCTTATTATTTTATTTTAACACAAAAATATTGGTACAAAGGGGAACCAAATATATATGCGCCACACAAAACAATGAGAATTTAAGGAGAAGGGAATAAAAGGTAAGGAACGTAGGGAATTATAAAAAAAAGAGAACAATAATGGGGGAGACGGAAAGGTACACTCAGGAGAAATCTTACAGTTAAGGAAGATCAAACAACTTTTTGTGAAGAAAGTAAAAGAAGGTTACAGCAGGATCGCCACTGGCTTCTATTCTGAGCCATATCTGATAACGCCTCTAGCCACTGCGTTACACCATCTCTCGGACCCCAGCCAGGGAGTCGTGAAGGACCAACACAAGCCAGCCCTTTGCAGCTTTCTTTCATACCACGACGCCATGTCATACACTGACCACCTCTCCGCTTTTTCCAACCAGTCCCAGAGTCGGCAAATAATGCACGACGAGGAATTCTCTGGGACGACATTCGTAGAACATGTCCAAGCCACCGAAGTCGGTGTTTCAAGATGGTGACACTAATGGAATTATCGTCTCTGTGCCCGAACACACGATGCCGAACCTCTGCATTACTAACATGGTGTTGCCACTGGATGTCAGCAATCCTTCGGAGACAACGATGATCGAACACAGAGAGTCGTCTAACATCCTCAGCTCGGAGAGGCCAGGTTTCACAAGCATAGAGCAAAACTGCTCTCACCGACGCGTTGTAGATCCGACCTTCTACAGCCAGACTAACATCACGAAGGCGCCAAAGATGGCCCAGATTGGCATAAGCCGCTCTGGCTTTCACTATACGTGCATTGATCTCATCACTCACTCACACCAGCACTTATGCAGCTACCTAGATACACGAACTTCTCGACTACTTCTATATGCTCACCATCCAGAGTGAGTACAGGATTAGAATCCTGCCAGTCTTGTAGGAGTACTTTGCAATTCGAAGGTGCGAAGCACATACCATACCTACGGACATTGATTGCCAACTGATTAAGTGCGGATTGCATGGCTTGGGCATTCTCGCACAGTAAGACAATATCATCCGCATACTCAAGGTCGAGAAGTCTTTCTCCAGGCAACAGATCCACACCACCATTACTTACATCTGTCAGAGCTGTTTCCAGAATGTCATCGATGGCAAAGTTGAAGAGGAATGGTGAGATTGGGCAACCCTGCCTGACCCCACTGCTCGAATGGAATAGTGGAGAAAGGTGATTGTATGCCCTCACTCTGCCTGAGGTGTTTGTGTATAGGGCTTTTAGGATGTTAATAAACTTCTCAGGCACACCCTTCTTCAATAGACAATCCCAGAGAACAGTTCTGTCCAACGAATCGAAGGCAGCCCTGATATCAAGAAACACTACGATTGTTGGCCTTTGATAAGTATGGCGGTGTTCTAACACTTGGCGGAGGGTGAAGATATGATCAATACATCCTCGACCAGAACGAAACCCAGCATGCTCCTCGCGAGTCAATCCTTCTCGGGTTCTGAACAACCTACGAAGTATGACGGAAGCCAATAGCTTGGACGCAATCGGAAGTAGACTTATCCCCCGATAGTTGTTACAGGAACAACGAGAACCCTTTATAAAGAAAGGGACAACTATCGACTCATTCCATGACGTTGGTACATTCTCTACTTCCCAGATCTTTGTAAACAACGTCGTCAGTCCCTTAGTCAAAAAGTCACCACCATCTTTAAAAAGAGCCGGAGGTAAGTCGTCTGGGCCCGGTGATTTGTAACGTTTCAAGAGTTGGAGTTCCTTGCGGACTTCCGCCTCATTTCGTGGATCAGTCGTCACCGGACATGGAGGGCAGGACAGTCTGACCGATGTTGCCGGAGCAGCAGGCCAGTTGAACTGCCCTTCAAAGAATTCTGCCCATCGTCCAAGACGTCGATGGATGTTAGTGATTGGCGTTCCGTCATCCTCGCAGATTGTTTCGCTCACACCAGACTTCTTGCTGCCAGTGGCTCGGATGAGTTGGAAGAGCTTCCGGTAATTACCAGATGCAGCTGCTGCTTCCAACTCACTGGCACGCTCCGACCACCAGGCTTCTTGGTCCTTACGCAAGCTTTGCCCGATTTCATTACGTAACATCCTTCGTCTGTGGTCAAACTCACGGTCACCCGGAGTAGACCGACGGGCTTCAATCAGTTGTAAGGAACCAGAAGAAACCCAGTGCTTGTAAGAGGGACGTTTCGCAAACCCACAACTGACTTGACCCGCCATTTTCATGGCGTCATGCAATTGCAACCAATGCTCATCTATACTTTTCGGTGGAGTGGTAGCTAGCCTAGAAGCTAGCTCGGTTCGGTACTTACTAGCAACAGAAGATGCAGCCAGCTTGCTAACATCAATCCTGTGGTGGCGGTCACTTCGTTGTCCACTGAAAAGTAAGGTAAGATTGGCGCAGACCAAGGCATGATCAGAATCCAGATAGGTACTCCAAAAGGAGCGGCAGTCTTGTACACAACCACGCCAGCGATAGCTGATCGCGAAGTGGTTAATCTGTCAGTCAGTCATTCAGTAACAACGTGGAACTTCGTACGTATGTACATCAGTTCGAGTTGCCATACCACATTAGCACAGAGATTCAGTTATCGATTCAAATCCCATAGTGGTAGAGGTACTGAAAGTATAAGTAGAGATAGGGGACATTAAGGTTTGATGATGTTATTAAAGGAGTATAGTCCAGTGGAATAAATTGGGAAAGAAAATAAAGGACATGAAGAATTCAGAAGATTAGAGTTTGAGAGAACACAAAGAGTGGATGCACCTGCGCCATTGCAAACGATTTAGAGCCATGTCATTCAAGGTCTCTAACCATCGGTTGCTATAGTCTCGCGGTCCCCAACCAGGTAGTCTACACCTACCAACATGACTCAGTCCACTTGTCAGTGACTTCATGGATTTCTGCCATGTTTTGATCTGGCCGCCCCTAGCTTTCTTCCAACCTACTCCTACACCATAAAACATCGCACGTCGGGGCAGTCGGTGGTCGGGCATACGCAACACATGTCCCAGCCATCTCAACTGATTAAGTTTCACTACTTCATCAATTGATTTGCCATCCTTACCTAGTATCCGTTTCATAACAATTGAGTTACTTACTCGGTGGTCCCAGGATATACGAGCAATGTTTCGAAGACATCTATGATCGAATACTAGTAACCTACGAATATCCTCTACTCTTACCGGCCATGTTTCACTGCCATAAAGTAGGACAGAACGAACTGCTGCGCAGTAAACACGTCCTTTGGTTGATAGACGGATATCTCGCCTACGCCACAAATGACGCAAGTTGGCAAAAGCTAGTCGAGCCTTTTGTATCCGTGCTGAGATTTCGTCACACACCAGACCACAAGGGCTGATGAGACTTCCAATATAAGTGAAGCGGTCGACACGCTCAACTACTTCACTCCCTATCACTAGTTCGGGTGGTGGTGTGACCCAATCCTGAAGTAACATTTTGCATTTCGAGGGAGAGAATCGCATGCCGAACAGGCTTGCATTGTTGCTTAAAGTAGTCTATGTTCTAGGACCTGACGTAATGTGAATATTTGATCAATGCAACCACGTGCAGGTCGGAAACCAGCCTGGTTTTCTATAGTCTGCTCTTCACGAGCTTTGGTTAGACGTCGAAGTATTATTGAAGCTAATATTTTAGACACTATATTAGTCAAACTAATTCCTCTGTGATTGTCACAGGAGGACTTTTGTCCTTTCTTATAGACTGGTACAATCAGTGATTGAGACCAGTCAGATGGGATTATGTCCAGTTCCCAGATTCTACCTAAGACCTCAGTCAATCTCGCTGCTAATACTGGGCCACCATCCTTAAAAATCTCAGGGGTAAACCTGTGAGGGCCTGCTGCTCTCCCACGCTTCAGATTTCCTATAGCTTTTTCAACTTTGTAAAGAGTCGGAGGACTTACATCAACTTGCCATTCAGGTCGACTGGGGATCGTGGGAAACCGAAGTGTGGCTGAAGGCCAGTTGAACTGATCCCTAAAGTATTCTGCCCATCGATCCAATCTCCTGGATTGAGAATGAATAATATGTCCATCTTTCTCTGCGATTGTTTCACTAACAGTTGGGTTCCTAATACCGGTTTCCTTAACAAGTCTGAACAGTTGCCTGCTGTTACCTATTGCCGCTGCCTTTTCCATCTCTCTTGCTTTCGCTACCCACCACTGTTCACGATCTTTGCGTAGGCTTCTAGTCAGCTTACGCTTAAGCTGACTCCGCTCTTCGTTATGTTCAGAGCCAGATGGAATGTGTTTTCGAGCATCTATCAGTGCGGTAGATGCTGCTGAGATCCAGTGTTTCTCCCTAACCTTATGGTTTACCGTACTTGCAGACATCACTGCTGTTTCTACAGCTTTTCGGATGTCATTCCATGATGCCTCGGGGTGGGTATCACTTACATGGCTGCCTAACTGTTTTTCTAGATGTTCCTGAAATAGACTCTTAGCTTGACTATCAGTTAGTAGGACCCTAAGGGGTTTCCTTGCAGCATGTTTCCTACGTCCAGTAAGACGTAGACAAATACGCGCTCGCACTAGAGCATGATCTGAGTCTAAGCATGTGCTCCAGAATGAGCGAGTCTTCTATCGAGCCCCTCCATCGGTGGCTGATAGCGATGTGATCTATTTGGGTCCAGCGTTGAGACGAATTAGGGGGTCGCCATGTCAAAAGATGTTTTTCCTTATGCTTAAAGTTAGTGTTTGCAAGAAACAGGCGGTTATCTGAGCATAGCTGCAACAGACGGTCGCCGTTATCTGTTCTTTGAACCGCGACACCATAAGATCCACCCAGGTGTCTTTCCTTTTCGCTTAGTTTACCTACTTGAGCATTAAAGTCACCAACCACTATTACTACATCTGAACGCCTAGCTTTTCGGAGAAGGTCGGAAAGCTTTCTGTAAAACTCATCTTTTACATCATCTGAGCTGCAGTCAGTGGGACAGTAGGCAGAGACGACGAAGAGCCAACGACGAGTGTCCCTATCTTTTCGAGTCCTTACTGTTCCGTTTAGTCGGACAGCACACAAACGACTGTCTACTGGGATCCAGTCTAAGAGAGCTAGTTCTGCCCTAGGACTCAATGCTATACCTACGCCAGCGAGGCCACGGGATGCAGCATCAGGGCTTCCAGATACACAAAGCGTAAATCGAGTTGGTTCGTTACTTTGACATGGTGCAGTCAAATGAATGACACTACTAGGATCCTGTGTGCGCGTTTCGGAGACGCAGCACACATCGATGGAGCGAGATTCTAAAGTCTTAGCTAAGGAAGCCTGTTGTCCTATTTGGCACAGTGTTCGGACGTTGAAAGCTCCTACGTGTAGTTTGGAGCGTGGTTTCAGGAGACCAGGAATAACTTTCCGCGTACTCGAATCGTTTGCACTAGCGGGGCGAGGTGATAAAGGGACGTGAGAAGGGTTAGTCGTGGAGATAAGAGAGTTATTAGGAGGTGTATGAAGGATTTGAATGTGACCAACTTGGTCTCGTGTGCTGTTACGGGTATGAGGGCTGATATCACTTCCCGGTTGCCCACACCGTGGAAGGGTATTTCTTGAAAGACCTGAAAAGGAAATCGGATTAGTGCTGGTCTTAGCGACGTGAGTGCGTGACCGCAGAGCCCAAGGGACAACTGCTTGAGGCCGGTCGGGCACGGCCTTTTTGTGGGAGGTTTTTAATGTGTTAGCTCCGTTCTTCAAAGGGCCTTACCGCCGGAGACGGAAATCCGTGGGGTAAGGTGAGGTGTGACATTTTTAGGGTCAACCTTTTCTAACCCCTTCCTTCCTTGTGAGAAGGCAGCATCGCTGCAGATGCTGATTGTCCGAGGGAAACACCTTACTGCTGTCACACCTCTGTACAGTCAGCAGTACGACTTCGCCCTCAGACCTTGAGTTGCTGCTTTTCGTCTTACGGTTCTCAAATCGACCTGCCTGGCATGGTAGAACCTGCAGGAACTTGAGTTCCAGCCAATATAGCTCGGTTGGGTCATCACGATAGGCAAGCCCGACCACCACGTCAAGGTAGCAGCTACGGTCGGGAGTGGTCAATCTGAGTCCAGGTTTGAGATGCAGAAGGAGGACGCCAGGTGGCACATCGGCGATGACTGTGCCGAAAGTTAGTGCTAGCCAGAAACAGGTTGTGGTCTGTGCATATTTGCAGTAGACGTTCCCCGTTATCTTTCCTGTGACCAACAAGTCCCCATCGGCCACCTAAACAACTCTCTTCTGTGCCTAGACGCCCGACCTGAGCATTCAAGTCTCCAGCTAGTACTACAATATCTGTCGAACGCACTTTCTGGAGAAGAACAGTTAACTGGTGGTAGAACTCATCCTTGATTGCATCCGGGCTGCAATCTGTCGGGGCATAGGCGGAGATGACGAAAAGACATCGTTTCTCACGCCGATTTCTTCTTACTTTGATGGAACTTTCTAATCTAACAGCACATAACCGACTGTTAATGGGGATCCAGTCGACTAGTGCTGCCTCAGCTCTTGCGCTTAGTGCGACATCAACGCCAGCAAGACCAGACGAAGATGCCACAGGGTCCCCGGATAAACGCACATAAAACAAGCTTTTTGAAGTGACAGATGGAGAGCAAACTTGTAGTACTTCACCAGATTCTTGAATACGGGTCTCGGATAGACAACAAACATCAATATTAAGACTTTCCAAAGACATAGTCAGCCCTATCTGTTGTCCGACCTGCATAAACGTGCGAACGTTTAAGGCAGCCAGTTTGAATGGTGCACGTGATTTCAGAAAAACTGCTTCAGGATTCTTATTCGATGGTAACATACAACTTTCAACCAGGCAGTGACACGAGAACGTTTAAATAGAGCCGAATGTTCACCATAGGCGAGCTGCTGTATAAGTCGAAAAATAAGGATAGACAGAGTGGAAATAAAAGAGTGTGAATAAATGACGTGGTAAATAATAATAATAATAATATATAATATATAATATATATGCGCCACACATATCTCATTGGATATGTGTGAGGGCTGTGATACTGCCCGGGTGCCCAAACCGAAGCAGGTGGTTTTCTTAGGGGGCCACACCCGGAGCCTTCGACTTGAAGATCTGATCCACAAGGCAGTGGAGCATCGTGAGGAGATGCAGTCCCATGGAAGCCGGTGACCAACGATTAGTTCATACGCCATTTGTTCCCTCAGGATACTGGAGCCCATGTGCACCATTGGTTTGGGATCCGGTTAAAGCGCCGGACGTTCGCTTTTCGTCCTCTCACTTTCATAAACAACACCCTCGCCACGAGAAGGCAGTGAGTAGGACTTCCCTGGCAGAGGCTATATACGCGTGGCCATGTGAGAGCATTTCGAGAGGGTGAGCGGACTCTCCCCACTCTCGGCCGTACCAGGGCATTCGGGTCTGGATAAGATTGTCGTTGAAGCAAACTTCTTTGACTATCTAAACAGGTTTCAGGCCAGACAACTAATATTCTAAGTCTATTCGGCCTAAATTAATGTGTGGAATATCAAATGAAAAACCTAACAACAAGAGTCTAATCGACTAAATACCAAAAAAATCACAACACACTTTCTGTGTCCATCTGAAAAGTGCTTTTTTGGCAGGTTCTTAAATTAAACATTCAAATAATTCGATCTCCATCTGAGAGCGAGTGCAAAACCTTGATTCTCGAGAAAAGTTGAAAAATTGGATGAGACAGAATAAGTTAAAACGATCTAAAGCAGAATTCGTCTGCTTGATAGTTTACAATAACTGAATTACTATTTTATCGTAAGGGTCTGTAAAAGGCTAATACTAGGCAAATAACTGTGATTAGGACATAATTTATAAAATCATCATTATTTACAGTGTCGTTACTTCTCAAGAGATTCAATGTGTTGAATTATAAGGAACTTAGGATAGTTCAGCCATTAAGTTATTTTACATAATCATACTCATCTACTTACTTTTCCGACAAACTGATATCCCTTATTGATTTCACAAATAACATTGATATTATCTTCTACGATTATCAAGTAAAATTTAAAATACAGTGTAAGTTCAATAACATAGAAATATTGCTTTCGATTCTAAGTAATTATTAAATGCGAAATATACCGAATTACACAAATTCGTTACTTTTTCGTAATTCAATCAGTAACGAGGAAAATATATAGCGACAATAATTCCTAATTAGCAGGAGAAATACACACCTTTTCTCATTTTTCATGTTTCTATTTAAGTTTATGGACAGTAGAAATGTTCAGTCAGATATTGAAATATACAGAGCTCGAATAACAGCTAATAAACAAAACTTACTGCAGACCAGTATTTGGTCTCACTATGACGATCAATTAAAATTTGATCAAAAATGATTTCATTATTTTTTTATGTCAAGAAAAGTTATTTGAAAGTCATTGATCATGTACCCATTCAATCGAACCAAAAAATCGTATTTTGATTTAATACTACAAAAATTATATGCTTTTTTTTAAACATACCGATGCTTTAATAAACCAATCAGTAAATGATTGCCTCTGTTAGTTGCACGTGAATGATCATCTCTGTTATAGCGAGAGAACAAAACAAGTAGAGACGTTGAGAAATTGTCAGTTAAAACACTTCCTAAAATATTTAGTATATAAAGGGTTCAAACTAGTCTATAAGTATCATAGCAGTTAGTGTGCTTCAATAGCTAAAAACAGTGTACTTTCTTTTTTATTCTACCAGATATTTATTTCAACATTTGCATTGATGATACCAAATTTATTTTGCTTATTTACGATACATTTATACTCACACAGACAAACAAATACGTACTAGAAGTTATTAATAACTACTGAATCGGTTGACAATAATTTGATTCCACAATAAAATTGGATATCATTTAACAGGAAAACTTGAACCCTTACAAATACAATTAACTCGTATAATCGGAAAAAAGAATGGTTGCAAACATATTAAAAGTCCAGGAAGAGGATTCTGGAGGTGCTACATTCTCTTACCTAGACGACCAAACTGTGAAGAAATCATTAATCACATACATCTTCTTGAGGTCGACGCTGATGATGCTGTGTAGAAAGACAATTACATCTTTATGATTAAGCTGCTTAATTCAAAGAACACCAGCTAAAAGCTTGTTAAGTATGTCCACTGAACAATAATGGAAGGATGAGAATTTCAAATTCTTAAAGAATCAATTTATCTATTTGAAAGCAGACAGTGATCTGTTACACTGACACTCACTGGTACATAAGAAAAACCATAAACACTTCGGTAAACAGGTCATATACTACAATTTTGAGGTGACAATTCTAGGTATTGAATATGCTAAACTGATACGAAGATTTCTTTATTCCATTATTCAATTAATATTTGGAAGGAAACATGGTATATGATGAGCTCAAGAATACAAATAAAGAATTTTAGATGAAATTGATTTGTACCATAAAAATGGTCAAGATAGTAGAAACATAACTGATGACCGACGGGGAAGTAAAGAATAAGATCTTATATTGCTCATAGACATCCATGAGGTACCTACTCAAAACTGAACACTTCGATCTAATCATGACGTTTTCTGGATTAAAACTATCACAAATACAAAGCTTCGGTATACTTACAATAACCAAGCTAGATTTCATTCAATCAAAAAGGTGTGCCTTACTGTTTATGAGGAACACAATGGAGAGAAATAACCAATGGCTGCCATTCCGAACTATTTCTGATATTAACTCAACCCACTAAGATGCATCATCCTTAAGACACTCATTCAGAGAGTTATAATGAACCAAAGTACACTTAATATAACTTTATATAAACCTTGGCGCCACATACAGGCACGTTAAGAGTTGTGAAGTTTAGAGTTCAGTTTAACATACTTTATATGAAATATTATAGAAGCCAATGGCGATACAGTTTTAATTATCTTAGAACTCAATATTTAGTTGAGATGCGAAAAAAAAACAATAAAAATACCTTTAAAGTGTTCTACAGGATTTTCTCCATTCACTTGACACTTCTGCCGTAACCTTACAGTTATTCTATGTGGGATGCCCTTAGCATTTATGTTGTAACAAGTTTGGGTGTTAATCAAATTCATCAAAAATGTTAAACGACCGATTATTATTCGAAAACTTAAACAAAATTGATCTCAACTATTAAAAGCTATTAATATTAAGTAGCGAAACATCAGTAAAAACAATTTTATTTTGCTTTTCATTCAATGGAAACCACAAAATCCTAATAATAATCAAAAACAATGTCACTTACCCAGTGCTGATAACTTCATCATCACTGCGGCGAATAATAAGCACTGGGCCATCGTAACTTGATTTAACATACAAGACAGAGTGAATATAAAAAATCATCAGAGACTTGGATAATCATAAAAAAGTAGTAATTCTCTACAAATATTATAAATTCGTCTTCAAAATATATGTAGTATCTCCATCATCTTGAACATGTTATTATGGCTCCCAGATAATTTTTCTGACCAATTATCTTGTTTAATGGAATCTGGAGGATCATAAATTAAACTTGTGCTTCCCGCTTGGAATCCAGGTTTCAGAAAAGCTCAGTTTGCTAGCAACATACCTCGAGGCGTTTGAATTATCAGTTTTCACAAACTCATCAACCGATACGCCATCAGTGCAAAGCAATCCACACTATGCCTAACTCCAACCAACATTGCCCACTCGGTCATTCTACAAAACTAGAGCAACCCTTCGAAGACGCCAATGATCAAAAACCTGTAGCCAATCCATGTTATCTGCTTTCAAAAGCTATGTTTCACATACGTAAACTAATACAGGCCAGATGGACATTTCGCCTACTAAGGTAGCATTTATCGCTATGCAAAATAAATAACCGGAAATGTTTTTGTGACATTACGTTGCAACCATCAAACACTAAAACAGTGGAGAGGAAGAACTAAACAACAGTTGTGAAAGTAAATAATTTGGTACTAAAATAAGTTACGAACTAATTCACTTAATTTTTGTAACTATTGAGCTTTATTGTATGTGGGACTTTCAAATTATCGGAAACATTGAAACCCGAATATTACCCAGTACCGATTAAATAGTTTGCTTTTAGTAAATATGGGTCGCTGTCACTACACTATTCTCCTAAACCAATATACAAAGTCAAGGAAGGGAATCAGCAAGTAAGAGAAAACTATATTTCGACATCCCCGGTTAGTTAATACAATGAAAAAAAATGTACTGTAAGATTCACCAACTTCCGTATTGAATACAATCAGATATTCTAACGGGTCGTCTATGTATCTTCCATATAGATTAAATCGCCTCCAAATGCCAAGAGTGGGGTGGTCCCGCCCTCCCTCTCGAAATGCCCTCACATAGTCACGCGTATATAGCCTCTGCCAGGGAAGTCCTACTCACTGCCTTCTCGTGGCGAGGGTGTTGTTTATGAAAGTGAGAGGACGAAAAGCGAACGTCCGGCGCTTTAACCGGATCCCAAACCAATGGTGCACATGGGCTCCAGTATCCTGAGGGAAAAAATGGCGTATGAACTAATCGTTGGTCACCGGCTTCCATGGGACTGCATCTCTTCACGATGCTCCACTGCCTTGTGGATCAGATCTTCAAGTCGAAGGCTCCGGGTGTGGCCCCCTAAGAAAACCACCTGCTTCGGTTTGGGCACCCGGGCAGTATCACAGCCCACACACAAAATTTTGTGTGGCGCATATATATTTGGTGCCCTCTTGTACCAATATTTATGCGTTCAAATAAATAATAATAAATAAATAGATTAAATCGATTGATGATCGAACTAAGTTGGTTGTTTTCCAACATTGACATAAAACAGTCTGCTAGGATTGCGGGTGGGTGAATTTAAAGGCGACCAAACTTCGGATGTAATTAAAAATCGGTTAACGTAAGCAGTAAAAAGGACGTTCTATGTAGCAAAACCGTAACGTTCACTAGTAAGAACCTAGTTTCTGTATCCGTAAAGGATGAGCTTTCTCGTCTGGTCACCTCTATGTGCATCTACCAGTTCACCTGCTCTTGTGGAGTAAGGTACATAGACCGTAGCCAGCGCTTGCTTTCAACTTGGATACGAGAATATGTCCCAGTTTGGTTATACAAAGATGAGAGGAAAGCAATTAGAATCTCCATCCTTGAACATCTAATTGACTTATATCACTCTACTGATCCACAGGTTGATTTTAAGGTTGTTTATGCGATTCGTCCAAATCTATCTAGATTTCTTCGTATCCAACTCTTTAAAACAATAGCAGTTCTTGCCATCCATGAGTTAAAGCCAGAACTGTGCGTACAAGAGAAGTACGCCCTTAAACTATTATTATTACTATTTCATTTCGTATTTGCAAATATCCCCTTCCTCCTTTAATTACGTCTCATACCCTCATCATATTATTCACAGTTGTTATAATTAATATTACAAAAACATTTTAATCATCTTACTTCATTCACATTGTGATTCGTTGCTAACTTATTAATTTTACAAGGCTTTCTATTTGAACACATACAATCTTTTAATGTTATTATTCATATTGCGCAATCTGATATTATAATTTTTCTATTGTATCATCATGCTTATTCCGTGTTTATATGTCCTCACAGAACTAATACATATCATTGTACAACTTGATAATTTATTGGTTGAAAAGAGATCCTTTCGCGGAACTTCGTGTTTTTAATATCAGACTGGAAAAAAACCATTATCAAACAAGTTACTAAACACAAACCTATTATTCAGCAATCATATTTGTGATATCCTAAATAAGCTTGTGCGCAGAAGTAGACTCAATAAATGGCTTTCTCATTCCACCACGAACCAGTCTCAGAAAAAGAGTGGAGACAAAATAAAGGAATTATGAAATAAGAACGATGGTTTGGTGGTTAAAGCACTTGATTTTCAACCATAGATTTTAAACAAAACATAGCACTACGCATACTTCAGTCAAGGCGACTCAATAGCACATGAGATAACTTCTACGAATTATGTGCTTAGCGTCGAGCACAAAAAATATTCGATTGGCAGATGTACCACAAAACAAATAAAAACTTACTTAATTACATGGGATAAATTGTTTAAATCCAGGTACATTTTGACGACAGATTCCAAAACCGGGTCTGAAAAAAAAATTTGATGACAGCGAGGAAGTATAAAAAACACTCAGTACAGTCAACAAATGATTGAACAAAAAATGCATCATCACTACGAGTATACTTTGAAATGACAACTCGTTACCACTGAACATTCGACAAACAGATGAAGATAATCTTCAAAGTGAATTACCTTTGAAAGCCCTTCCCGAAACTTTAGAGAAGGCAAAATATCCAACAACCTATTGAGTACCCAAGCCACAGAGGAAACTTCCCTGACTATAAAGACAAACTGACAGTAGAACACGTTCATTGAAACCTCAGCACCTGAACCCATGAAAATCGAGGAACGATGAAATTCCAGAGATAAAGCAATAGGAAATCCACTCTTTTCCAAGAACTCGACCTGAATCGGCTTAAAGAAGTTTCTTAAATTACCATTCTGAATTCTTAAAGTGTGCGTGTAGTTGGATTTGATGGTCTGAAACTCTAATTCCAAGTGGTTGAGTATCACTGACACATGGAAAAAATTAATTGGTACCCAGGCTTTTTTCACCGTATTATTATCGTTTGGAATGATAATAAAACTCACTCTTTTGTCTTCTTAATTGTAGAGGAGCCTAGTCAAGATGGATGTATTTGAAATTCAACTGAAAATTATTTGAAACGTTCACTCACTAGTTCGCTGTCAGTAGGACAAGTTCCATAATTATTTTATTTACTGAAAAAGTGTTAACAGTACGAAATAATTGACCGTTACAAAATCAAACTTAGGCTCATTCAATTACTTGCTTTTCTGGATCACAAACATTGCCCTTCTGACCTATACTTACTAATTCAAAGGACGAAATATTTATTTGGTAGGGCAGGACCCTCTAGTTTGAACTACGACAGACACATGGTCGTTAATTCGTTTTTGACTAACATTGGTAAAGCTAAAAAGTGACATGACAGTAAAATTTTCTAGACAGCACAATTGCATCAGGTTAGTATACGATAATGCTGGAGTAGCTTACATCATCTGTTTAAAGGAATTAGAAACATAAATAAATAATCTAATCTATACAAACGAGCATTTCATATCGTAAAGAAAATTAAGAATACACGTCTATTAACGGGATCATGATAAGTATTTATCACATTATAGTACATGTACTGAACTCATTAACGTACGGCTTCCCTCGATATTATGTATATGGTTATAGGAAAGTTTAAGATTAAAGATTATTTTAATCGTGAAATAAATAATCCAGTATGTATGGACGGCGAATATATACAGATAAATTTTAAACTACTCATAAGTAATAATAATTAGTAACATTTATTTTCATCCATTGTTGACACCAAATAAGCGAAGGACTTACCAAATATAGATGGTGCAACTCGTCTTGACAGTTCGTCTATATTATCGAAAGTAGCGTCCAAAACCTAATTTGTAAAATAATAATAATGATAATAATAATAATAAAAGACAGAATAGAGAATGCCCAACTGTAAATAAAAAGCCTCTGTATATACGCTTACAATTCAGAGGCAATACACCGAGTGAAATGCTAAGACTTAAGTTAAAGAGATCAATTCAAAGGACTTTTAATGCGGGTAAACTACAACTAATGTTCTCCACACGACCAATAATCACTCCGAGGTTGAAAGATAAGTTACCTAGACTAGCCAGCTCCTTCTGTATATATCAAATCAACTGCTCCTGTGGAGTAAGTTATATTGGCAGATGTTCTAGGAATTTGTACATTCGGGCTCGTGAGCACCTCCCCATGTGGTTAAAAGCAAAGGTGTAGTCAAGACTGTTAACAGCTCCATCTCAGACCATCTAGTTCAGACAGGACATACAGCCAACATGGAGCAATCTTTTGCGATAATCTATCGTGTTAACAGCAGTCTACCTAATTCCATCAGACTGAATCCTACAGACGGCTGAAGCAATTGCTATTCGGATCAAAAAGCCAGAACTTTGCATCCAAAAGAAGTATATTCAGCCACTCCTTTTACCCTGGCCAACTTTGGGGCCAACTACTTAATAATCAATTGTACAATATGGTGACGTAATTTGGTTAATCTTCATTTTACGCCCCAAACTTATTATTGTAATTATTAATATCAGAAGGGATTTTGTGGAGATTGTAGTAATTTCAATGATTAAGATCAAGAGTCAGTTGAAGCCAGACCACCATGGAAAACCTGGAAGCACTGGACGGTCGCTTCGTCCTATCATGGGACTCCTCAGCAGTGCGCATCCACGACCTCGCCCCATGCGAGACTCGAACCCAGGACCTACCGCTTTCGCGCGCGAGCACTCAACCACTGGACTACTTAGCCGGTGTCCAACGGTGTTAATGTCTAACTTCAACTAATCCATGAAATTGAGCGACACATCCACCATTGTCTTCAGTGAGTTACTGTCTCACAACAGACCTGGTTGAACTCCACTGGTCACTACTTCTCACTAGAACTCCAGGATATACCTCTTGAAGCCAGTCACTAGTTAGCATATGTTGATTAATATCAGAAGGGGTTTTGTGAAGATTGTAGTAATTTCAATGATTAAGATCATGAGTCAGTTAAAGCCAGACCACCATGAAAAACTGGACGGCCGTCCAGGTCTTCCAGGTTTTCTATGGTGGTCTGGCTTCAACTGACTCATGATCTTAATCATTGGTATTATAATTGTTATTACTATTATTATCTGTGATTATCATTATTATCGTTATTATTATTATTATCATTATTATCATTATTATTATTGTTATTATTATTATTATTATTATTATTATTATTAAACTTGATAACCTTTATGAGGAATTTATTCAATATCCACCCCTAAATATACTATATCTGACCTAATTCATATTATTCTACATATTACGCAATTTCCGATTATTTTCTCTGTCACCCCATGTTGACCATATTTATTCTGATCATTTATTGCACATTTCGCTTATAAACTGATTCAAGTTAACATTTCATACTAGTCAGCTCCCACATTAACGATCTGATTTGATTTTATATAACAAACAACAATTCTTAATTTACATATTACAATTTCCAAATGATGTACTCTGCCTTAAATCTGGCCAATTTTATGGATTATTAATTTGGATTTATAATTGTAGAACCTGATGAGAAATTATTGAAAAGAATATTCTTCGTTCAAACAAATTGTCGTTAACAGTTATATATATTTGGAAATTTATTCCATGAAAGTGTGAATTTGTTAATAAAATCTTCAGTAACAAATAAAGGGTATAATGGTACGCAATGGTGCAACTTATAAAACAGATAAAAGGAGGAAAATAAGAGTGAAATTTGATTTTGCATGAGAAAGAAATAATAGGAAAAAGTAATATTTTCGCCGTAATTGCCCTACTTCAGACCTCGTGCGAGCGCACTTATATATATGCCGATACAATGTAGATACACAATTCATTGGTAAAAACGAAAGTGGTCCGAAGTCAATGCTGGATATGTTGTCAATTACATAAGTATTGTGGCATCCAAGAATATACTTAGATCTGGCAGTGCAAGTGGTTTTACAAGAAAATTCATTATATAAATTTAGAGTGATGAAATGCACAACAGTAACTAAGCTCATACTCGAATCCTGTTACAAACCAGTTTTTAAATTGAAGTCACTAAAAAAGTACACATATACATATGTCTGTAGGTACATATTCAAATATACTACAATATAAGGTAAATTTATTCTTAAGAGATGCAAGGTGGACAATTACCGGTTTTTTAGAGAATTACAAAGAACAATCATTCGAACAATTTGTAACTACTTCATGAGTGACTATCAAAAGTTAGAGTTTAAATAAATTGGAGTAGAATTACCAATTTATGACTGATAAATAAAGTTATAGAATGTTATGTACCATAGAAGAAACAATATATAGGCACCACGTAACTAGCTTACCAAACCAGCTATATCAGGATAGTTCATTGCTATCCAGGATGCTGTATAACCACCAATCGACCAACCAAGTACGAATATTTGACTAGGTTGAAAATGTAATCGATGTACAGCAAATAAAAAGCATGCTTCAACAGCATTCTGTTCCTTTTCCGGGAATGGTAAACCCTTTAAAAGATTAGTGAAAATAAAATAAGCGAAAATACAAAAGTTACCGGACATAGAGGAAAACCTTATATTGAGGTATTTCTAACTTACAAATAATTATCAAGACTACAATGAAGGGAAGAACCAACTACTTAAGTATTAGGATTTTAACACGTCAAGTGTGTGGCGCATATATATTTGGTGCCCCCCTGTACCAATATTTATGTGTTCAAATAAATAAAAAAAATAATAAATAAAACACGTCAAGTGACAGGCCACTCTAATTAATTCTATTTAAAAACTAAAATAGTATCCTTACTCAATACATGATAATAGTAGATCAAAGCCTAGTACATGGTTAAATTTTACTATAAATTATATGAAGTACAATTTTGCTAACTTCAATCACAACACCAGAGAGGCTAAGACGTTTAAGAACCTCGGAGTGTACGGCTTACGTGGGTTTATCCTTGTTGAAGTAGTGTAACATGACCAACATGAGTAATACAGTGTTAATTACCAAAGACTTTAATAATGGCTCAAACTTGGCCTTCGAGTCCTATATAAGAGTGGTGAATTAGTGATCATGGTATTTCAGCCAATTAGATATATATTGTGATCACGTGATTCATACCAAAATTTAAAAAATAAATAAACATCAAAACAAATGTATTACCGTGCTTTCTCCGAAACCAGGATGATTCCATCCTAAAACTGAATAACCTCGTTCAAGTGGAACCCAGGGAGTTCCAATCTCAGGATATCCACCATTACCTTCACAACAGAGTACCTACAGAAAGCAAAACTCCAGATTAAAGCCGATCGATCGAAATAGTAGGTCTGAGGAGCTTATTATGTTTCACCAAAGCAACCTGATATCAGAATACTTCCGAAAACACCACCAATAACCTTGCTAAACAGTAGATTAATTCGAAATCACATGTAAAATCATGGCAGTAAACATAAAGTATCTGAAGTATAATCCAAAGCACCTAGAAATTCTAATTCTTTTCATTAGCATAACCAGGGAAAACTATTTCAATCACATCATGCTTTAGTTACACAACACTAAATTTTCTAGCCAGAAGCTTGACAAAGTGGACCGAAACTACGGTACCAAAATTCGTACATAATATGAAAAGGTGAAAAGAGTTCGTGAAAAACTAAAGATTTTAATCTTTTTAAGTGCCCCCCTCCCCAAATGCCTTGGTATGGACGAAGATGAGGAGAGTCAGCTCTCCATCTCGAAATGCTCTCACATGGACACACATATACAGCCACTGCCACAGAAGTCCTACTCACTGCCTACACGTGGCGCAGGTGTTCTTTACGAAAGTGACAACACGAAAAGCGAATGTCCGGAATCTCCTAACGTTGCTCCACTACCTTGTGGATTATACCTGTAGATCAAAGGCTCGAGAAGTGCTCCCTTAAGAAAACCACCTGTCTCGGTTTGGGCACCCGGGCAGTATCACAGCCCTCACAAAAAGCAATGATAATTGCTACTAGCCTCATTGTTATTGTGTGGCGCACATGTATTCGGTGCTCTCTTGTATCAATGTTTATGTGTTCAAATAAATAAAAAGATAAATAAATTTGAAGTACAATTAGATGACAGATTAGTATCTTCAAATACGTGGAAACTATTTCTCAAACAAAAATAACCTATGACTTTCACATTCCGATAACCGTTGATCGCTTATTCTGAAATCATTTGATATCCTTTTAGGGATCACAAATAGAATATAAGCACGCAGTTTAGTGTCACGATACATCTCATTGATAATCTTTGTCACAGTCAATTACCGCAGATTAAAAAAGTTAATGCACGTATCCAGCATACAATAAGTCCGTGTAATATGTATGAAATAAGGTCACAAAAGCTTTACGAATATTAGAGTACATAAATTTGATCAACCTTCAAAATAAAAATTTGTGACAATATTACAGTGCTTTATTTTAATTGTTGAAAATGTCCGTGGAAATCCTCAGAAGTCAAGCTCTTCAGCTACTTCGCTATCTCAAGTTTTGCAAATAAATTCGTCGGTCACAAATGGTTTACTAGAACTGGTGTATATAGACAGATTTTCGAAATTCAGGTCATCAATAGTCCGAACAGTGAACTTGGGATCAATAGTCATTCTGGACATCCAATCATTACAACGGTTGCTAAAAAGTTCGATTAACTTGAGAAACTTTGCTTTCTTCAGTGGCTTATTTTATAGGTACCCTTGAACATTACGTGAATTTCATAAGAGAAATATCTAAGTTTCACTAAAAATTTGATGCTGATTAGTCGCATATTTATAGGACAGATAATGTATATCATTAGGAAATTCTCTTGAACATACGACACCAGTTTACTTTACTTAGGAACCGTTTGTGACTCTTATTTCCACAAGTTACTGTTGTAAAATTGAAATTCTACAGTCAAAGCGTAGAAAACTTAGTATGTGGTCATAATATAAGGATTTTACGCTAAACGTATGCTAAAATAAGACAACCAAAGTTATGGAACTAAACAAATGGTATCAATTATCTTACTAAAATCTCTCCATTCAAATCATCTTGTTCAGGTGAAATAGATTTTGAACTTGACTTGATTCGACGATCAGCATAAAATGCTTCAACAAATTCCCCTTCTCTAGTTGATAGTCCGATTCTTTGAATATTATACTGGTAAATATTTTGAAAATGTGAACAAATGAACTATTTGTAGAAGAAATATTACAACAAATGCTGAAAAGATAATGAAATAAATACAATATATACTAATTCAAATGGCACATACTCTGTAGTAAAGCAATAAGGTCAGAATGGATTTGATAGTTTGTAACCGGTTGAAAACCAGGCATATATATGTCACATAAACAGTTGGATAGTAGTTCTATCCTTTAAGAGTTATCTAGTTAGGAGTTAAGAATCGGCACTATAAACGATCATCAGTTCCATCATCTAAATCTTTTCAGTACTTCTGTAGTGTATGCTAATTACGCTGACAGATATAAGTAGTATGTAACGCTAATCGGAAGTGGAATATCTGGCAGCTAAAGATTGTTATGAAGACAACAGAAAGGAAATCTGAGAGCAATCCAAATAACAATAGAATTAGAGTAATAATGGAGTATGTAAGGGATTTTTTATTTTAACACATAGATATCGGTACAAGGAGGCACCAAATATATATGCGCCACACATATCTCATTGGATATGTGTGAGGGCTGTGATACTGCCCGGGTGCCGAAACCGAAGCAGGTGGTTTTCTTAGGGGGCCACATCCGGAGCCTTCGACCTGAAGATCTGATCCACAAGGCAGTGGAGCATCGTGAAGAGATGCAGTCCCATGGAAGCCGGTGACCAACGATTAGTTCATACGCCATTTGTTCCCTCAGGATACTGGAGCCCATGTGCACCATTGGTTTGGGATCCGGTTAAAGCGCCGGACGTTCGCTTTTCGTCCTCTCACTTTCATAAACAACACCCTCGCCACGAGAAGGCAGTGAGTAGGACTTCCCTGGCAGAGGCTATATACGCGTGGCCATGTGAGAGCATTTCGAGAGGGTGAGTGGACTCTCCCCACTCTCGGCCGTACCAGGGCATTTGGGGGCGAACACAGAGGTGTGCAAACGATGTATTTAATGTATGAATTTCATATTTTACTAAGCTACCGAGTGATTTTCCGTTAAACAATAAACTGGTTTTCCCCACCTAAGGTCTCGTTCACTTCAGTTTGTTAAGCCAACTGGACCCATAAAAACATCATCGGTAAATGAAATAACCTAATTTATAAAAAATTATTTAAAAGTATTTAGGTTTTCGAAAACTGTAATTACTATGAAATCTCGTATTGACAGTAATAAACGAAAATAGCCAGAAGTAGGTTAAATAGATGGTAAAAGAAAGGCTACTACTCAGGTATAAATCACATATACCAAATCAAATGTAACAAAAAATACTACTCATTAGGATGTAAGAACCCAACAGCAATTAGACTTCCAGTAATACTGATATTACTATGTCAGTACAAAACAAGGTAGTAGCAACCCCAGCTCTCGTATAGATAAAAAAATATACTTGGAATTATGAAAAATTATAAGACTAAAGCCAAATAATACTTAACACTTGCGAAACGGATAGATTTTGGACTACAATTAGACAAGAACTTCAATGATTACTTCGAATTACTGTAGAAGTCAGAAAGTAAACAAAAATTTATTTTGTTGTATTGTGTTTTGACATTTTTATTTTTGTCCAAATTTTACTAACAGATTACTAAGATAAATATTGCTGAGTTCAAAATACCAATTTCGCTAGTAAAAATAAGCTTTAACTTGTAACAATAAAGGCAAATTCAACAAACCAATATTGCGTATCGAGATAAGGCAGTGTGAAATATTTGCACTAAAATAAAATATTTACCTCCATTTTTAATCTACTTCGAGCATCTAATCGAGCTTTAACTGTTTTTAAAAAGTACAAAAGAAAAGTGTATGTGTAGTAGATAACATACTAATAAAAAAATCGTTTTATTATTACTATTATTTAATGTTATAGTAAATAATCATCATTACTGTTGTTTCTCAAAAGCTAAAGTAATTAAAGACATTTACGCTCATAAGGAACATAACAGTGATGTATTATCATCGGCCTGAATGCCAACTTAGGACAAAAATACAAGTGATACAAGGGATGCTTTAAAATATTTTTATCTCTCAGACATACTACAATAATACGTTAATACGATAAGACTAGTCAGTCAGTCAGTCAGCTGCAACGTAGGACCAGGCACATATCTGAATCGGTCCAAGTTGCCATACCTCATTAGCACAACAAGATGAACACCGGATTCATAGAAGTAGTTAATTCAATGGTGGTAATATAGAGAAGAAAGATTGCATATAAAGAGATAGTACAGGAAGAAAGAATTAGTTCCTAGAAAGAAAGATATGAAGCGATATTAATCATTTAGTTTAAGGGAAGACAGAGAGTGCATACACCGACGCCATTGTGATCGATTCTGAGCCATGTCACCAAGAGTCTCCAACCATTGGTTACGATAGTCACGCGAACCCCAACCAGGCAGTCTGAATCTCCCAACATGGCTCAGACCAGAAGTTAGTGACTTCAAGCACTGATGCCACGTTTTGGTTTGGCCGCCCCTAACTTTCTTCCAATTATCCCCTACACCAGTCAGCATTGCGCGTCGTGGTAATCGGTGTTCAGGCATACGCAACACGTGGCCTCACCATCTCAGTCGATGAAGATTCACAACCCCATCAACTGATTTACCATCATTTCCTAGTACCCTGCGTCTAACCTCACTATTACTTACCCGGTGGTCCCAGCAGATACCCGCAATATTTCTAAGGCACCTGTGGTCAAATACTAGTAACTTACGAATATCTTCTACTCTCAAAGGCCATGTTTCGCAGCCGTATAGTAGAACGGAACGAACTGCCGCGCAGTATACTCGTCCCTTAATTGATAGACGGATATCTCGCCTGTGCCATAGATGATGTAAGTTGGCAAACGCTAAACGAGCTTTTCGAATCCGTGCTGAGATTTCGTCAGACACCAACCCATTAGGGCTGATCAGACTTCCAAGATAAGTGAAGTTGTCAACGCGTTCGACTACTTCACCCCCTATCCTTAGTTCAGGTGTTGATGCAGACCAGTCCTGAAGCAACAACTTGCATTTAGTGGGAGAAAAGTGCATCCCAAACATTCTAGCATTGTTGCTCAGTGCTACCAAAAGACTCTGCATTTCATCAGCGTCTTCACCAAACAGGACTATGTCATCTGCGTATTCTAAGTCAATAAGTGGACCTCCTGGTAGGAAATCAATACCCGAGAAGTCAGTCGATGAGAGCGTTATTTCCATCAGGAGGTCTATGATAAAGTTAAACAAAAATGGAGAAAGTGGACAGCCTTGACGGACACCACTTGAGGTAATCAGTTCTGATGACAGTTCGCCATAAGCTCTCACTCGACTAGTAGTGTTCGAGTAAAGAGCCTTCACAAGGTTTATGTACTTCTGAGGTACGCCTTTCAACGACAGACACTGCCACAGAACCTCTCGGTCAACAGAATCAAACTCTGCTTTTAAGTCAAGGAATACCACCATTGTCGGACGCCCATAAGTATGCCTGTGTTCTAGAACCTGACGAATGGTGAATATGTGTTGGATGCAGCCACGACCAGGTCTGAAGCCAGCCTGATTTTCACGTGTTTGCAGTTCACGAGTCTTAGTTAGGCGTCCGAAAATTATCGAAGCTAGTATTTTAGATACTATATTAGTCAAACTAATCCCTCTGTGGTTGTCACAGAATGATTTTGACCCTTTCTTAAATATTGGGACGATAAGTGATTATGACCAGTTAGATGGAGTAACGTCTAACTCCCAGATTTTAGCTAAAATATTAGTCAACGTAATCGCTAAAACTAGACCACCATCTTTAAAGACCTCTGGGGCCAATCCACCTGGACCAGCTGCCCTTCCTCGTTTCAGATTAGCTATAGCCTTTTGAACTTCAGCTAGAGTTGGGGGACCTACTTCAATGTTCCATTCATACTGTCTGGGAATAGAGGGTAGTTGTAGAGTAGCTGAAGGCCAGCTAAACTGCTCCTTAAAGTGTTCCGCCCATCGTTCTAAGCGTCTGGACTGGGAGCAGATGAGAGTGTCGTCTTTTTCCGAAATAGTCTGACTTACACTTGACTTATTAATTCCAGTTTCTTTTATTAGTCTGTAGAGTTGTCTTGTGTTCCCTATAATCTCCGCCTTTTCCATCTCTTTTGCTTTCGTTGCCCACCACTGCTCACGATCATTCCTTAGACTTTTGCTTAATCTAGATCTAACTTCTTTACGCTCTTCATCGTATTCAGAACCTGATGGGATGAGTTTGCGAGAATCTATCAATGCAATAGACCTTGAAGAAATCCATTGGTTCTTTGTAACCATTTGGTTCAAATCACTGGTAGATGTCACTGCTGTTTCCACAGCTGCTTGTATAACTTTCCAAGCAACATCTGGGTCAGTCTCGTTTTCAGAACTACCTAAGTGTGACCTCAGTTGTTCCTGGAACCTACTTTTGGTTTTCTCATTACTTAATTCAGTTCTAATGAGTCTTTTTTGTGTGGCTTTTTTGCGTCCAGTGAGGCGCAAGCAGATGCGTGCTCGTATTAGGGCATGGCCGGAGTCCAAGCAGGTACCCCAGAATGAGTGACAATCTTCTATTGACCCTCTCCAACGATGACTGATGGCAATATGGTCTATTTGAGTCCATCGTTGGTTTGGTGCAGGGGGTCGCCATGTTAGACGATGTCTCTCCTTATGCTTAAAATTTGTGTTTGCTAAAAATAAACGATTGTCTGAGCACAGTTGCAGCAGACGATCACAATTATCTGTTCGCTTTGCCGGAATACTAAAATACCCACCTAAATGTCTTTCTGATTCGTTTAAGCTATCTACCTGGGCATTAAAGTCACCTGCTATGAGTACTATATCTAAACGTTTGGCATTCTGAAGAAGTTCAGACAGCTTTCTGTAAAATTCATCTTTCACTTCATCCGAACTGCAGTCAGTGGGAGCGTAGGCAGAAACGACGAAAAGGCAACGACGTGTGTCCCTATACTTCCGAGTTCTTACCGAGCCGTTTAGCCGAGCAGCGCATAGACGACAGTTAACGGGGATCCACTCTAATAGCGCTTGTTCCGCCCTCATGCTTAGTGCTATGCCTACACCTGCCAGTCCACGAGAACTAGCCATCGGGTCGCCAGATACACGGAGGGTGTATCTCGTTGGCTCTCCGTTTTCCCGAGGTGAGGTCTAGTGAATGACCACACTAGGATACTGTATGCGTGTTTCGGAGACACAGCATACATCAATTGTACGAGATTCTAAGGTTTTTGCCAAGGAAGCCTGCTGACCGATTTGGCATAGTGTGCGTACGTTGAAGGCTCCAATGTATAGCTTGGAGCGAGGTTTCAGTAGACCTGGGACAGTGTTTTGAGCACTAGAATCGTTGGCTATGGTGATACTTGAGGAGGAAACCAAAGGAGGAAGTTTAGGTTTGAAAGTCGATGTAGGAGGAATAATAGGAATTGAAGAGGGAGGTTGAATATGAATACAGTGGTCTTGAGTGCTGTTAGAGATATGAGGGCGGTTATCACTTCCCGGTTGCCCACACCGTGGAAGGGTTCTGCTGGAGGTACCTGAAAAGGAAATTGGATTAGAGTTGGTCATAGTGACCTGAGAGCGTGACCGCAGTGCCCAAGGGACAGCTGCTTGAGGTCGGTCACACACGACCTTTTTATGAGTAGTTTTAGTGTTAGCTACGTACTTGTTGAGTCCTTACCGCCGGAGACGGATATCCGTGGGATAAGGCGAGGTGTGCATTTTAGGGTCGACCTTTTCTAACCCCACCCCTCCTTGTGGGAAGGCAGCATCGCTGTCATGCTGGTTGTCTGAAGGAAACACCTTACTGCTGTCACACCTCTGTACAGTCAGCAGTACGACTTCGCCTTCGGACCTTCGTTTTGTTGCTTTTAGTCTTACCGCTCTTCAACCGACCTGTCTGGCATGGTAGGACCTTGAGGAACGGTTGTTTCAGCCAGTGTAGTTCAGTTGCTTCATCACGATAGGCAAGCCCGACCACCACATCAAGGTAGCAACAACGGTCGGGATAAGACTAGCCACGTTATATCAGATCAAGGATTTATAACCAAGAGCAGAGAACCAGATTAATATTAGATGATACACTATCTAACACAGTTACAATCAGTAACACTCAGTGGGTCCGGAGGAGAAATCAATGAGAGGAAAGGAAACCACATATTTAAGTCAGTAGGCTAAGTGACTTTGTTCACGCTGTGACCAATCATATTTTACTCTCACTACCGCACATCGTAAAGTTAGACAAAAAACCAAGACATAGTCAATAAAAGGCTTCAGATATTTACTGCTATGTTTTAAAAAATTTATCTAAAAAACTATGATGAGTCAACTGACAGACAAATACTTAATAAAGATCGTCTTATTAACAAATATCACTATTTCATAGTATGATAGAGATAAATACCGTTGAGCAACATTGAAGTTGAAATGAAAACAGCTGATTAAAATTTGAACCCAAACCGGTCAAACAACTACTAGCTACGACGTAGACTTGGTGATTAGGCTTCTTTGTTGTGATTACGCATCTTGAAAATGGTAGTTGGAAAGCTTACTCTATAAAATCTAGCCATTGAAAAGACACAAAATGAGCCTCCTAAAGAGTTAAAATATGCACTGAGACATTTTGTATTATTGACAGAATTTTTACGCATTTCGTAAAATAAACCAAGAGTAATGAAGTAGGAAAAGAATTTAGTAACTGAAATTAAAGTATAGTATATGATATTTTGTATGATATTCATTTGTGTAATCATATTGCGATAAAATATAATCAAAATAATAAAGCCTTAAGAAAAAAGTTGAGAACATTTACACGTGACTTACATGTAAGAGAATTTAAAATCCATGTACATCCAACATATGTCATACGGATACCAATAGTGTGAGCTATAATCCAACTACGGACATAACAAAAATGTACATGAACAATTGGCAAAGTGTGAAAGAAGCCTTACAGAAATTAAGCATCTTGTATATAGAGTAAAAAATATATAAAAACCAGATTTAAATAATCTCAGTAACTGAAATTATAATTACTCAAATTGTAGTCAGGATTGGGAAGTTCTAAAATTTTTCACACGGTTTTATATTCTACCAATAGCCAATATTATTTTATTTTTATTTTATTTTATTTGAACACATAAATATTGGTACAGGGGGGCACCAAATATATATGCGCAACACAAAACATTGATAATTTGAAGAGAAGGAGAAAAGAGAAAAAAAAATAATGAACGTGGGGAATTATAAAAAAAAAAAGGAGAGAGAGAGAACAATGGTGGGGGAACGGAAAGGTACACTCAGAAGAAATCTTACAGTTAAGGAAGATACAACCACTTTTTATGAAGAAAGTAAGAGGTTACAGCACGATCGCCACTGGCTTCTATTCTTAGCCATATCTGATAACGTCTCTAGCCACTGCGTTACACCGTCTCTCGGACCCCAGCCGGGGAGTCGAGAACGACCAACACAAGCCAGCCCTTTGCAGCTTTCTTTCATACCACGACGCCATGTCATACACTGACCACCTCTCCGCTTTTTCCAACCAGTCCCAGAGTCGGCAAATAATGCACGACGAGGAATTCTCTGGGACGACATTCGTAGAACATGTCCAAGCCACCGAAGTCGGTGTTTCAAGATGGTGACACTAATGGAATTATCGTCTCTGTGCCCGAACACACGATGCCGAACCTCTGCATTACTGACATGGTGTTGCCACTGAATGTCAGCAATCCTTCGGAGACAGCGATGATCGAGCACAGAGAGTCGTCTAACATCCTCAGCTCGGAGAGGCCAGGTTTCACAAGCATAGAGCAGAACTGCTCTCACCGTCGCGTTGTAGATCCGACCTTTTACAGCCAGACTAACATCAAGAAGGCGCCAAAGATGGCCCAGATTGGCATAAACCGCTCTGGCTTTCACTATACATGCATTGATCTCATCACCCACGCCACCACCAGCACTTATGCAGCTAACCAGATATTTCTATCTGCTCACCATCCAGAGTGAGTACAGGATTAGAATCCTGCCAGTCTTGTAGGAGTACTTTGCAATTCGAAGGTGCGAAGCACATACCATACCTACGGACATTGATTGCCAACTGATTAAGTGCAGATTGCATAGCTTGGGCATTCTCGCACAGTAAGACAATATCATCCGCATACTCAAGGTCGAGAAGTCTTTCTCCAGGCAACAGATCCACACCACCATTACTTACATCTGTCAGAGCTGTTTCCAGAATGTCATCGATGGCAAAGTTGAAGAGGAATGGTGAGATTGGGCAACCCTGCCTGACCCCACTGCTCGAATGGAATAGTGGAGAAAGGTGATTGTATGCCCTCACTCTGCCTGAGGTGTTTGTGTATAGGGCTTTTAGGATGTTAATAAACTTCTCAGGCACACCCTTCTTCAATAGACAATCCCAGAGAACAGTTCTGTCCAACGAATCGAAGGCAGCCCTGATATCAAGAAACACTACGATTGTTGGCCTTTGATAAGTATGGCGGTGTTCTAACACTTGGCGGAGGGTGAAGATATGATCAATACATCCTCGACCAGAACGAAACCCAGCATGCTCCTCGCGAGTCAATCTTTCTCGGGTTCTGAACAACCTACGAAGTATGACGGAAGCCAATAGCTTGGACGCAATCGGAAGTAGACTTATCCCCCGATAGTTGTTACAGGAACAACGTGAACCCTTTTTAAAGATAGGGACAACTATCGACTCATTCCATGACGTTGGTACACTCTCTACTTCCCAGATCTTTGTAAACAACGTCGTCAGTCCCTTAGTCAAAAAGTCACCACCATCTTTAAAAAGAGCCGGAGGTAAGTCGTCTGGGCCCGGTGATTTGTAACGTTTCAAGAGTTGGAGTTCCTTGCGGACTTCCGCCTCATTTCGTGGATCAGTCGTCACCGGTCATGGAGGGCAGGACAGTCTGACCGATGTTGCCGGAGCAGCAGGCCAGTTGAACTGCCCTTCAAAGAATTCTGCCCATCGTCCAAGACGTCGATGGATGTTAGTGATTGGCGTTCCGTCATCCTCGCAGATTGTTTCGCTCACACCAGACTTCTTGCTGCCAGTGGCTCGGATGAGTTGGAAGAGCTTCCGGTAATTACCAGATGCAGCTGCTGCTTCCAACTCACTGGCACGCTCCGACCACCAGGCTTCTTGGTCCTTACGCAAGCTTTGCCCGATTTCATTACGTAACATCCTTCGTCTGTAGTCAAACTCACGGTCACCCGGAGTAGACCGACGGGCTTTAATCAGTTGTAAGGAACCAGAAGAAACCCAGTGCTTGTAAGCGGGACGTTTCGCAAACCCACAACTGACTTGACCCGCCATTTTCATGGCGTCATGCAATTGCAACCAATGCTCATCTATACTTTTCGGTGGAGTGGTAGCTAGCCTAGAAGCTAGCTCGGTTCGGTACATACTAGCAACAGAAGTTGCAGCCAGCTTGCTAACATCAATCCTGTGGTGGCGGTCACTTCGTTGTCCACTGAAAAGTAAGGTAAGATTGGCGCAGACCAAGGCATGATCAGAATCCAGATAGGTACTCCAAAAGGAGCGGCAGTCTTGTACACAACCACGCCAGCGATAGCTGATCGCGAAGTGGTCAATCTGAGTCCAGGTTTGAGATGCAGAAGGAGGACGCCAGGTGGCACATCGGCGATGACTGTGCCGAAAGTTAGTGCTAGCCAGAAACAGGTTGTGGTCTGTGCATATTTGCAGTAGACGTTCCCCGTTATCTTTCCTGTGACCAACAAGTCCCCATCGGCCACCTAAACAACTCTCTTCTGTGCCTAGACGCCCGACCTGAGCATTCAAGTCTCCAGCTAGTACTACAATATCTGTCGAACGCACTTTCTGGAGAAGAACAGTTAACTGGTGGTAGAACTCATCCTTGATTGCATCCGGGCTGCAATCTGTCGGGGCATAGGCGGAGATGACGAAAAGACATCGTTTCTCACGCCGATTTCTTCTTACTTTGATGGAACTTTCTAATCTAACAGCACATAACCGACTGTTAATGGGGATCCAGTCGACTAGTGCTGCCTCAGCTCTTGCGCTTAGTGCGACATCAACGCCAGCAAGACCAGACGAAGATGCCACAGGGTCCCCGGATAAACGCACATAAAACAAGCTTTTTGAAGTGACAGATGGAGAGCAAACTTGTAGTACTTCACCAGATTCTTGAATACGGGTCTCGGATAGACAACAAACATCAATATTAAGACTTTCCAAAGACATAGTCAGCCCTATCTGTTGTCCGACCTGCATAAACGTGCGAACGTTTAAGGCAGCCAGTTTGAATGGTGCACGTGGTTTCAGAAAAACTGCTTCAGGATTCTTATTCGATGGTAACATACAACTTTCAACCAGGCAGTGACACGAGAACGTTTAAATAGAGCCGAATGTTCACCATAGGCGAGCTGCTGTATAAGTCGAAAAATAAGGATAGACAGAGTGGAAATAAAAGAGTGTGAATAAATGACGTGGTAAATAATAATAATAATAATAATAATAATAATAATAATAATAATAATATATAATATATAATATATATGCGCCACACATATCTCATTGGATATGTGTGAGGGCTGTGATACTGCCCGGGTGCCGAAACCGAAGCAGGTGGTTTTCTTAGGGGGCCACACCCGGAGCCTTCGACTTGAAGATCTGATCCACAAGGCAGTGGAGCATCGTGAGGAGATGCAGTCCCATGGAAGCCGGTGACCAACGATTAGTTCATACGCCATTTGTTCCCTCAGGATACTGGAGCCCATGTGCACCATTGGTTTGGGATCCGGTTAAAGCGCCGGACGTTCGCTTTTCGTCCTCTCACTTTCATAAACAACACCCTCGCCACGAGAAGGCAGTGAGTAGGACTTCCCTGGCAGAGGCTGTATACGCGTGGCCGTGTGAGAGTATTTCGAGAGGGAGGGCGAACCCTCCCCGCTCTCGGCCATACCAGGGCATTTGGGGGCAAAAAGCCAATAACTTGATATATTAAAATATTGAATTAATTTATATAAGCTAGTACTACACGTTTTATCGACACGAAATCAAAACATAAAAACCAGTAAAGAATAATATTGTATTAATCTCTTACTGTCAGATTTAGTCCAAAATCCCTAGAATTTTCAACCGTCCCTGACATATTTAATAGAAAAGCCATTATCTAAATATATGGACGACACACATTGAACTTAAAGCATATGGACTTATATCTACACTGTAATACTAACAGGATGGTCTGTTAAGTAATAAAGAACGGTCACAGAAAATTAGTTACGTTAGACAGGGAATAAAACGGAGATAACATGGAAGATACGTAAATACGCTTTCTTCGTCAAGTATACGCAAAACACCCAACAGACTATACCCAACATACACTAAAAAGCCAGAAAAGTCCTGGCAACACTGCAACGATAGTATATAAATAATTAGAACTAAAAAGTTGTAAGGATGTGATCTCATTGGTATGATAAACAACAAATTATTCAAAATACTACTAATAGAATAAATGATGTCGTTTTATTTTACCTTAAATTAGCCTACTTATTCGCAAATATTAAAAGCCAACAGGATTTGTTTCAGACGATTAATATAGCTTCTACTAATGTATATCATAACTAATAAACCAATATTTCAAGTCCAATCAACATGTGATTTTTTTTAACTTTTTGTATAGTACCAAAATATAATGAATAAAGCCATTAATAATAATAACGTAGTTGTAAAGCGGGATAAAATACAAGCGGAAGCCTATTTTCAAGTCATGGGGTCCAATACAATTTCGAGGTCAGTAACATCAAAACATATAGAAATAAAAGTAAAGGACTTACATCAAAGGCATAAATAATGTGGGTACATCTGATATGCGTTTAGGAGTGATCTTTTTTGGCTTTACGGAGATACTAGGTAACTGCCGGACATCAAAATGAACAGGCCACGGAGAACTAAAAGTGTAGAGAGTTAATTTATTCTGTAACACTTATTTAGGATACTAAAATATATTACCACCGTCTCCTCATTGATCGTTTCCTTAGATTCCAAAAATAAAGCCATAAACTCCTGATAAGTATGATTACAAAACCTTCCAGTTCCTGCAAACGTTAACCGAATCAAACGCTCTAACCTCTAAGTAAAAGGGCCGAAAAATATATAGTAAGTGTAACAGCAACTAATCTAGAGAACTCGAAAAAATTATCATATAATTTCACTATGAAGTAACAATTAGATTGGTTATAAGTAAGCATACGATTTTTAAATGCCCAGGGACTCCAAAAAAGAGCAGTCCATTTAATCACTCCTACCGTTATTTGAAGCATATTTATAGCACAGTTAGACGCCGATTCCAAAAAATTGGGATTATATTTCATCGACTAAATCATTATGAAAAAAAGTAGAAATACTTGAAATGTTGCAATTAGTGGAACACTATAGAGAGATGGACCAAGAACACAAGACCACCAAACATGGATGGTTCGCCACATAATAATTTTGATTGATCCGTTAGAATGGTAATCTCTGTAATCCATACTCATTGGGATAAGTTACGGCTCACCAAAGTGTACGAAGATTAAGACAGTTGAAATGACTTTTGAAAGGTTGATTCCGGGAATGCTAAAATAACAAGGAAATTCGTAATTATTTCATTACAAATGTATCAAATACTAAGGTGTTATATTGATGGAAAGCGTTGAAAAACCAAAAAATTGGTGGTCTACATTTGTTTCTATGTAGGAGTGCTAGTGCACATTGTATTTGATAAGTCAATATTTTCTAAACATGGAAAACGATGTCGACCTCGACGACCATATTTTCTTGTTCTCAAGCACTGGTCACAAACATAAAGATGCACAGAAAGAGCTAATTTGAACAACTCTTACAATAACCTAAGAATATTTTGCACGATTTCATCTACTAAAAAGCAGACGATAAAAAATAAGCACGTAGGGACAGGGGACAATAAAATTACCCATTGACTTAAAATGAGTAATTTGGTTTGTTAAAGCCAAGGGACTCATGTCTCCTGGAATCTAAACAGTCTCAGTAGAGAAAGTCTACAGAGGAGATAGTTATTCTACTTGCTTTTTCGAATGACTCCCTTGCCTATTGATGTAGCTCACTGCAATATTACTGAGTTTCAGCGTATTGAAAAACGAATTATTAACAAAAAACCATGACTCAATCGCTATCCTATCTTAGAATTTAATTAAGGAAAACGTTATTGTGCGAATTACCCTTAAGGTGAGACTAATTTATGGACGAGCCAATCAGAAGCTTTTGAGATATTTCAAGGTGCTTAAAGCTAACGTATGATCGGTCCAAAAAGAATTTTGTACGAAACGTGATAATTGAGCGTCTATAACAATGTTGAAGTCTCACTGCCCCCCCTTACATAGATAATCTTGGCAACTGTTTATGCGAAATTGTCAATATTGTTTTCACAGAAACCACCATGTTAATTGCCACCGACTATGCACATACCTTGTTTGAAATTGAATTCGAGGCGAAATTCCTAGGTATACAGTATACTAGCGCGTTTAGCCTTGCTGAAGACCAACTATTTCACTCGTTAATACTGAGAAAAATTAGTGTGGTACTTTCTTGTCATCTATGCTTCAATGTGCGAATTTTTTTGCCGAAGATGATTGCATTGTCTCAAGACACTACGTTCTCATCTTATTCTACCTTAGATTGTATGTTTTACTATGACAACCGGGGAACCCAGACAAGTTCGTAGTTACCCTAAGCCTCTGTGTCTATGACTAAACAACTGATAGTCAGAATCATAATATACTAGACATGAATGTGTAGACAAATTAAAGTACTTTCAGTAAGTTTTAATATACCAGGAATCACGTGATTCCTAGTATATTAGAACTTACTGAAAGTACTTTAATTTGTCTATGAAACATATTGGTGTGGTTTATTGCAACAAAAAACGACAGAAATTGCTTCTTATATAACAAACAGCGAAATATCAAGTCGGGAAATCTGATACTTACGAATTAGCTTTCACACCAACCTTACCAAGATGATTTTGTCAGTAGCTAAACACGTACAAAGAGCGCGCTGACTAATAATGGTTCAAATAGTGTGAATGGTTGTGGACGGAATAGAAGAAGCTTTCGCTTAACAGGCTTCCGTGTCTAAAAGCAGGGGATCACCACTTACTCCAGGCAAGAACCTAAGTATATTAACGATAGAAGAGAAAAGAATGAATCGGTAAATCATAGTAAGATACTATCCTTAGTCCTTAAAAATAGATCAAATCGTCTCTTAAAGGACTCCTGGGAATCCGCTCGGACTAACTCAGCTGGCAGCGAATTCCAGCATTTGACAACTCTTAAGGAGTAGAAGTTGTGCCTGAAGTCCGTTCTGCTATGTTGTATCTCCAATTTCTGGGTGTTACCCCGTCGGTTAGTGTTGGGACTAAGCTTAAGTAGGTGTTTAAGAGGATGTCCAGAAGTGTTAAGGATACTGTAAGCTATTAGAAGGTCACCTCTAAGACGCCTATATTCTAATGGGTGAAGGTCAAGTGATTGGAGGTGCCCTTCATAAGGTTTAAATTTGAGTCCCCGAACTGATTTCGTGGCTCGGCGTTGGATACGCTCCAGAGTGTCCTTGTAGTGGCATTGAGCCCTACCACCAGACAATATGAGAAATAGACATTAAACATTTAACGCGGAGAAATACAGAAGAATGGAAAAGGCGGAGAGAATGGATTGAATTAATCGGAGTTGGTCGTATGGCATGGCTCGGCCATGCAGGCGTGGTCCCTGCTAAATGTTACATTATGTCTTTTATTCATATTAAATATATTGTTCCATCTCTTGCCTAAGATTGTTCTCTATCATGTATTGGTAATTGTTACGACGCAGTAAGTTGGTGTAGATGATGATGTGATTTCCACGTAAGATCTTATAGATTAGGCAGTTACATCATAACAAATCTACAATTTTACGATCAGGTCTATTATTAGAACAGTGCTAATATCATAGTAGACCATAGTTCTACATCCAAATCCTTTTGGAGTGTAGGAGGGGATACTATGTTTCCGTACTCTAAATGGGGTGGTTTGATACCCAATTGTCTGAGCTTATTGATAAGACATATGTGGTTAACCTCATCAAAAGCTTTAGAGAAATAAACGTAAATGATGTCCACTTTCCCCTAGCGATCAACGGTGCTTGTCCATCTGTCCACCACAGTCAGCAGGTTCGTCATACAGGAGTAATCCTTCCTAAAACCATGCTGTTGGGGTGAGAAGAAATTTAAGGACACTAGATGGTCGTGTATACCATCGTACACCACGGACTCCATGATTTTTGAAGGTATGGAGAGAAGAGCCACTGGTCGTTAACTTGAAGGTTCGCTGCGTCGACCTCCCTTGAATATTGGTGTGATATGAGCCAGCTTCCAAATATCCGGTAGTTTGCCTTGACTTAGCGAGTGTGAGAACATCACGCTAAGCAGTGTTGCCAGGATTGAAGCTGCTTCTCTCAGTATAGCAGAGTGGACCATATCTGTGCCGGGAGAAGTGTCTGTTCCTAGGTGCTGCAGTTTTCGGGACACCAAGTCAGCGCTCAGTTTCACTACGGGAAGTCCTGTGCAGTTGCAGATAGAGCCGTCATCTGTATATTTGATGTGGGACGGTTGAAATGTCCGGGAGTATTGCTCAGCCACGAGGTTAGCGGCGTCACCGTCATTATCGGTCGGGCCGTTAGGACCTAGCAGTTGAGAAACCCCAGTTTTGGCTTGATGAAGAGAGGCTGCATAACAGGATAAGCTTTTCGGATTGGAAATAAATTTATCCATAAGCTTTATCTTGTACTGAAGCCAATCTTCTCTTATAGCCTTCTCTCAAGAATCTTTAGGGATGTTCCGGATGAGATTGCGCTCAGAATGCGGTATGTCAGGCAGTATTCTTACGTTCCCATTGGATTTAAGTAAGTGACTAAATAGCAGGACACCCTTCACGTCGGTAGCATTCTTGAGTGTTACACGAAGTAGCCTCGAATGATTTTGATGCTTAGATTCCTTCCCCTGAGTGAGCCGTGTGACCGTCAAATGCTCTATTCTAGGTAGTTCAAGCTTCTTGTTCAATTCACCCAAGAGCATCCTGTCGTTTTTGTCTTGCAAACTGAGAGGAAGGTCAGGATTATCTATGAGGTTCATGATTATGAGAGAGTCGTCACGTACCGTTATTGATTTCCCAGGTTTTCCGGTGCGTTCGGGTTCATCACCTTATTGTTTGGAGGTCGAAGCACGTTTCTGAATCCTAGGCTCTTTGATGACCGGATGGACATTCTTTGGGGTAGACTGGGCGATCAAATCACCAGTTTATTTCCGTACAACAGCTAAGACGGTGACGCCTGGTCCTTTTCAGCTCAGTTACCGTGGGTCCAATCACCCACAGAGATTTCGGGAACCACTGTTGCATTTAAGGACCCTGAACTGGGAGACCCGAGTTTACTGAGGGAGTCTATTACCGTCAACGTAATGACGGTGCTGAGTTTCAACATGTCATCATTAGTGCTAATGCATGCTCCGTCTATGGTAGACCTGTCGACATCCCTATTCATGTTTTCGTTGTGCGCCCTTGTTTGTCTACCCGTTTTATGACCGTCTTTTTCCAAGGTTGTTGACAACTTGTTCAGCAGACCTGTCAATAGGACAATGATGTTACTCAGCAAAACTGCAGCATTCGTGCTGCACGTAACACATACCCACTTACGATCCCACTTGCTGAGTCTGTTGTAAGCAGTTGCTGTGAGGCCTGCGCACGCTTCATGGAACCAACCTTTGCAGTTGTCGCATTGCATGCCAGATGTAACAGCAAAAACGGCATCCAGGTAGTTTGCATGAATTTTCCATGACTATATTGACATAAACTGTATTATTAATGCTAGCAAAAGCCGAAAACCGCACAAACACACTGAAAAACACACTAAAAACTGGCAAAATGGATAAAAACGGATTAGATAAACTGAACTAGCCTTTACGTGAAAAACTGAAAAAAGCGAATAGTAAGCTGAGGCAAAACCACAGATAACTATTAAATTGTGTGAGACTCGAAAAAAAGTAATCTAACAAACTTATAGGTCAGAATAGATTTTTTAGATAAGAAATGGTGCTTTTGTTGCGTGAGAATACAGCAAGAGTTTGAGAAATGCAAATCACGTTGGGACTAAACTTCCCGTCTGAAAAGCGCGTTATCATTTACGAACAATCGTCATCTGTGAGCTTAGAACTGTGAATAATAAAACAAATAAAGAAGAACATTCTCCTACAATTTTATATAAGAAAAAGCTTTCAGATTCAGACTTGCGATGGTTTGTGATGTGTTTTATTAGACTAAAGACAGGGTTTTCGGAACTGATATATGTGTTTCTGCGCTCTATTATTTGTTGCTACAATGTACACAAACGAAAATTATGATGAGCTTCCTTGCTGGTATGGCCAACTATCGATATTTAGTGACTCACCAAACCTTAGCTCTAGTTCGGAGAGATGTGATCAGTTGAAACATGAAAAAGAATTATTAATCGAAGAAAATGCAAAGTTGTATTGTCATTTACAGTTGGCGGAGGATGCCATCGCAGAACACTCAAAAAAGCAAGATCTTTTGAGTCAGAAGCTTAGCAGGTATGGCATTTTAGCACATATATCAGCAAAATAAATCACATATGTGCCCGAGCTCCTAATTTTGGGAAGTCGCTACAGTAAACTTTGAGGAAATTTAAGGGTTTTGGTGCCATTTCCCGAAATTTTCCTAAACTTTGGGAAATCCCCTCATATTTCCCCGAAATTCCTCAAAATTTACCCAAAATTTCCCCAACCTTGGGAGATCGGGTAAGTTAATAATGTTATCATAATTATAAATATAAAAACTGATTATTCTTATATTCACATTTTTGTTTTTTCTGTATTACTCCTGTGCTATTAGTTTACGGTCGCTCGTTTTGTTTTGTATTCAAGGCCGTGAGAGTGGTCGACAGCTTCTGTAGATTGTATACTTTGAGTTTTCAGTCATCTGACGCACTTGTATTATTTTGTTTTGAATCTTGGCGGACATCATAATCATGTTTCGATGGTGAATGGTGCAGAAACTTGGCATTCACAAAGCTTTATTAGTATCTATTTTTTTAAATTTTATAGAAGGATAACTAATACTTAAGTATTAGTTTCGGTCACACCGTCAGATAATTTGTTGTCACCGGTGTAGTTGTACTTCTCGTAGTTGCTTATATATCCAGAAATAGGTATGCGTTTAAGTGTTTATAAATATACATATGATTCTAGTTTTTTGGTCGCCGTGTATTATCTTACTTCCAGCCAAAAGCCGTAGAAATTTTAATATGTAGGGCGATGGATAGACAGAACGATTCAGCATGTTTGGTTATCATTTGCCTAAGTCCATGTTGAAAAATCGTTGTTGCGCAACGTTTCATCCATCAATTTCCACTTATTATTATGTCTCCGTTTTGATTATTACAATCAAAAATGCAACCGGTTTTTGGTTTTATTATGGTTAGCAGTAACTTTAAAGCCATTTTCTGCACTATTAATGACTAAGAATACTTAGTTTACAACTTGTGTTTTGTTTCATTCATTACCGTTTCCAATATTTTTAAGGCCATCTGTTTTGGCTTTGTTATTTGAAGCATGTCGGCCACTGTTTCTAACCATGCTACCCCTCATAACTTTAGGCTATTCTCTGTTAAAGATAGTTTTGTTTAGTATGTATTTGCTTTGATCTGTTAATCTTGTTGTTGCTAGTTAGTTCAAGCTTATTAGAATTACTAAACATGTGAATGTTCCTGAATCAAATATTAATTACACGAAATAAAGCTTTCCATTTTTCTATTAATATGATAAACCATCATATCAAAGGACTGCATCCTAGTTGAGAATTCAAGACAGTTTGTTAAAAGGAAGTTGAAAACTGGAGCAATTACTGCATTTTATGAATAGCATCATCTTATAAATTTAGACATTCAATTTAAGTTTCCAAATGAAGACCAACACTGGAATTCAGGAATGTCCGGCCAACCACAAATCTACATCTTTGACAAGTAGCTTACCTTGATTAACTCACTTAATCTAGTCAAAAATATGGTTGTATAGAGTTTTTAAATAAGCCTACCATAAACCTACCTCATATTCTCATCCTTACTCACTTTATATCATTATGTACAGTTAAATGTGCTTTTATTGCGGCTCTGTGATTCTCAACTAACTCTTCTGTTTCTTAAGTTGTCAAGTTTATTCATTAAAACTGTCTGCTTGAAAATCCTCTGAATTCCAAGTACTCCAAGCTTCTTACATTTGTTTGTTAGTTTATTTTTAACACTAAGAACAATAAATTGGTAGAGTTTAAGATGCAAAATTCTGGGGTAAAAGCTTTCATTTTTGAGATGTAAGGTACAACTTTATTCTTAAAGTGAAGACTTTCAAAGGTTGACATTAATTTCGAACAGAAAATTCTCTCTTTGAACGTAGCCACATTATCCTCTTTTTCTGCCAGCGTATGGCTTTAACATATGCTGATGAGTTCAGTATTTTTATGTAGGTTATTTCCCACAGATTCTTCTAATAACATTTTCAACCAGGATCTAGGCCTACCGCTAAATTTCTAGAACCATTATTTTCGTGCCATCTCTTAACGAATTATTTTCTGTTAATCAACAACACACTGTGTATATCTTTCTTAATCTAAGTAGCGTTTAAAATGTAACGGTTTAGTATATAATTTTGGATAGAATTCACGGTTATTTCGTTTCAGCCTTTCAGAAACTGCGGCGGAAAGAGATGAGCTGTTGGAACGTTTGGACAAGGAAATGATATATAAATATACCTTGGAAAGGTTACTAGAGGAACAGAAGTGTCGCATTGTACAGTTAGAATCCAAGGCAGTGGTATTAGAAGATAAAGAGGCAATGTTAAATAACAAGGTTATTTTGGTTTACCTTTATCGTGTTGTGCTGTTTAACCCCTGGACTAATTGAAACATCGCATTGTAATTTGGTTATTTTAATTTTCGCCAAAATAAACGTCCAAAATCATGAAAAAGCCGGAGTGTAAATATTTAGAAAGCTTCATTTGATGGGAAATATTACATAGGAGACATGATATTCTAGTGTTAATCACGCGTCAGTCAACTGGAAAAACAAAGCGATTGCTTCAAAAATTCCCTCTTTTTATTTGTCATATGTCAACTTACTTTTAGCAATTCCTCGAGAATAATTTAAATTTATCTCTCAAAATCTAGTTAGCAGGTGTTACAAAGCGTAACTTAGATTTAAAATGAATGAATGGCCGGACATATGGTCACCAATGGATACTTGTAAACTATCGAAGAGTGTACAATTTTCTTTCATGCATGTAGTAAATTCGCGGTTGTATGAGGCCTATTTAATACACGGATGTCATTCACTTGACATTTTACAATTATTCTTTAAGTTGTACTTCATCACGTGAGTCTGCGAGACTGTCATTTAGATAGTAGTTTTTGAGGAAGCCCTGACTTGGTAGTGCGACACTGTGATCCAAGGCCGAAACGTCACTGAAATAAATTCATCTACAAGAAACGATGAAAATATGAAAAGGGCTTCTTTATATTTAGTGAAGTTATCATTTTACTTCTAATTGAAGCTTTTTTGACAAGCAATTGAATCTTATCAAGAAAAACTTTGGGGCAGATTCTACTTAAACCTAAAGTAGTACTAAAATACATCATGGGATACAGATATTAATGTTTTTACTGTCATGGTCCCCAAATGCCCTAGTACGGGAGAGTTTGCTCTCCCTCTCAAAAGGCTCTCACATGGGTACGTGCATAAAACCACTGCCATGGAAGTCCTACTCACTGCCTTTTCGCGGCATTACTGTTGTTTACGAAATTGAGAGGACGAAGAGCTAATGTCCGGTGCTTTAACCGGGTTGATGGACACAGAGAGTCCATCTAGGGGAGTTGGAAAATCCTGATTCCAATGGTACACATGAGCTCCACTATCCTGAGGGAACAAATGGCGTATTAACCAATCGTCGGTCACTGTCTACCATGGGACCGCATCTCCTGACGTTGCTCCACTGCCTTGTGGATTAGACCTTTAGGTAGAAGGCTCCGGGTGTTTCCCCCTAAGAAAACCACCCACTCCAAGCCCTCACACAAATTGAATGATTTACGCGGCGCATATCTGTTTGGTGCCTCCCTGTATCCATGTTTATATGTCTTAATAAGATAAATTGTTATGTCGTAGTTAAATGCGGGGTACTAGAAAAAGATAGGAAGTCAGTTGATAATATTTTGAGCAATCAACTACGGATGTAGATTAAACATATATTACGTATGCCTAACTACTCTTCCATCCTCAATATTTGCTTGCGTAGAAATAGGTAGGAAGCAATCTGGAGTTTTAGGTGAAGTCATGTTCTTTAAGTTAATGTTCTATCTGCGGAGTTTTCATCGTTCTGAACGACATGATCAGCACATACTTCAAGCAGAAATGAAACATTCGAATTTCTCGACATATGACCAACAGATTGCCCTGTCGACCTCGATCTTGAATGGTTATTGTTGACCTTTAGCCTGTCATGGTCAGCATCTTTATTTTGACTTTCTCTCTCTCTTCGACCTGACTTGATTCCATATTCGTCCGGGATTTTTCCAATTGGCTGAAAGATTGGATCGGTTTTGATGTGCATGTTTATTGTTGATTTACTTGAGTCCCAAGTTTCTAAAAGTTCTCTGGCGTTCTTGGTATTCTTTCCATCCAAGGTCTTGACATATTTCCAGTCGAATATGTGCTTACAATTGTCCACATGGATTGATGTGGGCGAAGATATATCATGGCGTCTGAGAACTATTTATTTTTCTTGGAGCTGAAGATAATGGGGCATTCACTCTAACCAATGCAGTATTCCACTCAACTGGAAAGATTTGTTGTGCAGATGACACTTTTTCTTCTTTCGTTATTTTACCATTTGGTTTGCATAAGATTTAATAAAGTGATTTTACTGATTTGTGCATTACACACATTTCAAACGGCCTCAATAGTCCTATGGAAATTTTTAATATGTCTTTTATATGTGTTAGGATGATCCGCTTTCTGGCTTTTATATTTAATTCTGTTTTTTCGCTGATGATTTAGGTTGATATCTTTTGACGAAGCAGAGTGGATTGCGGTTCTTTGAAAGATAGTTATTAAATATTTCTCTTCATTCTCCGTGGTATAAATGTCCTGCAATGTGTCCTCACCTTCTGGGTAGACTTTGTGCGCAGTTGATTGTTAGTTCGTTAGTTGTTGCTACTGTAGTTAATAATTTGATCCACACAAGTTGGCTCTCGATATACATGAAACTCCAGTTTTCTTGTAGCGGTTCTGGCAATCGATCCGTCTAAGAACGATAGTTTACTGTTTGATTCTTTTGGCTCTGTGAATTCTATTCCATGTTGTTGATCAAAATGTGGGTGCTTTACAGATCTTTCTTTTTGATAATGACAAATTTGTCGTCCAAATAACTTATCTATATTTTCGGATATATTACTGGTAAAATCGAGGCTTCCTGTCTCTGGATCACTAATTCTGCAATAAGTTCTTATATTGTTGATCTCATTGTTGTTCCCTTCGTCTGTTCACAGATTTTGTTGTTGAATAGAAAATATTTTCTGTTAGACTTTGACTTTGTAGCTTCGTACACTTTGGGGGATTTGCATCATTGGTTAGATGTGGGAATAAGGTTTTCTTTGTTAAGTTTGGTTCAATTAAGGTGAATAAGGGTCTAACGCCCAAAGATATTATTAGTTCGTCGTTGTTGGTTTAAATATCCCTAACCTTATTCAATAATTATGAGGTAGAATTAATGGAGTGATCAAACAAATCCGCCGAACTTTTCAAGATTCTCAAAATTCCTGTTAATAACTTGGTTATGGGGTTGTGGAGAGTGACACATTGAACGTAGCACAATATTCGGTTTGTGTGCTTTCGGCCTAAAGTTGCGAATTTCAAACAACATGTCTCAGAATTGGTCTTGATGGTGTAGATGCATTTACTTGTCTAACTCGAAATCCTGAATTTCAAAATTGTTACTACTCTTACCATAATTATATTCATTACGATAAGTTCATCTTTCTGTGCTGATACAATGGCGAAACTTGGAGATTTACACCAGGTTTCACAGTGTTTATGATTATTGAAACGTTTTATTTTAAGTATGGGATAACTTCTAAAAGGGTTCGTTTTACCAGAATTAAACGATGTTTACGGACAACTGCTCTCCCGTTCTTTCTGTACACTTCAGTCATAGCTGTTTAGTGTTTTCAAATCTGAATTGTCATAATCATATAAACCATGTTGCAGTCACTAGGATGGTAGACGCTCTTAAACAGAATAATAGTTGCAGTGAAGTACAAAATTCCGTACTGAATTTTCCGCATTATGATGAATATTCTTGTTAGTTGTTTAATATTTCAAAAATAACGTTCTATTTTAATATGTGCTACCTCTATCCGTTAATAGATTTAGGCTAATAAAGTTACAATTATTTGTCATATGCGGGACTTAACACTCTAAGTCATATATACGGTTTGACTCCAGAAATGGTGACAGGCCTACGTCTGAAATAGGCAATAAGTAGTTTTTCTTTTGCTCTGTAAAGCAGATTTTTTTGTTTAGCTACACTAAATAATGGTTTATATGTTTACACTTGCAGCTATTTAAGCTGAAGAAGCAACTAACAGAAAGAGATGAACATATCAAAGAGCTATTTCATATAATTCATGATTATGAGGTTTGTCACCTTGAACAATATTAGAACTTAATCTTTTATAGAACGTGTTAAATAGAAATCAAGAACAAGTAACTAAAAAGTCTCACGAATTATTTGTGGTGAGTCGGAAGTTTTTTGAAGACCAGCATACTACAGGCAAAATCTGAACTTTCTGAACTTCGTGCAAAAATAAATGATATTGAAGAAAACGTAGGTTAAATTTTGCAAACGTTTTGATGAATACAGATCAATCTAATGCAAATATGCAGTTCTAAATTTGATGAATTTGAAAATATACAATCTATTTCATTATATGAGGGGTATGTTGTATTGTTGACAAATGAGTTTCCGTATGTGTATGTAAGAAGCCTAATTTTCCTCAATTATCTAAGTAAAAACGAAGCGTTTCATCATTTTTATGTCCAAGTCATGACAAAATTTACTGCTGTTCGCTAAAACTATAATTGCACTAAAGTATTTATTATTATTGATATATGATCTTATTGACAGAAATGTCTTGAATTTATTATTCATTAATCAACAAGGAATGGTATTTCTAGACGTAAGTAAGTAGAAACTAAGTGAGGAAGACATATCGTTTCATAAAATAGGGAAAAAAGAAATTCTACGAAGGCTGCTATATGAAGTCAACCGTATCGAAAATTCACGATTATTACCATTAACTAGTTGAGTTAACCATCACTCAGCTATGTACTAACTTTCCGATCTGGTTCTACTGTGATTTTATCAAATATGGTGAAATATTTCGCAAAGATATTGGTTGACTTTTATATTTCTGAACTGAAAGTTTTGAGCACGTACTGTTTAGTAAATATACTAATTTTTAATAAAAGGTTTAACATAGCACAATAATGTTTTTATATAAATATATCTTTACACTTAGTTTACGTTAGATGATTGAGTAAAGAAATCTAAAACTGATTTTAAAATGTTAAATACATATTGATTAAATCTAAATTACTTAATTATAAAATAGATTATTAGGTATAAAAAAGATTACTAAATCGGCTAGTTGCAAACTAATGCAATAAATGAAAACCGGTGAAAATATTTAATCATACTCATTCTGAACTTGCAACTAAAGATTTATCGTTTAATCTTAAAGTTAGCAATGTTGGTATTTTTATTGACTCTCAACGAGGTAATAATCCATGCCATCACAAATTAAATAAAAGTTTATACTCTCTGAACAAGTGAGTGACTATCCTGACTCAGTACCTAGGTTGATAACACGTCAGGTGTTTGAAACAAAAGGTAGTGTATCCGAATACGGGATTTAACATGAACTCTGGAATGCAGGTGCATCCATTTGATAAGCCTCAAAAAGGGTGCCTCCTGTCTTTTTGTTGTTAATCGCACTATATATATTCTATATAAATGTATTTTACTTAACCCATAAACATAATAACAGACGTTATTAAATCCAACTAATTTCATTCGGGTAAAAGGTTGGTCATACTTTTGTTTGACTAAAACTGTAAAAGTTTTAATGTTCAAGCTGAAAATGTATTGCATCTGAAATGAAAGACAAGACAGGAAATAAACTATCTTCAAGTGATTATTAATTCATAGTTTTCCCTAGATGTACTAATTTTATCCTTGTCTGTTCAACGAAATTTAGTTGTGTATAGTAAAATGACTTTTTAGCTTACGAATTTTTTATATTCGTTTCAACGTAAAAAAACAGGTCTAACTTGCCAATGAATGTTCCAGACATTGATCACAATCAGTCGAAAATTTCAGTAATCCAGTCGCACAATGAGAAGTCATTGATTCAAATTCAGCCAACAACTGCAAAAATCAATCGGAAAAGCTTAGCTGACGAACTTTTTGAAATGGAAGTTGATCAAGATGTTCATTCTATTTTATTTAGATATGGTATTCAGCTTATTAATAGTTGTGCATATTATCGAAACTCATTTACTTTTGAAAATAAAACAGAAGAATTCCTAAGAGATCTGGTACAGATATTTTTAAAATTTTATACGTCCCGTACTTATTTATAACTGTATTTATTTATAAACACATTTTCGCTATTGATTTGTTCATCCACTTTCGAGTGTTTCAATCGGTGTTGAGTAAACTAAGAGAGTCATCGGTTCTATCCCAAACGTCGTAGTATCTGAAACAGGAATGAAATAACTATGTAATCCTTTCTTGCTTTTAGTGGTTCTCTAGCTGATATCAGTCATTTATAAAAATCATTTCAAACACAAACGTGTAAATTAGGTAATGAACGCTCACTATAGCAAAGGTGATTCATCGATCGGTATCGATATGTGGAAGTTAACATATACATTCTTTAAATACTATTAGAACGTTTTTGCATCATCTATTGAGTCTGATGTTATTTGCTGCTGAGATAAAGTTGTTTAGCGAGAATACTATCACACAACACTGTATACGATTCACAATAATTTAACACAGTGTAAACTTTATGGTTGTTTTTATTATCGTTAATTATCAAGTATTTTTGAATGTATTATCACATGATATTTATATTCATTAAGAATTTTGTTAGAAAATAACCAATATTACTGACTTTAGTGGCATTTATCACTTTGAAAAGTGTCAAGCTGTCAAACTATGAATTACGAAAACAATCAACTTTATATTGGTTATCATCTGAAAATTGAAATGACTGAGTTAATTATATAACAGTGTATCTTATCATGATTTGGCACATGTGTCACTTCCAAGTATAGAATATTTTGATTTGTTGCTAAAGTAAATAATGTCCCCTAACACTATTGGTATATTACTTTGGAGAGAGTTTTCTGAAGGACAGTCATACTGAATTCGGACACTTAGTATTTTCAACACCTTTAATACCAGATATAATGAATAAATGCGATATAAGCATTTGAGATACAGTGTAATAGAATTCATATTAAAAATATGTTTAATGGATGAAGACACTGATGGATTATTAAATAACTGCCCAGTTTTAAAATTATATGCATAATTTACTTGTAAATCGAGCTGAAAATTAATGTCCATTTTTTTCCAACATTAAAACAAAAGTTCAGCTATCTAATTTACTTTAACAGTTGCAATATCCTTAAGGTACGCATTTTGTTTCATTTCTGGTACAAGTCGATTCGCCTTCATACCTTCAAACTGGAATTGAGATGCAAAAGAAACTTGTTACGACACTACGATTACTACTTACTGGATTATGAAAAAATACACGAAGGAAAACGGTACTGGTCTGCAGAAGACATAAATGATTTCAAGTGTGAATTAGAGACATATTTCCACTTAATCATTAAACAATGCATGGAAATTTCAGCATTGTAAGTTTAACCGAGTTAAATTACAAGATAAACGAAGATATACAAAGTCACAACGATAACTCAGTTCTAAACTATTGTCCAAGTATGTTCCAATGTTAAAATTCAGTTTGTAGTGTCAATGTGAATTATTCAATCCGAAGTGAGTCCAAAGTATGGCACATGAGGCTGTGTATCTAGTGTTCATCTAAATCCAATGATGCAAGTCCATGGCAAGGGTCAAGTTAGGCATATATATATATATATATATATATATATATATATATATATATATATATATATATATATATATATATATATATATATATATATATATATATATATAGCGTATGTTTGTACTTTTATCTTAATATAAAAGGTAGTCAAAGACAAACTAAACAATTAGATGTCAGTTGTCCTCTTCGCTATTATTGATCATAATATTTGAGGTATAAAAGGAATATACAGTATCTTTCGATAATGTAATAACTAGACTGGAAATGAGGTAAGAGAAGATAAGGATAATAATAATAATAATAATAATAATAATAATAATAATAATAATCTGAACACAATTCAAAACCTAATCACTCTGGATAATAAGTCAATATTACCAGGGTAGGTTTAAGGTAAGAACAAACCGTTTTTGAATACACAAAGGGGGTTTGAATTTTCGTATACGCCCTTTTACACTTTTATATAATACCACAAAAGCCCAGTTTAGATCAATCTTGTGCCCTGTTTCAATTATATGTTTAGCATTACATTATCGAAATTTATAAAAGGGACTAATTGCTTTAAATTTCTTAAAAGAAGACTCCTTGCACATACAATCAAAAGGTTAGATGAACTTGTTAACCTTAAATGTAAAATTGTATCGGAACGCGTGAAACTGAACTTCTATAAATCTTGTTTGTCGAGTCACATATTCTCAAATCAACTATATAAGAATTTACGTTCAAGTAAATTACAACCGAATATTTCAAATCTCATTCGACTGTCGAAATCGTATATAGATAATTGCCAAGATAAACTGATCAATTTAATTGAATTACACACTCAAGCATTGCCAATATTAAATGAAATATCTATAGTCTGTCATATTAAATTCGTCAACTTTTGCAGTAATGTCATTTTGAAAACAAAGGAAAGGATCGGTAAAAAGCTCGAAAAATCTTGTATTATTACTAATCATGTTAATTTATTCCCAGTTAATCCTGATAAGTATGTCACTAATTTATCTTCGATTGCATTATCTGCTAATGAGAAGGAAGCACTTTCTCTTGGTTTTAATTTCTCGGTCCCCATAACGCAAATGTCTGAATTGGAAATAAATGCCCAATTCGAAAATCTATACGATCGATTGAGTACTCTAACCCCTACGTCTTTAAATAATCAAAGCTGGTGTAAAGCTAAACTGGTGGATATAGCACACCAATTCCATAATGTTGGACCAAAGCAGAGAACCATATTAACTTCTCAGCATTTTAAATCAATAAAAGAACTACGAACAAACCCTGATATTGTCTTGTTAAAACCTGATAAAGGATCAGACGTAGTTATCATGAATAAATGTGAATATAAAATTAAGTTGTTATCCATCCTCTGTGATGAAAGTAAATTTATGCCTGATGTTGAATGTGGAGGTATTGGCAAACCAGAGGGAAGAGTAAATTCAAACCTGGAAAAATTATTACACATGAATATTATTAATAAAGAGGAATTTAATTTTCTAAAACCTATGGGTTCCGAATACCCTCATTTATATGGACTACCTAAAATTCATAAACCAAGCATTCCTTTACGTCCAATTCTATGAATGTGCAGATCACCTACACATAACCTGGCTAAATGGTTAACAAAGTTATTGGACCCTATCCGAAGACATCTATGTAAGTATTCTCTAAAGGATTCTTTTGAACTGGTCGATCAATTAGGTGATATTAATATCAAGGAAAAGACAATGTGTTCATTTGATGTGAATTCCTTGTTTACAAATGTACCTTTGAGAAAAACTATTGATATATTATGTGATTACATATCTGTAAACAATCTTCAATCACGTGTCCCTGTAAAAATTCTTAAAGATTTACTGTTATTATGTACTGACAAAGTTCAGTTCACCTTTGAAGGTGAATACTTTCATCAGATTGATGGGGTTGCTATGGGTAGTCCGCTAGGACCATTATTAGCAGACGTGCTCATGGCACATTTTGAAAATCAGGCTGATGACTTAATTGAAAACATGTCACTTTATAAGAGATATGTGGATGATATCCTAGTTGTTTGTGAAAGAAAAGAGGATATGTACCGTTTATTAAATAAATTCAACACTCTCCAAAACCATATCAGACTCATGTGAAGAGGAGAAGAACTATCAGCTCCCCTTCCTAAATATACTTCTGAGTAGACGAGATGGCTCAGTTAAGCGGTCGATTTTTAGGAAACCAACGTGGACAGGTCAATACATTAGTTATTATTATTTATTGCCCTGTGCAATACAAACGTGGTTTGATAAGGTGTCTTTTCAACGGGCTTGATCGTATTTGTACAAATGACACCATTGATGATGTTAAGTTGTTAAACAAAACATTAATAGAAAATGGTTACCTTCTGAAATTCATAAATAGATGGGAAGTCCACGGTACAGTGAGACCTACTGTAGCCTCGGTGGAAAAAAAGCCTGTCTACATCACCTAACCATTCAGAGGTGATTCAAATAGCCTTTTATTGTAACAAAGACTTAAATCAGTCATCAGCAAAACGTACTGCGCAGCAAAGGTCATTGTCAAAGAAAGAACAAAGTGATAATAATAACAAAGTGGTAATATTGACTTATTATCCAGAGTGATTAGGTTTTGAATTGTGTTCAGATTATTATCATTATTATTATCCTTATCCTTATCTTCTCTTACCTCATTTTCAGTCTAGTTGACCTTTTATTTTTATATATAAATGCTCTTAACAAGTATATGTGTGATCAGATTGTTCGAAATGTATTGCGCTAATATAACACATAGTTCTGATAATCTCCGTCTTCTTATTACATAATCGAAATTTATTAAAGTGACTAATTGTTTTGAATATACAGTAGCAAATAACTTGTTTTCATTTTGTTAACTGTACTTCATTCTACCTATGAAGATTATTTTGGTTCGCCCTTATGTCTATGTGTTTGGATGTCAATCCTTCTTTAGAAGGCACAAAAACTTTCTGAAAGACTTTGGTTTCACTGAAGTCAGTTTGTATTCGGTTTCTAATAGACATAATGATGAGTGGATAAGAACAGTACTTGAAATGTGTTTTAATCCTCAGAAAGTAGGAAAATAGATCACTAATAGTACTCTTGTTCAGGTCAATCTTTATGAAAGCGTTTAAATTACAAAGAAAATTTATTTCGACTTTCTCACGTTCGCAGTCAAAACTTACCACTCAAAAACTGGAATTATACCGAGTAATTTAAATAATGTTTACTGAAATAAGCAAATTATAATAAAAATTAATAGACTAATTCCTTACAAACAGTTATAATTGCCGCTAAAAACTTCGAAATAGTGACATTAAATATGTTGTTTGTTTAATCTTATGAAAACTTTGTTAACGGTAACAGACTCTTGAGTCACTGCACTCAATCATTTATCAAGTTGTCCGTTCTATTTAGTGTAGTTTGTTATTGGTTATGGGAATTTACTCCTTCAATCACTTAAAATAGTGTCCACAGACCAATGCTCTCTCCATATTCATGTGTGTGGTGTGCGCTACTTATGTAGACATAAGTAGTATATGACGTGAGTCATGAACAGAATGTCTGGCAGTAGAGAGACGAGAAGATCGAACAATAAACAATAAAGAAAGAATGCAATTTGTAGGAAAATGCAAGAACAAAGGACTTTTGAGTCATTTGAGACAATTGATGAACATTTCGCAAATTGAGAATTTCATATATGGTTGTTGGATTTTACTAATTAGTTCTGTAATTTGTTGTTAAATACATTCGATTGTTCTCACTGGTGTTTTGTTCACTATAATGTGCAATAAACTAACTAAATAAGTAACCAGAAAAATAAACGACAAATCTTATGGTTTTATCCTTTAAATTTATCTTTTATTATTCTGAACTACATAGAACAGGAATGCATTTTCAAAAAGCACCAACACTTTGGACCGATGTGCCATCAAATGTCGGAGCGCGATTTCCAATGGTAGGTTGCTTCTCTATCCATTCACGATGCTATAAAACTGCGATAAACCAAAATAAAAATTATAACATTCATTTTATGAAACAAAGTTACGCTTTTTGATAAATTTACTTTAGATGTTTTTCGTCATTCTTTATCTTGTAGAGTCCCTCTCCTAAGTATTCGCTTTATATTGTAGACATTCGTCAATCGATCTACTTTGGAAACGAGATCATCTTCAGCACATGCTGTATTTTTTTCAGGTAGGTCAGGAAACAAAATTATAATAAGAGAGTGTGAGGTTGGTATAAATAGGCATTACCCATTGGACCTAATTAATGTACATAGATTGTTTCTGTTCTTGGGATAACAATAAATAATTAAACGACTAGTGGACTATAACAAGAAGCACAATAGTACCAGAACATGTTTATAAGTATATTTCCGGCAAAATGATAAGTAAACCGAAGCCTAAGAAATCATTTTATTATAAAAAGACAAGAAATAGTTCATTGATTAGAATTGTTTTATTGATAAAGGTATTCAAATATTTTAGTGCACGATAGGTAGTATGAAACTTAGGTAGTTTTGCAAATCAATAGTTATGTCAAAGTAACTAGATATGTTTTGTAAGATAGGTAAATAGATATGCGTCATATAAAAACAATCTTACCAAATATACTATCTTTCTGTATTTATTATAGCATTTAATAAATTTAAAACTTGTTCAAATCAGTAGAGAGATGAAGAATAAATTAAACGAAGTGCTTAACTTGACTGTGTTTTATGTTTGAGAAAAATAAGTCGTTACTGGGACATCAAATTTTATTCTAAAATCAGAAGTTTATAATTTAATGGAACTTATGAAGTGAAAATATACGAAGGAATATCAGGGGATGGAAGATTGATAAATGCGAAGTGTATGAGGCACCCTTTAAGAAAATGAATGTGTCAATTGAATAAAGAAATCGATATGCATATCGTAATAAAACGTTTTCTAAAGGTAATGTATAATAATATACCCAAGTTTCAACAAACTACTATGAAGGATAAAAGAGTTAATTACTGAAAGTGTAATAGGAAACTATCTCGTCAATTGTCCGTTCTCTATGTAATCTTTCCAATAAAACAAAGTTAAGACTTATACTAGAGCTGAAAGATAACATCTACAAATTGTTCTTCTTATTCCAGTGTAGTACTTACCTTGTATCGAGGACTGATATACATTATGCATAAGATTCATTAATTTTGAACAAAAAATATATGTTGGGCAACACCATCATGATCTAACTGCGAATTTTCAAGTATTTAATCATTAAAACTGAGTAGTTAAGGTCAGTCAGTCAATAACAACGTGGAACTTCGTACGTACGTACATCAGTTCGAGTTGCCATACCACATTAGCACAGAGATTCAGTTATCGATTCAAATCCCATAGTGGTAGAGGTACTGAAAGTATAAGTAGAGATAGGAGACATTAAGGTTTGATGATGTTATTAAAGGAGTATAGTCCAGTGGAATAAATTGGGAAAGAAAATAAAGGATATGAAGAATTCAGAAGATTAGAGTTTGAGAGAACACAAAGAGTGGATGCACCTGCGCCATTGCAAACGATTTTGAGCCATGTCATTCAAGGTCTCTAACCATCGGTTGCTATAGTCTCGCGGTCCCCAACCAGGTAGTCTACACCTACCAACATGACTCAGTCCACTTGTCAGTGACTTCATGGATTTGTGCCATGTTTTGGTCTGGCCGCCCCTAGCTTTCTTCCAACCTACTCCTACATCATAAAACATAGCACGTCGGGGCAGTCGGTGGTCGGGCATGCGCAACACATGTCCCAGCCATCTCAAATGATTGAGTTTCACTACTTCCCCAATTGATTTTCCATCCTTACCTAGTACCCGTTTCCTAACAACTGAGTTACTTACTCGGTTGTCCCAGGATATACGAGCAATGTTTCAAAGACATCTATGATCGAATACTAGTAACCTACGAATATCCTCTACTCTTACCGGCCATGTTTCACTGCCATAAAGTAGGACGGAACGAACTGCTGCGCAGTAAACACGTCCTTTGGTTGATAGACGGATATCTCGCCTACGCCACAAATGACGCAAGTTGGCAAAAGCTAGTCGAGCCTTTTGTATCCGTGCTGAGATTTCGTCACACACCAAACCACAAGGGCTGATGAGACTTCCGAGATAAGTGAAGCGGTCGACACGCTCAAATACTTCACTCCCTATTACTAGTTCGGGTGTCGACGCAACCCAATCCTGAAGCAACATTTTGCATTTCGAGGGAGAGAATCGCATGCCGAACAGGCTTGCATTGTTGCTTAGAGTGATCAGCAGACCCTGCATTCTGTCAGCGTCTTCACTAAATAGGACTATGTCATCGGCATATTCTAAGTCAACAAGTGGATCTCCCGGTAGAAGTTCAACTCCTGGAAATTTAGATGAGGAAAGTGTCATCTCTAAAAGGACGTCAACGACAAAGTTAAACAAGAATGGAGAGAGTGGACAGCCCTGACGAACACCACTTGAGGCAATCAATTCTGATGACAGTTCATCATAAGCTCTCACTCGACCAGATGTGTTCGAGTAGAGAGCCTTTATAAGGTTGACGTACTTCTTTGGTACTCCCTTCAGTGACAAACATTGCCATAGAACCTTACGATCAACAGAGTCAAATGCCGCCTTAAGGTCGAGAAATACTATCATTGTGGGGCGTCTGAATGTATGTCTATGTTCTAGGATCTGATGTAATGTGAATATTTGATCTATACAACCACGTGCAGGTCGGAAACCAGCCTGGTTTTCTATAGTCTGTTCTTCACGAGCTTTGGTTAGACGTCGAAGTATTCTTGAAGCTAGTATTTTAGACACTGTATTAGTCAAACTAATTCCTCTGTGATTGTCACAGGAGGACTTTTGTCCTTTCTTATAGACTGGTACAATCAGTGATTGAGACCAGTCAGATGGGATTACGTCCAGTTCCCAGATTCTACCTAAGACCTCAGTCAATCTCGCTGCTAATACTGGACCGCCATCCTTAAAAATCTCAGGGGTAAACCTGTGAGGGCCTGCTGCTCTCCCACGCTTCAGATTTCCTATAGCTTTTTCAACTTCGTAAAGAGTCGGAGGACTTACATCAACTTGCCATTCAGGTCGACTGGGGATCGTGGGAAACCGAAGTGTGGCTGAAGGCCAGTTGAACTGATCCCTAAAGTGTTCTGCCCATTGATCCAATCTCCTGGATTGAGAATGAATAATATGTCCATCTTTCTCTGCGATTGTTTCGCTAACAGTTGGGTTCCTAATACCGGTTTCCTTAACAAGTCTGAACAGTTGCCTGCTGTTACCTATTGCCGCTGCCTTTTCCATCTCTCTTGCTTTCGCTACCCACCACTGTTCACGATCTTTGCGTAGGCTTCTAGTCAGCTTACGCTTAAGCTGACTCCGCTCTTCGTTATGTTCAGAGCCAGATGGAATGAGTTTTCGAGCATCTATCAGTGCGGTAGATGCTGCTGAGATCCAGTGTTTCTCCCTAACCTTATGGTTTACCGTACTTGCAGACATCACTGCTGTTTCTACAGCTTTTCGGATGTCATTCCATGCTGCCTCGGGGTGGGTATCACTTACATGGCTGCCTAACTGTTTTTCTAGATGTTCCTGAAATAGACTCTTAGCTTGACTATCATTTAGTAGGACCCTAAGGGGTTTCCTTGCAGCATGTTTCCTACGTCCAGTAAGACGTAGACAAATACGCGCTCGCACTAGAGCATGATCTGAGTCTAAGCATGTGCTCCAGAATGAGCGACAGTCTTCTATCGAACCCCTCCATCGGTGGCTGATAGCGATGTGATCTATTTGGGTCCAGCGTTGAGACGAATTAGGGGGTCGCCATGTCAAAAGATGTTTTTCCTTATGCTTAAAGTTAGTGTTTGCAAGAAACAGGCGGTTATCTGAGCATAGCTGCAACAGACGGTCGCCGTTATCTGTTCTTTGAACCGCGACACCATAAGATCCACCCAGGTGTCTTTCCTTTTTGCTTAGTTTACCTACTTGAGCATTAAAGTCACCAGCCACTATTACTATATCTGAACGCCTACCTTTTCGGAGAAGGTCGGAAAGCTTTCTGTAAAACTCATCTTTTACATCATCTGAGCTGCAGTCAGTGGGACAGTAGGCAGAGACGACGAAGAGGCAACGACGAGTGTCCCTATCTTTTCGAGTCTTTACTGTTCCGTTTAGTCGGACAGCACACAAACGACTGTCTACTGGGATCCAGTCTAAGGGAGCTAGTTCTGCCCTAGGACTCAATGCTATACCTACGCTAGCGAGGCCACGGGATGCAGCATCAGGGCTTCCAGATACACGAAGCGTAAATTGAGTTGGTTCGTTACTTTGACATGGTGCAGTCAAATGAATGACACTACTAGGATCCTGTGTGCGCGTTTCGGAGACGCAGCACACATCGATGGAGCGAGATTCTAAAGTCTTAGCTAAGGAACCCTGTTGTCCTATTTGGCACAGTGTTCGGACGTTGAAAGCTCCTACGTGTAGTTTGGAGCGTGGTTTCAGGAGACCAGGAATAACTTTCCGCGTACTCGAATCGTTTGCACTAGCGGGGCGAGGTGATAAAGGGACGTGAGGAGGGTTAGTCGTGGAGATAAGAGAGTTATTAGGAGGTGTAGGAAGGATTTGAATGTGACCAACTTGGTCTCGTGTGCTGTTACGGGTATGAGGGCTGAAATCACTTCCCGGTTGCCCACACCGTGGAAGGGTATTTCTTGGGGGACCTGAAAAGGAAATCGGATTAGTGTTGGTCTTAGCGACCTGAGTGCGTGACCGCAGAGCCCAAGGGACAACTGCTTGAGGCCGGTCGCGCACGGCCTTAGTATTTCTCTATTTGTTCTTTTTATAAAAACGACTAATCTTTCCAGTGGTACACGTGTCTTTCAAGCCGAAAAAAAAATTCTAAAATCCATTTCTATATTAACATTGGGAGGCAATATTTCACAAGATTGTTGAGTGGTTTGATTTCCGTCTCACAAAATATCTATCATTCCGACATTCTCAATTTCCCTTTTTCTAGTCATGTCGTTCCGACTTGAAATATTTCCGTTTTTCGTAAAGATCAGTCCATATTTTCAGGTGATCGGCTGCACTTATCTTCCCAATGGTTAATGTATGGATAAAATACTGATGAACTAACTAACAGCTTTTAGGTGCACTAAAACGTCGACTAAACAATACAGGGTACATTATAATTCTCTGATAGTCTACTTCTCGATTTTCATTTGTAGGTTGAGTGGGTTTTTTAAAATTGAGTTGCAAATACATCTTAAAACCCATTAAATTGCTTGTGAATCACTTATAATTAACATTGTACTGTCTTATGACTGATAATATAGGAAGGTTTGGAAAAAAAGGAAGAGATGTTCGTAACGGGACAGTGAAACATGAAAAAAAAGATATCGATGATTGGTCTTTGGTTCCAGTGATTACCGAAAGAATCCAGTTGACTAAAACCAACTACCTTATTGCTAATCAAGAAAACGAAACGTTAGTAAATATCAATTGAGTTTCAAACGTAAATGTTGAATATTTTGTATTGAAAGTAGTTAATCATCTTTTTCACATTCAATTCATTCCTAAGTATTTTATGATTATCTAAATCAACCTAGAAATAAAGCGTTATAAAAATGTTTTATGGTATTAGCCGTACTATATATGTTTTAGTTACTTAACGTTCATCTGACGATGTATTACATTTATCAAGCAATTTACTGTTATTTCACACAATCCAAAACAAATAATAATAACCGTTTTAATATGTGAATGGGTAAATAATGTATGCGAAAATGTTAATGAGAACCATTTATGACCTCATATAACCCCAATGTTATTTAAATAAGACTCCGATCAGTCGTTAAATAGCTTTTCGAAATCGATCTTTTAGGAAAAAAGGTTTAAAACGACAGTTTTCGAACTTTTTATATAAATGTTACATAAATCACGGGATGGAAAAATTCTAGTAAAATTCCAGTGTTGAAAACTAAGTCAGTCAGGACTCAAAATGTTTATATTGATGATACTGGAAGCAATCATTTACTGGCAAACCCACCATTTAGTTTCCTTATAATCAACATTCGAAATATAATTTATTCAGTTTTAAGCACTTTATTAATCATAATTTATCACCTGTGCTTTTTAATTAGAATTCATCTTGATTGCAGTAATACGTACAACTGACTCGAGACATGAGTGTGTAAACTGACATCTGAATTCGAACTTAGTGTACACCATTTATGAATAAAGTTTTTCTTAATCTCACTTTCACCCTAAAAAGCAAACATTTGACTAGAAAGATTGTTTAGATTGTGAAAAAATTCCACTAGATATTACATGTTTTAGGTGTTCGCTTTGGTTGTTGTCACCTTTTGATTCTACCAGTTTCATCTCGAGATCGCTGCTTCAGTATCGAAAAATGGATTGACTATTAAGTTAAACTGTAGTCCAGATGTTTTAAATCATTAAACAATCATGGGAAATTGTAATTGATTTCTGAAATCTGCTAACTTTGTTCCTGAGCTGATTCGAACGAGACAACTTATATCCCCAATGCTTGGAAGTGTATGTGTTTACATCCTTCAAGTTCCAGATTGAGCCTGATTTCAAACGTCTTACCTTTGATTCACAATTCATGTACATGAACATTGTTATTCTTTACTTTCTTAGTGAATTCCTTTAGCATATCAAGTATTTTGAAAAACTGCGAAATTAGAGAGCTACTAAGTTGTTTTGAAACTCATATGCACCTTTCGTGTTTAAAAGAATATCAAAATATATTCTTTAGAACTGCACACCCATCTCAGCGCTTTTCTGAGACTTAGCTTTTACATGTAGTGTCTGTCATTATGTTAAGCCCAAATACCTTATTATTCTAACTTTCGGACAGCCCTTCTATTCATTCTATTTGAGTCACATTCTGACCTTGTTAGTTATTCGCTTACCAGTATTTTGACCGTCTTTATATGAGCGCGTAGGTGTATGTACACTTCTTATCCCATTACTCATCACATGTCTGTATTTTATTTTTGTGTGCTTATAAATATTGATTAGCTCTTTGTTAAGGGGGGTGTTGGCTTACCAGCCATCTCCACCGCGCGCCAATTTAGCTTTGCTTTCTCATCTTCGCATCGTTCCTCCGTTTGTTTGTCTAATCAACAATTACACAAAATATATGCATTCAAAACTCCATTCTCGTTATTTGACTTGTTTAATTCCGTTATTAGCTAACGCGATTTAAGTCAATGATTATACACGAGGATAGGCGATAGCAATCAAACATTCATACGATCAAATTGGAGTCAGATCTCGGGCCACTAAATACATATACATATATAGACGATTTCACCGACAGCATTGAATACAATGGTGGGTAGCATGAGACTAAAACTATAAAAATATCATTTGAAGAAACATATACTAAACTGTTTTCATAGAAATAAATGTAACTAGGTGGCTGGACTAAAAGATTTAATGATACAATTATACTAAACAAAATAGAGATAAACCCTATTATTCTCAACCTCAAGTCTCGGTGGCGAATTGGTATTGTTGTCAGAAATAGTTTTTTTCAGTTTTTAAATTTCTTCCACTTCCATTACTTTTTTAATTGGTCTTCTTAAGATCTTTTACCTTAATTTTTCAAGGATTTAATTTAATTTAAAAGTCATGCATTCAATCATGTCATCAGCTATTTTAGCAAATATTTATTACAATTCACTAGCCATTCTACATTTCAATAAATTAGGTATGTTATTCCCCACTAATTTTGAAGTATTCCGCTTAATTCTTGTCCCAAACACAGTAAAGGCTCATAATTGATTATTTTTGCTAATAAATTCATATTTAAGGAGATGCGTACTAAAAATTATTTTTCTTATCAAGTCTCGTGAAACAGATTTCTTATGTTTGAAGTTGAACCCAGTGACACAAATCGATTTTATTACTTAATATTTGTTCTTGCAAGACTATGTTTTACTAAACAGACAATCAGAATTCAAGTTTTAAATCCATTGAATCCTTTTAGAAATTAATGATTGACGAAAATAATGATTAACTCTCATTCAGAGTTAAAATATTAATGAATGACTGGATTCAGTATTACCCGTAATAATTTCAACCTTTTTTAGACTGCTGAAATCATTTCCTGCCTCAATAGAACAACTTACAGATATATTCGAAGCTGATCATAAGATTTTACTGTGTGGTATAAATATGGGGCAACTGAAGAAAACTCATATAGAAATTTCACTAACTCGAGAGGTTCTAAAACTTAGAAAAATATCTGCCGTAAGTCTGAGAAACATTTGTTTGTTTACAAATTTCTAACTGAACTTCCAAGCTCACGTCATTTTACACGTTTTAAGATAATATTTTTCATTAAGCAATAAATATTTTCTTATCTGGAATGATAATTTTTTGTATTGAACAATCGGTAAAACGTACACACAAGCAATACAGTATGATTGAGTGTTATGACCTTGATTTGTCTACCCACTTTTTGGTGCCGAGGATACTTGTCTAATCTAGATTTCGACCTTGATGCGATAGGCTGATCGGCTTAACCTTGAGACTAGTACGCGTGAGTTCGAGATGGGGTAGAGAGAAAAAAATCTATCCTGTCACCTGATTGGTGGGCAAGCACACGAATGAGAGAAGACAAGACAACTGGAACACTACTCGATCTATTTTCCTGATCACTGAACTCACTGGATTCACTGAATTTACTGAATTCAGATTAGTGTAAAAAGGTACATGAATAAATAAGTGAATAACCCGACCTCAACGTACAATAATTAGGAAAAATACAGTTATGTCCAAAGCTGGGAATTAGAGTAGAAAATAGGGTGCAAAATAATATGTTTAAATTACAATAGCTTCGGAACAGAAAAAGGTATGGCAGTGAATGATACATCGAACGAAAGCTTATGTTCTGTAGAATAGATTAGGGACAAAAATAAATATCAGTGTTTTACAAGCTTTGAATAAAATGAAATAACGTCCCGAAAAATAGCCTTCGTAGTTTGTCAGGGCTTCTTGTTTCCCGGTTCACATCATTGAGCAAACGGAAAAAAATATCAGTTTGTTGATGGATATATTTCTAGAGTTAAAACTATTTATTTAATTATGGAGAAATTTATGAATCTTAAGGGTTGATTAAAATCTGATCAGTATTTATATCTGGATTAACCATAGTGAGTGAAGTATTTGGGAGTATTGACTATATCATTTACTTGGTGAGTTCCTATTAGCTTCCGTTGATTCGTATGATTTCTGATCCAGATGAGATTAATCTATCTATTGAAGAGGATATACTGAGAATCAGTTTGCTTTGTGTGTATATTTATGGTTAAGGAATATACCTTTGAAAAGTAGAGGATATAAATAAGTCGTAGGTATTGGATGATAAGTATGTGTGCAGAATCGCTTACATATAGTATAGAGATAGTATAAGGGTTGTAAATATTGGCGTGAGTTGTGACGGGTTGGACACGTATCGCGCTTTAGTCTGTAACTGACTGACTACTTAAAGTCTAATTTTAAAAACACATATGTTCAAGTCCTCTCATTGGAAGCGATATTTATACACCCCGGTTTTGCTTCATAAGTGAGCAGCTCTTCATGGTCTCTAGTGGTCGCTCAAACAATGATAGCATTTTGAATTACACAGATAATTTGAAGCTGAATTTATAGTAAAGCGATTATATATTTCAATGCATCTACAAAAGCTTTTTACATTAAAAAAAATGTAGATTTTGGAGATTTAGAATTTACCTAAAGTTGACATTTAGATGAAGTTATATTTAATAAGCACTTAAGTAATATCCACTTTTTGGTAAATCAACTACGTAAGGTTTTTAAATAATCATTTTAAATAGCGACCCATTACTTTAGTCTTTTACAAACTTATCAGTTTCATAAAAGCGTTTATAACATCTCACAATTTAACTGACAACAGTTTACTGCAGTTTTTGAAATTAGGAATATGGATAAAGCCAATGAGCTTTCAGAATCTAAAGCCTGGACTGATCAGATTGAATTTTGGAGAAGAAATATATAATCTTCTTGAATCCCGAAATTCTTCATTTACTTCAGATAACACATTTACCAATGCAGTATCTAGCTATATATTGACACTGAACGAGATTATGTCCCAGGTCAGGTTCTCACCACTTTACGATGATCATTCTCCACATGATAAAGGTGTAAGTCTTACTTTGAAAATTTGCAGTACTAAGTGATTTGTTTATTAAATAGTAAAAGAGATATTTGATAGCCTCCCAGTAATTCAAAAAATCTAACAGTGATAGAGATGTTCATTTCAAATTTAATTGAAGGATACCAAGGACCTCAACTAACTCACCACAGATTAATCCCTTGGTGGCGAATAGATTTACAGAAATTAAACCTAGGACCTCTGGTCTCGCACAAACGCTTCGCCTCTGAACTACTGATCTGGTATGCAACAATGTTAATGTCTCGATTTAACTATTCCACGATATCTCCAGATTAACATTAACACCGTTGGCAGCCGGCTCAGTGGTCTAAAAGTGTTCAATTCCCGAGTGGATGCTGACAGCTGAGAAGTCTCATACTAGAACGAGACGGCCGTACAGTGCTTCCAGACTCTTAGTGGTGTTCTAACCTTGATTGGTTCATGATTTCAATGAAACTCAACAATCTTCACAACCCTATACTAATATCAATTGACAGTTAGCATTCACAAACACAGAAATTTCCTGCATTGCCGAGATAGTTTTTTCTGATTCCTCGATTATTAATCTAATAAACTTGTTATTTCAAAACATGAATCATGCAGCTTATTTTGAATATGCTAACAATAACAAATTTTTTAGGTATCATTACCAAGGTTTGATTTGATAATTTCGAATAAATTGAGCATTGGGTAGATTGTTATTAATGAATAATATATCTGTAATATCCCAACGAGTAGAAAAATTAGATTTTCTGACGTTTCGTGACTTAGTGTAAGCCGCTTCTTCAGAGAATAAATAACCAAATTAAAATTAATCTAAGTTTAAATAGTACAACAGAACAATAAAAAATATGTGATCAATCAACTTGTTCAGACCTGTTTTTGATTGACCAGATATTATTCTTATTGTTCCGTTGTACTATTTAAACTTAGATTAATTTTAATTTGGTTATTTATTCTCTGAAGAAGCGGCTTACACTAAGTCACGAAACGTCAGAAAATCTAATTTTTCTACTCATTGGGATATTACAGATATATTATTTATTAATAACAAATTTTGTGTATTCGCATACAATTAATTTTTCGAACCATCAATTTTATTAACATTTTATTTCTTTAAGGACTATCTCCGACAATTGCTTAAATATCTGGAGACACAAATATATTTATTCATTCAAGAACTCACTCAGTATCGAATCCCAAAGCCCATGGGAAAGTAAGTTAGCTTTGGTGCACCTTACGAGACAAAGTATGGAAACAATCAGTTGCTCATAAGTTTTTCACTAAAACATCCTTTGAGGCTATAGCTATTCAGTGAAAATTAAAAGACCTCAACACGTATAAGCAGTATTTCCTACTCAATTTTTCAATACGACATGTGATCCATAAAACATTTTTACGGAAACGTTCTAAATATGTTTTTAAATCTTGAGGCGATCAGACATAGGCTAATTGATAAATGCATGAATCTACAGGGAAACTGGGTATCAGTATCGAAATCGAACAACACAGGTTGCATGCATCACATAAATCTTGAAACTCAAATTGACAGTAAATAAATTCCTCTAACAGAAAAAATATGAATATATAAGATAGAGATAGATGAATTCAATTCACTTTCACACTCACAATAAACTCCTTTATCTTTCATTCACTGAAGAATCTTAGTCATAAAAAAGGTGATCACTAAATATTTTGTTGGTAACTTTCCAAGGTAACAAAATGTTTCAATTTCATATTCAGAAAAGGTTTTTATTATTTCAACTCAATTCAAAATAAAACGAACCATGTAAATTGGAAAATGGCACGGCCAGCTGGACTAGAGCAAGAGCGACTGTTTAAAGGGGGGAAGAGTGTGATGTATGTCACTTATGTCTGTCGACATAAGTGGTATACAACACCAATTAGAAGTGGAACGCCTGGCAGCAGAAGCATGGGAAGATCAAATCGAAGAGAACGGGAACAAAGAGTAATTGTTACGACAATGAAGAAACGATGAAGTTTGAGAAAATTGATGGAAGATATGCAAATAAAGTATTCAATGTACGCTTTTCATATTTTACAAAAGAACTCTGTAATTTCGTACTAAACAATAAATTGGCTGCTCCCACCTTCATTCATTAAATATGCAGTTCTGTCCACCAAAAACATTGTACATCGTATACTTTACAAATGATTTATTAGTCATTGTTGCATTAAAATTATTTGACGAAAAACACTTATCTGAAAGGTGATATTTAAATGAGAAATTTCTCGCCCAATATTCATAAAATGATAAGTGATTTTTTATTTATAACTTGATTCATTTACAAATGTTTATTGTTACAAATAATACTAAAATCGCATTTTTTTAATAATGTATTCAATTTCACAGCAGCCAAGAAAATATTCACGTGAGTTTCTTTGAAATAATTTATCCAATAATGGTCTGTCTTTTAAATTAGTGTTACATGTAGCGTAAAACGTGGTTATAGACACATAATGACATTGATTAAGTCATTGAACATAGTCTATTACTGTTGTAGGATATCGTCCAGTATATCAATGCATGCAGTATATATTGTCTTCACTTTTAATTTATTTGAAACTCTGAATTATCTGTAATTTATTATACACAGAAAGATGAGGGAAAGTATTTGTAAGTGTAAACTCGCGAAGTCTCATATTATGAACTTAGACAAAGCTCTTTACGTAGGATTTGACGATAGAGTGTTTGATATATATGTATTAGAAACGCTAAGTATCAGAGAAATCTGGTTATTGTTTAAGAGGAAAGTATAAGATTATCGTTGTTTCCGTTCATATTCATATTATTCAATATATGTGAAAATGATTTTTCATTCCTATTACAATTCACTTACCTACACAGTTCCAATGGCTTAAATATCATTTTAATATTCAAACTAAAAATTTTATTTACTGAACACATTTATTACGTATCCAATATACATTTATAATACCTAACCAAATATTTATTTGTATTTGTTAAAACAATATTTGCTGTTTGTAAAACCGACTTAAAGATCGAGACCAAACCTTTGATAAACTCATTAAATCTAAAACCAAAACAAAGAATTTTTCTGTAATATGGTCCTATTATCAAACAATTATAAAGTAATCTATTCTATAAATCTCAGTTCATGAGACAGTTAAAGAGTTTACTTGTGTCATAATACGATCTAAAAAGAAGTGCTTCTAGTAGCTTTATAAGAGTAACTTATGAAAAACGTATGACAAATGAATTGAGAGAAAATAAATTATTCATCACAGATAATTACACTTAACCACCCTGATCTATAACTCCGCCTGGAGTCCCTCCAAGGACTACTGTCGGTCCCAAGTCCAGATAAAAGAGGAGGGTTGAGCATGGGGTTAGCGACCCCATCCCGTAGAAAGCCAACTTGCTAATAGACGCTAACCTGAAAAAATAATTCAATTCATTTTCACTCGGCCATGGGAGTTAGAAGGTCTTCATTTAGAAGAGTTATGATGCCTCATGTTGAAAGCAGAGTTCCGTCGGAAGTCACGAGGCTGATATCCCTTTGTGAAAACCAGGGCAACTATTAATTTAGGCACATGGAATGCTCGTACAATGTGGGAGACCGGGAGAGTCTTCCAACCTAGAGGTGCTTGGGATCAGTGAAACGCATTTGACGCAAGTTGGACAACAACGACCAGCTTCAGGGGAGCTGTTGTTATACTCCGGTCGTAAAGAAGAAAATGCCCCACATACACAAAGAGTTGCATTGATGCTCTCTAAAAAAGCACAAAATGCACTTATAGGATGGGAATCTCATGGACCAAGGATCATCAAACCCTCTTTCAAAACAAAAAAGAGGGGATTTCGATGAACGTCATCGAATGTTATGCGCCTACCAACGACTACAATGAAGACGCTAAAGATCAATTATACAGTGGGCTGCAGTCAATCGTCAAGAAGAGCCCAACAAAGGACTTGACCATTCTGATGGGAGATTTAAACGCCAAGGTTGGAATGGACAACATCAGATATGAAGACATCATGGGACGACACGGACTCGGAGAAAGGAACGAAAATGGTGAGAGATGTGCAAATCTATGTGTCTTCAATAAACTGGTCATAGGTGGCACGATATTCCCACACAAATGCATACACAAAACCACATGGACTTCACCTGATCACACTACGCAAAACCAAATTGACCATATCTGCATCAACTAAAAGTTCAGGTGGACGATGGAGGACGTTAGAACCAAGAGAGGAGCTGATATAGCATCAGATCATCACTTGCTGGTCGCCAAGATGAAATTGAAACTCAAGAAGCACTGGACAATGGGGCGGACAATATCACAAGAGTTTAATACGGCTCTTCTTCGGGATACTGACAAACTCAACGAATTCGAGATAGCCCTCACCCATAAGTTCCAGGTCTTTCATGATCTACTCAATGGAGTAGGAACTACTATGGAGAGCAACTGTAAAGAGATAAAAGAGGCAATCACTTCAAAATGTCATGAGGTTCTTGGCAAGAAGAAGCACCATCACAAGGATTGGATCACTGTTGATACACTGGCTAAGACTTAAGAAGGGAGGAACAAGAAGGCGGTAATCAATACCAGCCAAACAAGAGCAGAAAAAGCAAAGGCACAAGCTGAATACACAGAAGTAAACAATCAAGTGAAGAGGAGCGTCAGAACCGACAAACGTAAATATGTGGAAGATTTAGCAATGACGGCGGAAAAGGCTGCCAGAGAAGGAAACATGAGACAACTGTATGACACAACAAAGAAACTCTCTGGAAATCACCGTAAACCAGAACGACCAGTGAAAAGCAAGGAAGGAAAGGTAATCACTAACATTGAAGAACAATGAAACAGGTGGGTAGAACACTTCAAAGAACTCTTGAATCGACCAGACTCACTGAACCCACCCTACATCGAAGCAGCACTCACGGACCTCCCAATCGATGTTGGCCCACCAACAATTGAAGAAATCAGCATGGCCGTCCGACAAATCAAGTGTGGCAAATCAGCAGCAGGACCAGATAACATTCCAGTAGAGGCACTGGAGGCGGACGTAGCGGTAACTGCAAGGATACTCCACATTCTTCTCAATAAGATTTGGGATGAGGAACAGGTACCAACAGACTGGAAAGAAGAACTTCTGGACAAAATACCAAAGGTGATCTCACCAGGTGTGATAACTACAGGGGAATCACTCTTCTGTCAATACCAGGAAACGTCTTCAACAGAGTATTGTTAAATAGGATGAAGGACTCTGTAGACGCCCAATTTCGAGACCAACAGGCAGGATTCCGTAAGGATAGATCGTGTACAGATCAAATCGCAACTCTACGGATCATTGTAGAACAATCAATTGAATGGAATTCATCGCTCTACATCAACTTCATTGATTACGAAAAATCATTCGACAGCGTGGACAGAACAACACTATGGAAGCTTCTTCGACACTACGGCGTGCCTCAGAAGATAGTAAATATCATACGGAATTCCTATGATGGATTAAACTGCAAAATCGTGCATGGAGGAAAGTTGACAAACTCGTTCGAAGTAAAGACCGGTGTCAGGCAAGGTTGCTTACTCTCACCCTTTCTCTTTCTCCTGGTGATCGACTGGATCGTGAAGACGTCAACATCTGAAGGGAAGCACGGGATACAGTGGACATCTAGGATGCAGTTGGATGGTCTAGACTTCGCAGATGATCTGTCTCTCCTATCGCACACGCGACAACAAATGCAGGAAAAGACGACCAGTGTAGCAGCAGCCTCAGCAGCAGTAGGTCTCAATATACACAAATGGAAAAGCAAGATTCTCCGATACAACACAACATGCAACAATCGAATCACAATTGACGGAGAAGATTTGGAAGACGTAAATACCTTTACATATTTGGGCAGCATCATTGATGAACACGGTGGATCTGATGCAGATGTGAAAGCGCGGATCGGCAGAGCAAGAGCGGCATATTTACAACTGAAGAACATCTGGAACTCAAAACAACTATCAACCAACACCAAGGTCAGGATTTTCAATACAAATGTCAAGACAGTTCTACTGTATGGGGCGGAAACCTGGAAAACTACGAAATCCATCATCCAGAAGATATAGATGTTTATTAACAATTGTCTACGCAAAATACTTCGAATCCGTTGGCCAGACACTATTAACAACAACCTACTGTGGGAGAGAACAAACCAGATCCCAGCGGAGGAAGAAATCAGAAAGAAGCGCTGGAAATGGATAGGACACACATTGAGTAAAGCACCGAACTGTCACAAGACAAGCCCTCACATGGAATCCTCAAGGCCGAAGGAGGAGAGGAAGACCAAAGAACACATTACGTCGGGAAATGGAGAGTGACATGAGATGAATGAACGAGAATTGGATGGAACTAGAAAAGAAGGCCCAGGACAGAGTGGGTTGGAGAGTGCTGGTCGGCGGCCTATGCTCCATTAGGAGTAACAGGCGTAAGTAAGTATGCTAGCATCACTAAAGGTCTTAGGCGATATAACTAATTTTATTCTCAAATTTCGGTAAAAATGCAATGAAGAACAAAACCGACACATATTAGGATGAAATCACAAAGTAAATTGTTGGTTTGTTTTTAAAGCAATCAGTGCCACACTAATTTGTGATTATTTACATTTTTACTCTTAATCAACCATCAAACTATTAGTTTAGTAACAAGAGGTATAAAAACTTGTTGATAGATATGCTTACACTTGATTGGTATGATTTTTTTCAATGGATACATTTAACTGATGAATATGTAAATATGTTGTTCGTAAGGCAAGTTAAGCAAACTTCCTATAGGAAATATAAATTAAATCTACTGTTGAAGAATATTGTTAACGTAACTAAAACTTTAAGAAAATATTTATATGATTTCCAAAGCTGTGCTTAGGCTGAAATCACTCGGCAAGCGATTACTGAAATTGAAGGGAGTTTGGTTTCGAAGTATCAATCTTGGAAGTGTTTTTTCATTAAATAAATACCCGTACTGAAATGATGAATCGTATGAGTTAACTTTGAAATCAACTAAAATTGATGCTCAGTCAAAACGGGATAATATTTTTAAGGAAGAACTGAAGATATCCATTCACAGTAACTGTGTATAGATAATTTGCAATGCGTGTAACTTCGTAAATTTCATCAGTTAAAGGAAGGAAAATAGAAACCAAATACTCACCATCAAATGATAATCATAGTTTTGAAGTATTTCTCAACAAATACTTTATTGATACAAGATTTTTGTCTGATTTCTTTGAATGTGGTAGAAATATTCTGTTTATTCCTAATCAGGGAACACCAATATTATACCCCCATTGATAATCAGTTTTTCAAATTAAAATTTTGGGAAACACTCCACTACTCTGTTAATAAATCAGTTTACGACCTTATCCGTAATATTAATTTCATATGTAACGAAACTAAAATAAGTCGTCTAATTTATTTGATATAATTTATTGTTGGAATGACATACAGAACCCTCTTTTGTAGGAAAAAACGTTCAATGATACAACTGACGGAAGTAGGTACTCTCTTAAAGAAAGTAATTCGCAAAACGAAACGAAACCGTTGTCACAATATTCAAACATGGAGATGGATTTGAAATTTCGGGACTCACTTGGTCAGAAATCTAAGAGAGGCTCTCAAATGTTGGTTAAAACTATGGTTTCCATGTTTTTTTCATTTGTGAAGCTGTGTGTATAGGCGCTATGTATATGAAATCATTACGTGATGATTATTTTACACTAAGTTAGTGACAATAAAATAAGTTTAAAAGTCTCATGAAACAAACTTAGTTTTCCAGAATTACGTAACATTCTATTCCCTTGTTTAGACACTCTATTGCCTTGGTCAGTTAGTCATGATCAATGCAGAACCTGGCAAAAATGTCCACGGGTCCAATTGACCATACCAAATTAGCACGATCAAATGAATATAAAGTATGAATAGTAATGGAGTCGAAATAATGTAGCAGCAATGATGTTGCAGAAGGTTGAGCATTGAGAATACAGTTCTAAAGAAACAATAGATGCCTTACCGGTCTATCCTGTGACGTATGCATGTGACTTTTTTCGCGTGTGCATTGTCAGGCCGGAGAGAAAGTGTAAACGTTGATAATCAAAAAGTGGTGGATTATACTTTCGAAAACAACCCAGAGTAAACCCTGCTACAGAACTATAGCGATTCGAAAGTACAAATCAATTGTATAACGTGAATATAGGGGTGCCATACTAGTGATACTATCTAGTGCTTGTTTCCTTCAGTATAGCCAGAATATCTAGTTCTGCTTAGCAAAGCGAATGATTAGAATGTGTCAGGATAAACCTACAACCTTTTCTCTAATGTCAAACATACAATTGAACCGTTTTCCGAAGTGGGGTAGTTTGGAGAAGGGAACGTCTCATAAGGGTGTCTAACGAGAGGTACTACAAAAGGTGTAGGTTGATCTAGGCAGCAGGATGATGGCCATGAAAGACACTATGCAGTCTGTAATAAATCATTTCCTAACTCAACTAACTCTGACAATTCATGGGACCCAGACATTAAATTTATGGGGAGTCTAAGTTGTGAGTGAGCAAGCTGTATTTAGTCAAGACATGGAGCAGCGGGAAATGCAAGGGCGTACGTTGGTGGTGGCAGCAATTCTTAGAACCCTGAAGGCAAAGGTGAGTTTCACGGCTTCTTCAGTTCTTAGACATCAAATAATATCCGTGCAGTATTAATGTTTCAATTAGCTTTGTGTTTCCAATTACAATAATAAGTAGTTAAATCTGCTAAGATATCCAATTTTTTTACTCAAACAGGCTTCTCAATATCCCGAATTTGGAAGAAGCCAAATGCCTCCAATTCTCATATTGTAATAGTGTAATTAAGAGAGTGATAAGACATACAAAACACAGATTATCCGATATGCCAACGCGTTTGACTATTGACCTCAAATTAAATAACCTTATGCTGTTATTATTCTTTTGTATTTTCTGTTATTTTACGTTACCTGTGATTATGCATGAAATTAGCCGATTTTCTGATAGTTCTGTATATGACAGCTCCACTTTAAAATTTTGTTCATACATCAGACATACAGTGAAAAACATAACTGAAACATATTCAGTCTTGTATTCCAAACTTTTTGACATCACCTTGAGCCTTCAATATTCAGATGGTTGTCCTCCTATATGAACGGATGAGCCCTATTCATAAATTCAATATCAGTAATTCCTATTTTTTTAGTTTAATTGGATGAATAAAATTCTACTGACAACTTTCACTGGATATTGCTTAGAAAAAATGTCATAATTTTGTTGTTATATTTAATTCTTAAAAGCATGTTTTACTAAAATCTTGATTTCCCGCACATTTTCTACCCAACCGAATACTTTGATAGTTGTCGTAATGACCATTCAACCACGGAATCTATGTGAACAGATTTTCGCAGTAAAGGATCAGTATACAGACCTCATAAACTTTTAGTAACTCTAGTTTATTGCGCACCTTTATCGACAAACTTCATGACTAATAATATTAAGGGAAGTTTTCGCCTAATAAATTATGCATAAAGGTTCATATTTCATGTAAGAAATTAAAAAAAAACCCACAGTCACTGAAATTCTCTTTACAGCGTCACTATCAAAACGCTTTAAATGAATGGAATCAGTAATTTATCAGAGAACAAAATAATGTTACCGATGACATTTTAATCAGAATACTTTGTGGGTGTAAATGAGAGTTGTGTATCTAATCGCATTTACAAACCTCCAGGTAAGGCTTCGAAAACATATTCAAAATAAAATAGTAGTACATATGGATGTGTTAAATACTAAAGGATGAACCGATATATATATATATATATATATATATATATATATATATATATATTCCAATAGATGCATACGCTCAATGGATGAGTTAATAAACAAACTTTGATTGTTAAAAAATTGCTTTTGTTTTTGTATGAGAATCTAATTAACCAAAGTCACATTATATTAGCTGATATTTATTACACAGTACTTTGGATATTATAAACAGTTTTCTTTAAGACAAAATCATAATACAAGTATTTATTCAGAATATATCATAATATTACTTTAGTATAAGAGAAAAAATGAGATCAAGAATTTTACAAAGTCTAAAAATACAAAAGTTCCTTGACCTAATAGCAAATATACGATTGTTTGTGACGGTTTATATATAGATATTTAACACTAGAAATTCCTTTTTTTAAGCTAAACTAGTCCGTCAGGTACTTAGGAAAGATATACAAGAATAATATTGAAAAATGAAAAGCAAGCCAAATTATATATGTACACAAATAAATAAAAAATAATAGTTGTTACGGTAGTAGAACGACACATCGAAAGACTCGGAAGCGAATTCATTGTAGTCATTAAAAAGGTAATATATTATACAAACTTTGAATTTAGAAAACGTCACACATGTAACATGTAAGGCTTTCAGAATAAACAACTATTTCCAAAATAGATTACAAATTTAATTTTGGAACACAGCAAATGTGAGGTAAGAGAGACACAGAAGCATTAAATAAAAAATATCTGAAAAAAATGCAGATACTGTGTGCTGGATAAAGTGTTAAAAGATTTATGCAAGATTAACCTTCAAAAATTACCTAAAATAATGATAAATGCGTCCAACCTAAATGGTGAAAATAGAACAGATAGTAATCACAGAGAAAATACGTTATTCTTCAACAGACCTGGAAAATAAATCAACGTGGCAAAATAGAAAGCGATTAAATGAATGTAGAATGTAGCGAAACAAATGGACCAGAAGGATTCTTGGAACTTTTCACCATGTGGGGAAAATCAGAGACTTCATCGACACGATTATATGAAGAATAAAGGAGGAATGAATAGGATTCCAAACACGAGCAATCACTGTCTATACAGCTAGGAAGTGATCGATTTCGATAAAGGGTCAAAAACGTAGGTCTATCTCGCTCACGAATTGCTTGACTTCTATGAAGAACCCTCTTTACAGTTATTTTGGAAGTCGAATTACCATTGTAGTATTCGGCTAAAGGCTGAAAGTATTTGTAGGAAGAGACAGTTGAGAAACAGGACATATTCGAAAAAGTTAGCACGAATACAAACTTTTTCATTAGTAAAACACCATAGCCAGAACAGGTGGACACTATTTATTCTTCAAAACTGACTTCTTATATCGTGATATTTCAATCATTTTAAATGACCGGATAACAGACTGCGACCTAAACACATTCTATGACGATGTTTACAAGCGAATTGGTTCTGCCTTTCACGCATGGGTAATTGATTTAAAGTCAGTCAGCTAAAACGTAGGATCAGGTACATATATGCATCGGTCCAAGTTGCCACACCTCATTAGCACAACAAGATCAACACCGGATCTATAGAAATAGTTAGTTCAATGCTGGTAATATATAAAAGAAAGATTGTGTATAAGGATATAATACTAAAACAATTAGTTCGTAGAAAGAAAAATATGAAGCTATTTTAATCTCATAGTTTAAGCGAAGACGGAAAGAACATACACCTACGCCATTGTGATCGATTCTGAGCCATATCATCCAGTCTCCAAACATTGGTTACAATAGTCACGCCGACCCTAACCAAGTAGTCTACATCTACCGACATGACACAGACCAGAAGTTAGTGACTTCACAGACTGATGCCACGTTTTGGTTTGGCCACCCCTAACTACTTTACAATCAGCCTCAACACTTGTAAGAATCGCGCGAAGTAGTAATCGGTGTTCAGGCATACAAAACACGTGGCCCAACCATCTCAGTCGATGAAGGTTCAATCTCATCAACTGATCATTCCCTAATACCCTAGGTCTAGCCTCACTATTACGCGGTGATCCCAGTAAATGCAAGCAATACTTTTAAGACATCTGTGATCATACACTAGTAACCTACGAGTATCTTCTATCCTTAGAACAGAACGAACTGCCGCACAATATACTCGCCCCTTAACGGATGGACGGATATATCGCCTTTGCCATAGGTGATGTAGGTTGGCAAAAGCCAAACGAGCTCTTCGAATCCGTGCTGAGATTTCGTCAGACACCAACCCATTAGGGCTGATCAGACTTCCAAGATAAGTGAAGTTGTCAACGCGTTCGACTACTTCACTCCCCATCCCTAGTTCAGGTGTTGATGCAGACCAGTCCTGAAGCAACAACATGCATTCAGAGGGGGAGAAATGCATTCCAAACATTCTGGCGTTGCTGCTCAGTGCTATAAAAAGACCCTGTATTTTATCAGAGTCTTCACCAAACAGGAATATATCATCTGCGTATTCTAAGTCGATAAGTGAACCCTCTGGAAGGAGACCAATGCCCATGAATTCAGTCGATGAGAGCGTTATTTCCATCAGTAGGTCTATGATAAAATTAAACAAAAATAGAGAACGTGAACAGTCTTGACAGACGCCACTTGAGATTGCAAAATCAGATGACAGTTCTCCATAAGCTCTGACTCGACTGGTAGTGTTCGAGTAAAGAGTATTCACCATCCGTAAACACCTCTGGAGCCAATCCATCCGTTCTTCCTCGTTTCAGATTAGCTATAGCCTTTTGAACTTCAGGTAGATTCGAGAGACCTACTTCAATGTTCTATTCACGCTGTCTGAAAATGATGGGTAGATGTACAGTAACTGAAGGCTAGCTGAACTGCTCCTTAAAGCGTCTCGCCCATCGTCTTAAACGTCTGGACTAAGAGCAGATAATAGTGTCGTCTTTTTCCGAGATAGTCTCACTTACACTGATAAAAAGCCTACGCAATTATCGTGAACAGTGGTGGGTAGAGAAAGCAATATAGATGGACAAGGCAGCACCAATAGGTAATAGCATACAACTGTTCAGACTTGTTAGGGAAACCGGTATTAGGAACCCAACTGTTAGCGAAACAATCGCAGAGAAAGATGGATATATTATTCATTCTCAATCCAGGAGATTGGATCGATGGGCAGAACACTTTAGGGATCAGTTCAACTGGCCTTCAGCCACACTTCGGTTTCCCACGATCTCCAGTCGACCTGAATGGCAAGTTAATGTAAGTCCTCCGACTCTTTACGAAGTTGAAAAAGCTATAGGAAACTTGAAGCGTGGGAGAGCAGCAGGCCCTCACAGGTTTACCCCTGAGATTTTTAAGGATGGCGGTCCAGTATTAGCAGCGAAATTGACTGAGGTCTTAGGTAGAATCTGGGAACTGGACGTAATCCCATCTGACTGGTCTCAATCACTGATTGTACCAGTCTATAAGAAAGGACAAAAGTCCTCCTGTGACAATCACAGAGGAATTAGTTTGACTAATACAGTGTCTAAAATACTAGCTTCAATAATACTTCGACGTCTAACCAAAGCTCGTGAAGAACAGACTATAGAAAACCAGGCTGGTTTCCGACCTGCACGTGGTTGCATTGATCAAATATTCACACTACATCAGATCCTAGAACATAGACATACATTCAGACGCCCCACAATGATAGTATTTCTCGACCTTAAGGCGGCATTTGACTCTGTTGATCGTAAGGTTCTATGGCAATGTTTGTCACTGAAGGGAGTACCAAAGAAGTACGTCAACCTTATAAAGGCTCTCTACTCGAACACAACTGGTCGAGTGAGAGCTTATGGCGAACTGTCTTCAGAACTGATTACCTCAAGTGGTGTTCGTCAGGGCTGTCCACTCTCTCCATTCTTGTTTAACTTTATCGTTGACGTGCTTTTAGAGATAACACTTTCCATGGGTTGAACTTCTACCGAAAGATTCACTTGTTGACTTAAAGTATGCCGATGACATAGTTCTACTTGGTGAAGACGCTGACAAAATACAGAGTCTGATGATCACTCTAAGCAACAATGCAAGCATGTTCGGCATGCGATTCTCTCCCTCGAAATGCAAAATGTTGCTTCAGGATTGGGTTGCATCGGCACCCGAACTAGTGATAGGGAGTGAAGTAGTTGAGCTTCACTTATCTTGGAAGTCTCATCAACCCTTGTGGTCTGGTGTGACGAAAGCTATGGGCGGCCAGACCAAAACATGGCACAAATCCATGAAGTTACTGACAAGTGGACTGAGCCATGTTGGTAGGTGTAGACTACCTGATTGGGGTCCGCGAAGCGATAGCAACCGATGGTTAGAGATCCTGAATGACATGGCTCAAAATCGTTTGCAATGGTGCAGGTGCATCCACTCTTTGTGTTCTCTCAAACTCTAATCTTCTGAATTCTTCATGTCCTTTATTTTCTTTCCAAATCTATTCCACTGGATTATACTCCTTAAATAACATCATCAAACCCTAATGTTCCCTATCACTACCTCTACTACTACGGGATTTGAATCGATAACTGAATCTCTGTGCTAATGTGGTATGGCAACTCGAGCTGATGTACGTACGTACGAAATTCTACGTTGTTACTGACTGACTCACTTACACTTGACTTATTAATTCCAGTTTCTTTTATTAGTCTGTAAAGCTGTCTTGTGTTACATACAGCAGCCGTCTTTGCCATCTCTTTTGCTTTCGTTGCCCACCACTGACAGTAGAAATCCATTGGTTTTTCGTAACTCTGTGGTTCAAATCACTGCTGTTTTCACAACTGTTCGTATATCCTCCCAAGAAACATCTGGGTCAGCCTTCCTTTCAGAACTACCCAAGTATGACCTCAGTCTTTCCCGGAATCTACTTTTGGTTTCCTTGTCACTTAGTTAGACTTTAATAGTTCTTAATGTGTTTTTCCTGCGTCCAGTGAGGTGCAAGCACATGCGTGCCCGTATTAGAGCATAGTCGGAGTCCAAACAAGTATTCCAGAATGAGCGGCAATCTTCTATCGACCATCTCCAACGACGACTGAATGCAATATTGTCTATTTGAGTCCATCGTTGTTTTGGTGCAGGGGATCGCCATGTTAGGCAATGTCTCCCCTTATGCTTTTAAGCATAATTGGTTTAACGAATAATGAGAGAAAAAATTATTATTCAAAAGGTCAAAACAAACAAATAATCTTCCATCACGTGTAAACATTAACTAAAAGAACCTGTTAATCATAATCCATCTTTAATAAAAATTGTGGCTAAATGACAATATCGAGGCAATTTGTTCAGGATGCACACGTGTTAGTAGAGAACAATTAACTGCAGTCCTGAATAACAAATATGAAAAATTACAAACTTATTAATGTGTAATAAATGTTTCAAACAGTATAGATATATTAATGATCGGATCTAATTTATTTGTCTTCTTAATACTGAGTAAATTATAAAACAGGCTTGAAGATAAGAAATTAGACATATAACGCAGATGAGCCTAATCCGTTAGTCAAATTGCATTATTATTTCATAATATTCAACGAATTCATTGATTTATCAGGGTACCGGATCGAAAACGAATGAATAGTGACAACCAGAAAGGATACAAATGTTAAGATGTTTGATGAATATTGCAAAACGTTAATGTTGTGGTTGACTAATATGAAGTGTTAACTTGAATCAGTTTATAAGCAAAATGAAATTGAGATATATGGTCAGAATAAACATAGTCAACATGGGGGTGAGCGAGAAAATAATGGAACAAAAATCAGAAATTACGTAATACGTAGAATATGTATAATAATCATTTTACGTCACCATATCATTTCGCTTATAAACTAATTCAAGTTAACACTTCATATTAGCCAACCCCAACATTAACGATTTGATTTGATTTTATGTAACAAACAATTCTTTATTCACATATTACAATTTTAAAAGAATATTGCAAAAGTAAACACCAATAATCAACAACATCAGCATGTATAAAGTAAAACCATATTCCTTATAGATAAGTGAGAAAAGTAAATGACCTAAAACACTTGATACAATGATTTCATACTCATATAGAAAAAAAGGATCACAAAATAAAACCCTAGAAACAAAATATCTTAGGACATTAGTCCAAAATTGCAGTTGGGTAAATATGAGTTATCCTAAAAACCTTATCCAAAAAATCTAAATAGTTAAACAATGGGAGCAAGAAGGATATATGTTTGAATAAATAAAGCAAGTGTACTAAAAACTAACCTCTCCTTTTCCCTCATTATCTGAATATGGTTGAATTACGTTACTTAGTTCCTCAGATTCAACTGGCACAAGAGTTACACGATCATCATCTTCTCGACAGGTATTAATATTTACATTAAGATTGTGGGAGAAGTAGCCATTAGTTTCTGGGGGCTTATCTGAATCACTTAAATGTATTTTTGAAGGTGAATAAAAATTTTTGGGTTGTTGAGAGTGTTTTGATGAAGAAGAGGAATGTAAAATAAAATTGGGATAATCTAATTCATTTGTATCATCATAACTTTCAAACTCTGATCCAGATCCAGATTTTGAGTCGTTCTCAATGAACAATGCATGAGTATTTGGATAAACACCAGAAAAAGATTGATTATCCCTGAAACGTTGGAGAGAATTGGATTGAGATGTCTGATTTGAATAGGGGGAATAACAAAATTCAAGATCTTCAGATGGTTCATAAATGGTCCGATTAAGAAAGCCGTCTTGTGTTGCCTGAAATGTAAGTTTATGTAAAATAACAAGGATAACTACTGAAAAAGCGTTGACTATTATACTGGGCCATTTCTTTACACGCTTTTACAGATAACAGCCAAATGAATATTCCAAACTAGAAAGCATCATACTAACAAATTTTGCTGGATCTCCTTTGTTCCTAAAAATATCACGAGTTTGAGTATCACTAATTCTGTACAACTACTTATTGATAACTAGAAAAAACAACAATAACTCGGACTGATTCTGTAAGGGAAGTTACTTGTAGATTGGTGCGTCAACTTCTTAGTTTATCTTATGCCTAAATTAGAAAGTATCTTCCACACAAATGAGGACCGAAATATGTTAAAACGGATGAGTCCTTACGTGATTGATTTCAAATGCTAAAATGAGAACATTTAAGTATTCAACCAAGCTGATACGATATGCTTACACAATGAAAATCTAAAATGAATAGAACCCGAAAAAGGAACCGTTCATTTTACAAGCAATTATCTATTAGTCCAAAGTTCTCAAAAGAAATAAGGAATTAATTCATAAACATCATATGTTACCACTATTTGACAGTGTTTGATTTTATAATCATAAAAATTACTTGAAAACCCAGTGCCAAATGCTGTATAAACGATAAATAGTCTACAAAAAAACTCACCTTTAAGTACGCATCACGCGACATACCAACAGGATTCATTGATACGAGAGAATGAGAGAACTGATTAGTAGAATTTCTTTCGATTGAATGACCAGGAGCCTCAGATACTGAATGTTTATCTACTGACCTTAAGCAATCCGAAATCATACTGGACTGACAATCAATTGACAATTTTCGGCACGATAAAAACGAACAAAATGAAGAGCATATATCTTTATGTAACTCTTTACTATGCTCAAATGACCACCTTTGTGCTAAATGTGAAGAAGATGGTATGTATGGTAATGTTGTCTTAATAGTGGCTACATCTATGTCTTTATTTCGTGTGCTATTTTGACAATAGTCAATGCAAACAGAAAGATGAGGACAGTAAAATGCATTATTTAAGTTACCTGTGGATTCATTTTTCTCAACTATTTTCATTTGATTATTATTATTACATAAACTACAATGAGTATATTGATGGGAATTATTGTTACTGTAATCACTGAGCTTGTTGTGCTTACATTGTTGTTGCCCACCTGTTTTTTGATTGATATCTTTTAAAAAATCATGTTGAAAAGTGAAATAGTTTTCTCTCTTATCACTTGACATCATTTCATTTGATGGGATGATTGGAAAGTTGGAATGATTTATTTCCTTCATATTTGAAGATGGATTAGGTCGCCTTCCACTTCCTGCCAGCATACCGAGAAATGGTGAATGCGGGTCCTATACACAAACATGGAAAAGTTACGCAAATATAATGCTAAAACCTATGATTTAAACAGATGAAAATAGTTGCTTATTTAGACGTTCAATAATGCAGAACAATATACACTGAGATTTTTTTTACACTGGTACATAATACTGGAGAAGAGTATCTTGGATGTCCAAAAGATCAACAATACTAAGAACAAAGATTGTTCAAAATAGGACACCAAAAGCACACACTTTAAAATGAGTGCAACGCTTAGCCCAGGATATCAGACATTGTGGTTAGATAATAAAGCTACGTCCTCTAATTCCGTTATGCTCTGCAAAATATCTACAAGTAAGCGATCCGTTATTTAAAAAACTTAGAAAAGATATGGCTCAAAATTACGTTGAAATTATGTTTGATTCAGATGAGAACATTTGATATGACCGGATGAAAAAAAAAGCAAAATTACATTCTTTTACTCATTGTGATTTTTGGTCAACATCACTGCCGTTTTTCATTCAATATGATAATTACTCAGTGTAATATTTGTTTTATTTTCTAGTGTGATATTATATCTGATATAATATTAATTATTTGAGTGTGATTTTTATTAAAGATAAGATATTCTTGTATTAAGTTAACGTGAACTATGCCCAGCATAATACGCAGCATGTGATTTGTTATAATTCTAGGTATTTTTCATATATGTGATTTCATCTTAAATAATAATCGAAACGGGTGTACAATCGATATATAAATGAGTGTATTTTCGACTAGGGTCGTCGTCTTGTTTTGAGGTTAATAAATCTTCACTTGTACCAGTTTTGGTGTCCTTATTTCGAGTCGTCGGAACTGCAATGGTTCCTCGTTTTACAAGCATAAGACATAACGATTAGCGGCGATCAGTGTCAGACGCACTATCTGTCAACCCAAGTTGCTACAGTTACTGTCAGGATACTAAGACGAAATACCAAAAAAATCACAATATAATACTGTAGTGAAAAATTACGGATTATAAAAATAGTCAAGAAACTATGGATGAACAAAATTGAAAACCAAAACAGCATTATTCGAAATATTATTGTACTATTTAGTAATGATTTTCATAACTGAATATTATGAATAAGAATCATGTTTATTGTCAAAATATTAAGTCTAATGTTCATTAATCCTCAAACAATTATCGGTTTTGCAATAAAAATTTCCAGAAAATTAGTATACCATATTTAATCAACCTCGTACATGCAACCCCTCGCCACATTTTACGTCAACTTTAATTCAAATATTTCTAAGCACAGCTGGATAACGGCTAGCAGTGGAATACAAGAAGTAAGTTTCTTCCTATTTGCGGCTTGTCAGTTGGATGTGCCTGCATCTCAGCGTTGTTGTTCACTTACGGACTTCAACCTAATACTTTTTTACTTTAAACTCCTGACACGTTATACATCTAGCTACTGAGTCGAGATAGACAATAGCTTGTACAATAGGGATGAGTTATAATTCTATTTTAAAAGCTTGGATCTTCCTGTAGTTGGTGTTAAGGACTATAATTGGCCAGACTCTTTTGGTAATCGTGCATCATGAGCGGATTGTCTCGATATTGCCATTAAACCACAAGTAATCCGAGTCTGTTTAAAAATGATTGTGACTGATGCCAATAATCAGGCAATCCACTCATGATGCACATATCGTGAAAGAAACTAACTAATTGTAGTCCTTAAGATCAACACCGAGAAGATTTGAACTTTTACAACTTAATTTTAAGTGCAAACAGTTTCAAAATTTACCATACAGTTTCAAAAACTTATAAGGTAAAAGCTAATGGATAAGAAAATAGGACTTTATTATTGGACTCTTACCCCGAATTCAACCTGATGATCTGGAAACTTTTCACATGGATAAATAGAGTCAAGGCCCATATTTACACAAACAGGACATTCTGAAAAAGTATTATAGTTATAATTGCGACGACGATCAGCGCTCTGTATACGTCGTGTGTTTTGAATTGAAAATTTATACTTGCGCTTTTCAATAGGACAGACTGAATTACTTGAGGAAACATACTGAAAATCAGATTCGCTGTGTCCGAATAATAGTGATGAGTTAGCAGCGTTTCTCACTGAATTCTTCTGTCTACTATAACCCAGACCAGACTGTGAGGTATAATATGCAACAGGATAAATCTTTCCAAAATTATGGAACGAACGTGGTGTAGAATAGAGAGGAATTAACGAATTCGCTTTCCCGTCATCAATATCAGGTTCAATACCCCAAAAACAAAAGGAAGCCAGAAGACGAAATGCTGACAACAACACATTTTCAACAGTTGAATTTCCAGTGGGGTTCAAGAAATAAGAGCTTTCAGTAATATCTGAGCTAAAACCAGCAGTAGATGGTGTTGTAGTAGACAGAGATCTTCCGGAATAATGTTGAGTACAACCAGATGTTAGCAACGGCATGGAAGGGTCACAAATAATACAAAGTAATTCGTTAAGTTTCCCATCGAGTAAACTTTCATCAGCATTACTCTTGAGCTGGTCGCTTATTTTAGAATACCGAGTAAAAAAGGTTACCGGTCTACAATAGATATTATCAGTAAAATAAATAAGAGTGAACAGTAAAACAATGAAATTTATATATATACCATTGAGCGATCATTACAGTAAATTTATCACAAGTACAAATAAAAAATTTACTATCAACAAATATACTTGTTACAAAGAGCAGTAAAAATCTTGCTACAAATTAGTCACTTCCAAACATTTCTTCATAACAATGGAACAGGCGCTGATAACGTTGTCTAACACAATAAAACCTCTGTAATCAAACCATCTATCTCAAAGAATTCAATAGTACCAAAATCTCGGTCAATCTACCAAGCAAAATCACTATTTAAAAAAAGAATAATCCCGAAAGAAGATATGATGGTTTTCTTCGATTTGTTTTATTCCTAAAATATACGTATTAGTTAGGAGAAATGAAAAAGACAACTTCAACTAGTCTAACTATCAAATGAATGAGATGATATTCTTGAAGAAAAACTTTAAGAGCTTAGAAAATCGAGTATGAGCAAACTGATTCGGATAGCGCAATATGATCAATACTTATTTCTATGCAAGAAATCAACATTATTCAGTACTAAAGTTGGTTACAAATCATTGATCTGTAGTTTGAAAACTATGAATGAAATAAACTAATCTGTAGTTGCATAGAATTTTAATTTGAAATCCATTTACGCTATATGATTAATTAGTTTAGTATACGTACACTTATTTTATGTCATGATTTCAGTTATGTGATATTTAATTTAAATGAGCTTTTCTGGTTGATACGAAATAATTTGCTTGGCACCTACAACTTTCACCTAGATTTCGAATTGAAAACTGATTTGAAATTATAGGACTTCTGGTCTTCCTTCCTATCACTAAACACTTGATGGTATCTGGTTCTCCGAAAAACACCCACAATTTTACTTTGTTGCTATTACGATTCAACATTTTGTGAATTATTTCTAACCCATTTTTAATTTAAAATGTTCTTTGCTTATCACAAATCCAGGTATACTTAACTGATTGATATAAATATCAACGAGAAATTACTGAGAAATAAACTGAATAATAATAGTGGTTCAATGAATTGATTTGTTATTTGAGTGGTTCGCGAAAAGTAGTTCGATTTGAGGATAGTTTCCGACACGAACCGAAACCAAGTGAGAATTTAATGGTTTGCATTCCTAATTTTAGAACCGTTAGCTGGAATTCCTAGTGAGGTTTTAAGAGCGCATTGATCAGGAATCCCAGACTATGTTAAAACTAATGTCCAGTGTTATGGTTTTGAATGAGTTTTCATTTGATGACGGTCGGTGATGAAGAATATCTCTAAATATCTTAGACAGAACTCAGCAGTCACATCTAATTAAATGTATTAAAGCAATTAGTCCCTTTGATAAATTTAGATAATGTAATAAGAAGACGAAGATTATCAGAACTATGTGATACATTTCGAACGATCTGATCACATATATACTTGTTAACAACATTAATATATAAAAAAGGTCAACTAGACTGAAAATGGGGTAAGAGGAGACAAAGTTTATTACTATTATTAATAATATAGTATAATAATAATAATAATAATAATAATAATAATAATAATAATAATAATAATAATATGAACACAATTTGAAACCTAATCACTCGGGATAATAAGCCAATATTACCAGGATAGGTTTAAGGTGAGAACAAACTGGCTAAGGCTTCAATAAACCTTTTACATTTTTATACAACATCACAAAAGCCGAGTTAAGATCAATCTTATGGCCTGTTTCGATTTTATGTTTATCCTCTGCTCTTATTGGGTCACTTGATTGTATTTGTTTCTGCAACCATTTTGGTACATGTTCACACACTAATTTTGAGATCACGATTGCTCCCCCCTATGTATGTGTGACCACACACATATTTAAATTGGTAAACACAGTAGGATGTGACACAATCGTTTTAGGCATTGGATGAAACATGCAGTAGATGTTGTAGCAGCATTAGTGGTGGCAGAAAAGATTTGACATGGAAGATACGATCAAAGAAAATATAAATTAGGGAAATGAAAAGATTATATAAATTTTAGAAACTTAGGATCTAAGGGAAGACAAAAAAGCAAGAATTGGTGAAATAACGAAGTGAAGTGACATTAGAAAATATCAAGATATCAAGTCACTTAACTTTACATAGCTGATGAATTAAGCCTACCTGAAATAAAATATGTTCTGGATTTTTTGGATTGTAAATTAAAATTACTATTTCAAGTAGGTTGAGACGATGGACTCATTAATAAAAAGTGGTAATTTTACGGAACTACATTCAATAAAACAAATCTTATGCCAAGATTACATGATAATTACCCCAAAAAACGCTTACCCAGAAGCTGAACGACGTCTTTCAAAAAACGGTGGACTATTATTATTACGCATACGATTATCAGTTCCTATGATGGGTTTTATAAGTCTACAGTGATGATACGCACTCTGAGAATGTTCATTACGATGTAAATCATGATTAGTTTCATAGCAACAGGAGTTGATCGGCGTGAAAAAATTACTAAACCCAACTGAGTGATTACTTGACTTTTGTAGGAAATCTAAACTGTTTCTACCTAAAATTCAGAAAATATGATACCATGATGACAATAAAAAAATTAGTAGAAGAATATACAGAAAAATAATTAAAACTTGATATTTTACAAAAATCAACACAGTTGCAATAACAACGTAAAGTCAATTAGATTTCGATAACATATGAAACTGTTTGTCATCTCAAAAACCAGAACAGAACTGTGTGATCGACTTGCAGCCAAATTTTAATTGTGAGGACTAGTGATATTATGAGGTTGCTCGAGCCAGAGTAAGTGAAGTAGGGCTCGAACAGGTGGCTTCGTGGCTGAGAAACTGCTCCAAGTGATAAAAATGTTATACAAATAAGCAAGGTCTCCGACATTATTTCTGAGGTATTCAAAATGGTTGTTATCCAGAATAGATCAGTGGTGGCATTATTTAACGTTTGGAAACTCATAAGCATGTTTTTGTCAAACACACGTGAATCGAAACAACTAGTGGTTTCTCCAGATCTAGGCAGTTTTAACACGAAATCAAAACCAGATGTTTTAGTCAATAGATTTAACGCGCTACAATCAGGGGTAAAAAGTATTAAAAAACCCATTACCATTAAATGGAGATGACTATTTTCTGTCACTTGCTGGCATTATTTCAAATTCAAACTAACGATCAAAATTGGACTTGGACCTAACTTTTTGATAAAGTGATGGGCATCTCGAGATAGAATGGTGGTTCCCCCGCGACCCGAATAGCCCAGTGGTAAGGTCTCTGACTGTGAAGCTGGGTGACACGGGATCGAATCCGTCAGGGAGCACCAGTGCCCTCAAGATTACAGGTACACCTTGCTGACGAGTGCCAAATAGCACGAAACCCGGGTCCAGAGTTTCCTGTTGACTATCTCCAACCACCATTCTATCTCAATATAGTGCACGCAATGTCAAGTCATCTAGACTAGTGGCCACATTGAAACATGGTCGATGGCATTCGATCCGCACTAACAAGGACTTTATACACATGATATTGACCACCATGCAGTGATCAATCAATTGTGACAGAAGTTGTATAGCTTGATAGAACCAACCAAAGGATCTCAAGGATCTTAAGAAAACTATCCAATGATGCACGTATCAAGATGAAACAGTGAAGGCATCTAACAATTTCGGTCTAAATAAAATGAATACTCAAGGGTTCAAAAACCACTAGCCTGAAGATTCATATCCTACTTCTCTCCATCTCGATTTCAACTCTACGGTAGTAACGTTTGATATTCCCACGATTACTTAACCCGAAGTAAAATATATACGAACCAGTGGTTCGTCAAATCGAATGATTTGTGTAGCGCATATGTGATTGGTACTTCCTTGTACCAATGTTTATGTGTTTGAAAAAATAAATAAAATATATGACATGTGGCAAGAATGAAGGTCAGAGCATTCCTATCAGTATTCGCCGTAAGCGGAAGACTATCAACGTCAAAAGACAGGGATTACAATAAAATTTGCAAAAGAAACAAGTAGATAATCATCGGAGCCATCAATTTATAATAAAGGAAAAAATACATAGTTAAAAGTGTAAATCAGTATTAAAACAGCACTCAGGTAATAAAAATTAGACATACTTTCAAATTTCCGAATAAAATTTTGTTTCCTAGGCAACCGATTCAAATTTCTTTGTGAGTTTGTTTGGACATCAACAAAACGCTGTTCACGCGATCGAAGATCTGTAATATTATTTCCACTAGAATAAATACGTAGTGATTTCGGATTAGATTTATCTGTCATATTACTATCCGACTTAGTGTTTACAAACGTTCTTATTTGAGGACTGTAACAATGACCTGATGACATATTACGATATTTGTCAGTATTTGAACCCAGTGAAGAGCTTGTGATTTTAGCAGCTGGAATATAAAACAAAGTAGTATTTTATTAAACTTCCTTAAAATAAAACCGAGATAGCGAAATAGTATTTCAAAACATTCTTTTTCTTAAGAAGTACCCTGAGAAGTTATGTGGTGCTAAACATTGAAATTATAAGCATCATATAGTGCAAATGATTTAACAGATGTTACATAAACTTACAAGGAAATAACCGCATCGTTGACTCGCATAACCCTTGACCAGTAAACCAATCTGAGTCCACATGAACCACATGTTTCATATCTGTGGGAGGTGAAATTAGAGGTATTCCACCTTGACTACAACCAACTCGACTGGATGTGTCACGTGAAATCGATGGAGTTTCATCACAAAAAGAATTATTCAAATCTGAAGAATTATTTGTATTTACATTCAAATGTGAACGATTATTAGAAGTATATTGTGAAGAATTAATTGACCGTTTAAGATCCTTTACTTGGAAATTGTTAGTGGACGAAGTAGCTGAATTAACGTAGTCATTATGTGTAGAACATGGATTACCATTAGTTCCCCATCGCTTAAAAATACTACGAACAAACGGACGTTTTCTAGGTGGAGGAGGTTTGGGTTGAGCAGTTTGAATTTTATGAGTAGGATCTTTAAAATGATTAGCAGCCAGTACAGCCAAAAACATAAAATGTTGCTGAATATTAAATAAAAAAAACTCGATGACGAGCAATAAACAATTATTAAAATAATTTTAAATAGAGTTACTGATTTGGGTAAAAATAACAGGTTTCGGATTTATCAACCTATCCAGGTTGTTAACAAGTTATGATGACCATGAAGTATTGTATTCTGCGGGTATACATAACATTTTTTTACATAGTATTAGAGAAGTTTGATGGTGTGCCTGAATTTATAAATTTATAAACTATTTACAAAATATCAAGAGTCTAAAATACATATATCTTGGAGTTATTTGCGTTTCACAACTAATTTACATTTGTATGATAAATGAAATCGTTCACTTTAACACTAAGGTCAGAAACGCTGCCATGACGCCATTCAATGATAGAACTAATAAATGGGACTATGTCAAGTACTAAAATTATTCGTTGGATGTTAATCACTCGTGCAACCAAGTCCTTATTACTAAAACATAGGACCAGGCACATATATGCATCGGTCCAAGTTACCACACCTTATCAGCACAAGATGAACACCGAATTCATAGAAGTAGACACTTCAATGTCAGTAATGTATAAAAGAAAGATTGTGTATAAAGATATGATGCAGGAAGAGAGTATTAGTTCGTATAAAGCAAGGTATAAAATAATTTTAATCTCATGGTTTAAGGGAAGACAAAGAGTATATACACCTTTGTATATACACCATTGTGATTGATTCTGAACCATGTCATCCAGAGTCTCAATACACTAGTTACGATAGTCGCGCGGACCCCAACCAAGTAGTTTGCATCTAATAACATGGCTTCTTCTACCCCCATACTTAGTTTTACGCCTACCCTCGCCAGTCCACGAGAACTTGCCGTCGGGTTGCCAGATAAACGGAGGGTATATCTTCTCTGTCCAACGTTTTGGCTAGGTGAGGACAAGTGAATGACCTCACTAGGATTCTGTGTGCGCATTTTGGAGACACAGCATACATCAATGGTACGAGATTCTAGGGTTCTAGCCCAGGAGGCCTGCTGGCCGATTGGACATAGGGTACGTTGAAGGACCCAATGTGAAGTTTGGGGCGGGGTTTAAGTAGACCTGAAATAGTAGTTCGCGCACTATAATTGTTGGTCATGTTGGCACTTGAGGAGGAAGTTTAGAGTTGATAGTCGAGGTAGGTAGACTAATAGAAAATTGAGAGAAATTGATAATGAATGCAGCGGTCTTGAATGCTGTTATAGGTATGAGGGTGGTTAACACTTCCCGGTTGCCCAAACAATGGAGTGATTCTTCTAGAGGTAGCTGAAAGGGGAAGTGGGTTACAATTGGTTTTAGTGACCTGAGAGCGTGACCGCAGTGCCCAATAGACAACTACTTGAAGTCGGCCACACAAAACCTGTTTGTAATTTTTAAGTTAGCCCCGCACTTGTTAAGACCTTACAGCCGGCGACAGAAATCCGTGGCAGGCGCAAGGTTTTAATTTTTAAAGTTGACCTTTCTTAACCCCACCCTTAATTTATGGGAAGGCTGGTCGTCTGAGGGAAACACCATGCTGCCGTCACTCTTCTGTACAGTCAGTAGTACGGCTTCGCCCTCGGATCTTGGGTTTACTGCTTTTAGTCTTACACCTTGAGGAACGATTGTTCCAGCCAATATAGCCCGATTGGTTCATCACGATAGACAAACCCGACCACCACGTCAAGGCAGCAGCACCATCGATCGCCAGATCAGTGTGATCTTTAAATTAACTGAGATCATACTATGATACAGAGATATATTATTACCATAAGGTGTATTTAGGTCACATTACGAAAAAAATAGTGAGCGTTGAAAACCCCTTATTTTGATTCGTTGATTAGCAGGCAATATTTCGGTATACAAAGTAGGACAGTTTCACTGGTTATTGTAGATGACTTACACAGGTAAGAATTGAACTACTTGCAAATATTTCCGAGAATACAAATGACAACGTAAGATAAAACGAAAAGGGTGAAATAGATAAGATATACATCACAAAAAAAACATTTCTTTCACGTACAAAAATACAGAAAAGTGTTATTCATTTTTTCTGTTGCTCCGTGGAAAAATCCACCCATTTTTAAACAGAGAGAAGTGTATGATATACGACGCAAATATACTTTAATATTAAATGTACAAACGCGTCATTCTTAAAACAATACAACAGGATAAAATTAACGGTTATAGAAAAAAACACTCATGTGGGAATATTCTGAATAATTATTTCAATTTCGCTGTTTTTCTACATTACTGATGTAAATTACCTAGAGAAAATTACGATGCAAACAACATCCACTACTTATGTGCATAACCAATAATTTTACAGCATTACACACTACCATAGGTCATGTAACCATTCGGATCTTATCTATAGTGAAACAAGGACAAGTGCTTTTATTACAATAGTTTTCATTTTATAGCATCGTATTATAAGTTGATAGTCAATCTATGTATTGTTTTTCTTAAACACAGTCAAAGGTAGGAATTTGAAGGAAATATATGCAGAAGAAATTTACAGAACATAATAAAATAACGAATCGATTGTTTCCATAGTCATTATTATCAAACTTGAATTAGCGAAGTCCGAACTAATAATAAAAAGTAATCATTGAAGTTTTTTAAATTCCAAACAAAATACAAAATAAAAAGAAAGAAATCCTGCGAATTCAGGACGTAACTATTGATTTATAAAGGTAAAGAAATCAATGAAAAATGAATCAATAGCGATTTGTAACTAAACTCTACAACATAAATCTACGCCCTTTCGAAAGCAAAGAACTTGTGAGTTACACTTTGAAACAGGTATATTTTTCCAGTTTTAAATTCTAATTTAGTTTGATCAACTGAAAATAGGCACATTAACAAAAGCACCCTTATAAGTACTGAACAGTTAATACTCATTGATATTCGACTGTAAATGTCATCACCTGATCAATCAGTGTCTACAAAGTCGGACAACAGATGAGTTAAAAATCTCATGAATTACAAAATCGTTCGTTTGGAAATAAGTAACCTCAGGCTAGTGGACTGTAATCCACGTATAAAAATCTGGTAGATAACTCATACACATCGTTTTCTTTTTTTAATATGTATGGACAGAATCACATTTAGTAGAGAAAAAAAGGCAATGAATTTTATTAACTTACGCCCATGGTGTCAGCCACCCGATTATACAATTCCTCTTTTATATGAAGTTGATGAGCTTTTTCCACTAGATCTGCTCTCACCCTATCCAGTGATTCACGATAATCACGTAACATTTCCAGCTGTGTTAAAAGTTCTGTTGAAAAATCTAAACTTCCACTTTTGAACGATGATGATAGTGCTTCAGCTACGGTCTAACAAAGTTTTTTTTTAAGAAATGAGCAATACAAAAAATTATTAAATCATAATACACTGTTTAAATAACATCCATTTAGTAGTGAGCGACAAAGTATTTTCAGGATACAGTTATGACAAATCTCAATAATGTATAACTAGATAACTAGTTTTTTTGCATCATAAACATTACATTGTATTCTTTAATGCAAGATAAAAACCACTGCGATTTTTGGATGTTAGTTAAAAGGATTTTAAAAGTTGCATCATGTCTTCTTAAAAATGTGAAAATGGATAGTGGCTAGTAGTGGAATTCAAGATGCACATTTCATCACATTTGGAACTCATTAGTTGGATGTTCCTGAATCCCAGTATAGATGTTAGTTCCAGGACTCAAACCAAGTACCGCTCGCTTTAAACGACATCGCGTTATCCATTTACATGAGCAAGTGTCTATCTGAGCTCAGTAGGTAAGTAGATAACACGATGGCATTTGAAGCAAACGAAAAGGGGTTATAATTCCGGAGTGAACATCAACTCAGGGGTGCAGGTACGTCCAACTAACGAGTCTCAAATATGACGAAATGCGCGTCCTGAATTCCACTGCTAGCCAATATTTATCTTTGCTTAAAAATCCTTGGCTTAATAGTAATATCGAGGTAATATGCCTAAGCCAAAAGAGACTAATCAATTGCAGTCCTAAACATTGATTGGAAAAGTTGAATAGCCAATACATATGAAATGTAAAAAATATTATAGACATGACAATACATAAAAGTGACAAGGTATCGTATTTATTCTTAATTAACTTAGTGAAAACAGAAAAACCAATGGATACAAAAGAACCAAGTATAGTTTGTGAAAAAATATGTGTACTAAACGAAGTTAAACAATGACAACGAACAGATACAACCGGAACAAGATATGGTTTCGAAACGAATTTCAACGTTGAAAAAGTCCATGAAAATATTGAATGACTGCAAAGCTGAGTAACAGGTTCAAGGGTTAACAGTTGAATATTTGGCATATTCAAGAATAATCACATTTTATTAAAATTGCTTAAATCCAATTCAATTTCCCACATGTTCATTGCTTTCTGATCGGTTGTCATTATTTTTGGTTCACTAAATTTTTGTATGTTTGGAGTTCATAATTTGCCACTATGGTAACGACAGTTGTACCAATTCGTTTTGTGTTGTTCATTCTACTTCGAATATCAAGTTCCCTGCAATTCGTTTTCTTCCTGTGTCAGCCGTCGGGGGTTTTGTGTTGTGTGTAGATGGTCGTTGTCAATTTCAAGGGGAACCGATCGTATTAGAGCGATCCAATAACTTTTGTTCCTATATCCGTAAACATTGTGGGCCCGAACTGAACACCAATAGCAACAATTCCAATAAATTTTTAGTAAGCTTTACAGATTTATATATGTTTGATAAGTGAACATGAATCAAAAGTCGAGCATTCACATTCGTCTCAGAAAAAACAAATTTTGTAAATATAGATATTTGGTCGTTTTTATTACTAAATCCACTAAGTAAACCTCCCCACCTGATGTTACCTTACACTAACACCGTCCCTAGTAATCTCAAATAATTTAAATAATATCTAACACAAGTAGTATATCAGAAAATAACCTGACAAATTTATTGTGGTAGACCTGACTGACCTGTCGTAGTAATTATCGCTTCTGCTGTCCCATGCCCTCTGTATTCGTTTTATTTTCCCTAGCTTCCAGGTTCCCTGGTAGGGTTGAGGGTGGGAAGAATCAGTTCTCCCTCTCAAAATGCTCCCACGTGGACACACATATACAGCCACTGCCATGGAAGTCCTACTCACTGCCTTCACGTAGCGCAGGTGTTCTTTACGAAAGTGACAACACGAAAAGAGAATGTCCGGCGCTTCAAACAGATTGATGGACACAGAGGAAGCAACTCGGGTAGTTGGGAAACCCTTATTCCAAACCAATGGTGCACATGGGTTCCAGTACCTTGCAGGAACAAACGGTGTATGAGTCTATTGTGGTTACCGGCTACCATGAGACTGCATCTCCTAACGTTGCTCCACTATCTTGTAGATTAGACCTGCAGGTCAAAAGCCCGGAGAGTGGCCACCTAAAATAACCACCTGCTTCAGTCTGGGCTCCCGGGCAGTATTCCAACTCTCACACAAATCGAATGATAAAGTGTGGCACATATATATTTGGTGTCTCCTTGTACTAATGTTTGTGTTTAAATAAATAAAAGTCTTAGATGATGATTATTAATTCGTGATGGCATGAGAAATGACCTTAAATACACCGTTCATAAATCAAAAGGCTGCTCACTTAAAAATAATTAAAATTTCCTGGCTGATACCTTTCATTGACGTAATACGTGTGAAAAATATACTACCTAAAAAATGTTGAACTAGGACATTTCAAACAATCTACTATCACATATCTGTCTTTTATATTTAATATTACTATCTATGTCAAGCTGATCATGCCTATAAAATAACATGAATTCCATAATTATTATTTTCAGAATATAAATACTATTATACATATCGATAGTAGGCTAAAACCATCAACTTGACGATGAAATACATAAATAAATTTTATTCAGATAAACTATAAAATTGAACGGAATAAAGACACTGGGAATAATTTGCAATAAATAAACTCAAATCATTATTAATGACTTTTCTCCTTAAAAACATTAAGATATACAAATTCAACATACTTGTTGTTCTTCTTTATAGTGGACTGCTATAAGTTCACGCCAATCCTGTTGAATTTGAGCTAATTCACTAGGTTCTAAATCTACAAAACTGCAATCTTTGCATGATTTAAGTCGAGCCATAATATTTTCAAATTTAGGTCTACTATCAGGAGTAGGTGACCAGCAATCTAAACATCAGAAAAAATATTGCTCGATGATTATAATTATCTATACTACTTAATCGTACAGAAAACGGTTAATTATAAACAGATAGGTGACGAAAAATAAGGTGCAAATGGAGCACATGATAAGATCTCTGAATCACACACCACAGAACAAAATTTAGATCGACCTATTATAAAACGATGTGAATTGTAAAGTAGACAATAAACAATATATATATATCGACCCACCACCACGGACTACATGACATCGGTTGGTCAAAACATCAGATGATTATACTAAAACATAATGAAATTATAGTCGACCATGGGAAACAGTTGTTCTAGTAACCGTTTCGAAGATAAAATAAATAATACCTGAATAGTCCAGGAGACAGTCCAGAATTACTAAGTTTTGAGTATGCTAATTTCTCTTTATTTATTTTTTTATAGAGATGTTCAAATTCATTTTTCCAACCATAATTCACATTTTATCATTCATTATACAGTAAGCTTCATTTCTCACTTTGTTTCCAAATTACCTGATAAATTTCAGTGATATACTACGATATGAGAACATCTTAACCGTAGTTGAAATGATTATCTTGGATATTTCGTACATAAGTTAATCAGCATTAATATGTTTATTTACACAACTGACGCTAATTTACTAACAGACAGTAAATAATACACAATTGAGTGATTTTTCATAGACATTATATTGGTGAAAAATAATCGTTTAAACTTTCGAAGTACAAAATCCAAAGTAATAAAGATTTAAAGTATCTTTTCCGTAAGAAATACAACAAAACTAATACTTTTATGTAATATGTAAGACAAATGAATATAGCATTAATTATAATTAGGATTTTTGATCCGGTCTAATGCTCGTATTTGATAAAATTTGGTAATAATTGAGTTAAAGAGAAAATTTCAAGAAGCATTTTGTATTGACAAAAGTAAATGGAATGTTCCATATTCTTTCTGTTTCACTACAAATGAATGATAACTATACAGAAATTTAGGTGATAGTCATAGTAAAACTACCTTCAATCGTAAATACATTCCATAAACATATGATGTAGTAATTTTCTCGAAATTAAGGTTATTTTAGGTCATATATTCTTTGAAGAAATATAGTCCCATATGAATTTTGATGAAAATTGTCGACAAATTAATAGCATGTATATATAAGTATAAGCCCCCAAATGCCCTGGTACGGCCGAGAGTGGGGAGAGTCCGCTCTCCCTCTCGAAATGCTCTCACATGGCCATGCGTATATAGCCCCTGCCAGGGAAGTCCTACTCACTGCCTTCTCGTGGCGGGGGTGTTGTTTACAAAAATGAGAGGACGAAAAGCGAATGTCTGGCGCTTTAACCGGACCCCAAACCAATGGTGCACATGGGCTCCAGTATCCTGAAGGAACAAATGGCGTATGAACCAATCGTTGGTCACCGGCTACCATGGGACTGCATCTCCTCACGATGCTCCACTGCCTTGTGGGTCAGACGTTCAGGTCAAAGGCTCGGGGTGTGGCCCCCTAAGAAAACCACCTGCTTCGGTTTGGGCACCCGAGCAGTATCACAGCCCTCACATTTATCAATTGAGATTCGTGTGGCGCATATGTATTTGGTGCCTCCCTGTACCTATACTTATGTGTTAAAATAAATAAATAAATAAAATAAGTATAAATGACAGTATTGACTCCCATATACATATCAATACAGGTTTACATTATTAATTTTGATAACGAGTACGGGTTGATGTACCCGAAGTTAGCGATATCTTTGTATGGGAAAAAAACAATACAATGTACCTTCTCTGACCGAAACATATGAAGTGAATTTGGAATTTACCAACTGAAGGCTTAGAGATCAAAGAACTTGGAATCAGTAAATAGCAGATTCGAACCCTGTTCAATCTACATCGGTTTGGACATCTAAGTAATGGGACTAGCAATCATATAAAGAATGTGGCTTAAAGATTAGTATATCAACCTATACTTAGTAAATGATTTACATTCAACTTAAATATCACTATCGTATACAACCCAAAGTGCGACAAACCTTTAAGTAATTGGACAAAGAGATCTGGAACGCCTGGTGGTATGTACAGAGTATAATTATACATTGCAATAATAAACAATAATCTAGGTTGCTCCATTGCACGAAATGGTATATCTAATGTAAGCAACTCCCATAACACAACACCATATGACCAAATATCCGATTTGAAAGAAAATCCCTCCTAAAGTAAAAAAATAATTCGAACAAATTATGGCCGGATAGGATTATTCATTCATTCCATATTTCATTTACAATGGTAATATTATATATGAATGGATAACATGACCTTACAAATTTGCGGCAAATAAAACTGAAAGTTGGATATTTTTTAAGAAAAGATAAACTAAATTTTACAAGAAACAACTTTTCTCATTCAATGTAAATTCAAACATGTAAACAACACAGCCGTCAATAATACATGTCTAACTTCAAAGTGAATGATAATTATGACAAAAACTTGAATACGATAATAGGAAAACATTTTAGGGAAAACTACCAGGTGATAGATTTCAAGATCACAACAGCTTTTCGAATCATAGGTACGACAAAAACATGCTTTCAATTCTAATTAACTAGAAACATATATATTTACATTTTGTTAGTCCATTAGGTCTAACATCATGTTGTTTGTCCACAAATAAAGATGTGGTTGGGTTCTACAGTGTGCTTTTCAATCTTATTATATTATCAAAATAAATAGTTTTAATTAAGGTAAGTTATTCCGGCAACTTTCCAAAACAAAATATTCAATTATAAGAAAATAAGGACTAACTTGACGACAAACTTCTGGAGCTGCATATGCAACAGTGCCTAGTTTAGACTGTTGTGGTGCTAGTTGACTAGAACGACAAGCCATTCCGAAATCAGTTATCAAAAGGGTACACCTTTGAAGTTCATTTAGAGAAAATGGTTTTTGAATAGCTTCTCTGATAAGAACTAAAAAGAATAATGAAAAACAAATAGTTGATTTTAAAATTAACTTATCAACAAGGAAGAATACCGTAAACGTCAATAAATAATATCACTAAGTACCTGATTTCAAGTATTTAACTTGAAACATTTTCTAATGGAAAGTAATTCAAAAACAAATACACTGATCCACTGCTTTGAATGACTGGTTTACATTGTAATAAAACTTTTTGATCAATATTCCTTCGTAACATTAATGACTTTACCATTTATTTAAAAGTAATCAATAAGATTTACCTAACCTCATGAGTAAGACGAGTTCACATTCAAAGGCAATACAGACCTAAACAAAGATTGAAGTCGAAAAACCGACTTCAAAGGAGAATAACTGGGAATATTTCCTACAAGAAATACTTTTTACCATAATAAATTAACTTATTCTTAGCATTTCTCAGAACGAAAACGACCTAAAGACTTACTATTGGATGATTTTAAATCTCGATGACAAATTCTGGCATCTGTATGTAAATATGCCATTCCACTAGCGATCTGTAATGCCCAATCAAGTAAAACAAGGGGGCCTAATAAAGGTCGTTGATTGAGAACCATGTTCAGCGAACCACCATAAGCATATTCCATTACAAGTGCTGGGTAATTAGAGCTGTCTAACCTGCAAATTCCATAAAATCTCACAATGTTCCGATGAGATAATCTGCACAAATGCAAAGCTTCATTGTCTACCTATGAAAAGGATGAGAATTAAGTGTTAACGAATAAGCAAGACAGGTGTGTAACACAACTAGGTTTTTCAGATATTCTTATAAAATGAACTTTGTCAGTATTATATGTGATTTCTTTCCAATCTATTTGGTAAATGAAGTGAGCCCGAGGGCCAAACAATAATTTGCTGAAGACTATTTCTAGTAAAAACATAAACGAACGAGGTTGCAGCTGATCTTCAACTGGTAATGAATTTTGCGTCTCACTCCATCTAGTCCGGTCTGACAACTGACTAAGGTTCGATTTAAATAAATGAACTTGACAAAACTTAGTGACAGCCTCTCAGATTTCCTTCTTCTTAAAAATGAGAATTTGATGTCAGATTTAAGAAAACAAAAAAACTAGTTGGATGTGGCAAAATCATTACCACAAGTATACTTAAGTAAAAATAACAATAAATTTTTCTGTCCTTTTGTTTAAAAGTCATTACCATCGTTATAATTAGGCGTTGCGAAACCAAGCGTTTTCGTTAGTATGCTCAAAAATCAAATAAACCATTTCTATAAGCTGGACGGTAAGGAGCTATTCATAACAAATTACGATCGTGTAACGATATGTTCACCTAATTAATGAGTTTCATAATCTCCGAAACTTCAGCCGCATAGTTCGTTAACAAACAAACAAAATATGACGACATTGGATTCCTAGACGCTGAATGTCAACAACTGTAATCGATGATGTTCACATTTGATTTACAAATACTTATTTGACTTCATGTTAGAAACCCATTTCTAAAAAAGGGACAGTTAGGCAAATATGTTTTAAACATTATAGTTGGTGAGAATATTTAATTTATCAAGCTAATGAAAAACAAAAATTCACCTGATTTGTAGCTAGATCTATAACTTTTAGTGCAATATCCTGTTCACGCCAAAGACCTCGATAAACTTTTCCAAATGCTCCTGAACCAATAAACTGTAACAACAGAAGTGAATAATACGAGTACAGTTAATTAACTAAAATAATTTTATTTAATGGAAGAAAAAACTCCAACGCATTTATATGTTAAGAAAACTAGTATGTGGCATGCTTAAATAGAAAAATCATACTAACCAGTAAAGAAGCCATTTTAATCATTAAACGCCGTTAGATAAAATGCCGTTAAACTCTAAATCACTGTTTATCATAGCCAAACAATAACAAAACTAAGCTTGAGAAGACTAAGAGGAAGAAAATAATTGTGTATGTGACAAACTAAATGGAATTCATAACTTTTAGCCAAAGCATTTACTTCTTTTAACCACAATAAATATTATCAAAGTAAATAGTGTGCTCCATTAGAGCATTCGATAAGTTTTTAAAGAAACAGATATAAATTTTATGCATTTCATCACCATATTTTAAACTTTGAAGAATATTACCCTACAAGATTTTCAGCTTATTATCCACTTAAAGACGTCTAATCACCTTTATTACCTTTCTTTACACTACATGAGGAGGCCAAACCACAACAGTTACGTTAGAAGAAAGAAGAAAACAAATGAAAACTGGGTAATTCTTAAAAGCAGAGTTTAGCTACAACACAAGCATTCTATATACCCGATATACGTAAACGACAGACAAACTTTAAATCTCAGTGAAAAAGTATAAATTACGTTGTGAAAGGCTTCAGGCAGTTAAATAATGCTACACTATTACTCTTGGAAATCTAAATATGAGGACCGCCCATGGGTGAACTCAAGGAAGCTCTAAGAAGCTCAGAAAGAGCCGAAGACATTCCCTCCAATCATCTTTCGGAATAGCATTCCAGAATCTCGACGTGTAGCTTCCCTATTGGACAAAAACTAAAAACCACTGAATGCAGATTGGATGATTATAATGATGATTTCACTTTTACTAAAAACTATAAATACCTGAGGGTTTTGTACTATATTTAACAGTGTTGGAATAACATTCCCTCTCACTCGTCCTCTGTCTTCTCATTTTGCGACTTGGAAGGTTCTAGTGTTTGAGTGCTCAAGTAGTACGTGTTGTATCAAGAATCTAAGCTCCAGATATAACACTAAACGATCATATCCCATTAATTATCACTACAGATAGCTTGATCAGTGTTGGAAATTGAGCACACATACCATTTCCCCAGTAGTTAACTTATAAAATTAAACCAACATAATAAAATGCTTCCAAGATTTGACTTGAATATGCATTCCATCACACTATACAGATTTCGGCAGCAACATTTTGCTCTATTTTACTCTATGGTTGTGAAACGTGATGAGGTGAATAACTAATACATTTACTACACAGTTATATTTATTTATTTATTTTAACACATAAGTATAGGTACAGGGAGGCACCAAATACATATGCGCCACACGAATCTCAATTGATAAGTGTGAGGGCTGTGATACTACCCGGGTGCCCAAACCGAAGCAGGTGGTTTTCTTAGGGGGCCACACCCCGAGCCTTCGACCTGGACGTCTGACCCACAAGGCAGTGGAGCATCGTGAGGAGATGCAGTCCCATGGTAGCCGGTGACCAACGATTGGTTCATACGCCATTTGTTCCTTCAGGATACTGGAGCCCATGTGCACCATTGGTTTGGGGTCCGGTTAAAGCGCCAGACATTCGCTTTTCGTCCTCTCATTTTTGTAAACAACACCCCCGCCACGAGAAGGCAGTGAGTAGGACTTCCCTGGCAGAGGCTATATACGCATGGCCATGTGAGAGCATTTCGAGAGGGAGAGCGAACTCTCCCCACTCTCGGCCGTACCAGGGCATTTGGGGGCTACTACACAGTTAAGTATTTTATATTGTTTAGATCAAGTTACAACAACACGATGCAATTTCATACTGCGTACGTTAAATTTAAGTTCTCGCTTGTTTCCCATAGAAGTATTGAACTTATTGGGATTAGTAGTATTTCGTTAGACCATTTAGAATTCGCATTTGATCTTCAAATGTAGGTATTTGTACGTCACTAATATTTGGTTCTTTTTGAAGCATCGATCTCGCATTATGGGACAATCTATTGAGCGTTGTTAAGGTTGGACGCAGGGTACTAATTAAAAATAGTAGACCGATTGATGAGGTTGCAAATGGTCATCAGCTTAACTGGTTATCACGACATCCAATGTTGGCAAGACTAAGGATAAGTTAGCTCGTAAAGTCATCGACTGTTGACTTGAGACATTTTGGATAGTTGAGACTTTATGATTGGAGTTCAGAAAATTATCGTGATCAAAGTTTGAAGATACTGCGTAACACGAATCAAAATCGGGCACAGTGGCACATATTAGATTATGAGTTTCAGAATTATTTTATTTAATACATTAATTTACTTTTTTCGAACCATATGACCTGTTTAATATTTTCTACCATCACTGATATTAATACTACTAAAAACATTGAGTGACACCTTTATCTCACTTTGCTGATGTAATGGGAAATGAAACCGACACATTTATACCAGGTTTTACTTTTACTATGACCAACTGGCTAAAATTTCTCTAAGCAAATAAATATTACCTGAATACTCTTAGACAACCTTTTTATTTTACTTTGCAATAAAACGCACCTGTTTTTGCACTAACTCAGTAGCAGGAATCGTTCTAACATGACCGTGTCTAAGGATTACGTCACTGTCGGGTGATTTTTTGTCGAGAGATATTTCTTCCTTTGCTTTTACAGTTATAATTTGGTCCGTATTGTTACCTATCCCAAATGTGACATCATTCAATTTATTTGGTTCAAAAGAATTAGCTTTCATTTCATCCACTCCTGAAGATTCACTGTTTGCAATGTCATCTGGATTTAAAACATATCCACTAGGAAACACACCAACATAACCTGTTTTTGGTTCTTGGCCAACCCACCATCCTTCAGCTCCAGAATGTCGACAGTCTTTGGACAAAATCTGTAGTAGATCAAAAAGATTCAGAAACCAGAACCAATGAAATGCAGAGAGTATCAACTCACGAATTGATTTCCTAGAAATGACCAACTCGAAAACTTTAGTAACACATGATTTTAAAATCTCAAATAACAATGTTGTAGACAGCAGAACGAAAAGTGATATGAAAGCCGTAAAAACTAAAATGTTATTTTATAAGCAAACACTAGATTGGATCATAACAAGAAATAGCCAGAATTCTTCGTAAATTAAAACGTAACTTCTTAACTGAATGAAATCGAAGTTGACTGCTTTATTAAATACACTTTATCTTTTAGTAAAAACAATCCCTGTCTACTTATCTATTGATCACACGACCATTTCTTATGTTATTTATTTACAGTATTATCATTTCAGTTGTGTGGTGAAAACTTTCACTAACCCGTAGTATCGAATTTTTCGTTAGGAATATAATACAAAACAGAACTTAAGCTGTTGAGGTTTAATATATTGATATCTTACTTGAATAAAATAGGTTTCCGAGACAGACGATTTTGTGGTAGAAGTGACAGAAATAACAAAATAAAAAGCTGATCTCCAGAAAATGATTACGACTAAACAAGATAGCACAAAAAGATTTTGAACTGAAAATCATTAAGTGAAACATTCTTCTCGTTCATGCGTATATCAGAAGAAAATTTCACCAAGTGTTTCGAAAAGCCAAGTTATAACCTGTTTTAAGACTGAAGAACATGATTAACTTTAGGCTTTAGAAAGTACATCTATTTTTCACAGCCATAGAAGCAGTGACTGGAATGTACATACATTAGTTTATACATGGGGATTGATTTATGTTAAAAATAGAGTTAAGATTCTGTGCTTTGAAGATATCAGAAATCATTCTATAGTATATGCCACTTCTTTATATTCACTGAAACCTCTCCACTACAAAGTGGAGAAGACTGATTACATAAATTTCAGGATGACAGAGTTTAAACTCGTGTCCACAGCTACATTACTCCCTTGAAAGTTATTAAGGAGGGTAACTTGAACTTTTCTTCGATTACTTAATTTACGTATACCAATATCCAGTTACTGGTGCCCTTCCAGTTTATCTCCCTGATAAAACAAAATATCGGCTGACCACTACCAACCATTAATGTCATTCAGATTTTAGAACTATTTTTATCAAACCCATGGAGAATCGATACTTTAGAATACATTATTGCCAATTCGGTATGAAACAAACAAGGTGAGTCTGGATGACATAACAAGAATAATAAGCAACCAATGGATAAGGTACAAAGTACAACAAAATACTTAACTAGATCATCCATAGAAACAAGAATCCTAAACTTCTACAGGAAGATACAGGTTGATATCAATAACTAGGAAACCTGTGGCAAATAATTGTATCAAACTAATTCTACCCCAGTAATCATATACCACACCACTTGGAAACTCAGGGTAGATAGTGAATCCATTCGTCTTATTCTGTTTAGATTTGCAATTTAGTCAAGTTCTTACTATGTTTCCCCAGTTTAGTAGAGAATGTATCAACTGAATTCGTAAGCATTGACTGTTAGGTACATTTTTAAAACCATAAACAAATACCTTAATTTTTTGACCTGTTCGTAGATTTATTTCATCTGAATGCTGAGGCATGTACGAATAAATTGCAGTAACGTATTCAGAAGAAGCTTCGCAATGTTTACCAGAGTAAATTGGATCCATTTTACTACTGGCTAATGTATTGTTTTCTGTGGCGCTCTCCTGATAAGAAATAGGTTTATCTTCTACCATAGTTATGTACATGAAAATTCAAAGAATATATTGAAAGACGTAGACTAGTAAATCACATACAATGCACTCTTGTTTATTCAGTAAGTAACGCGGATAAATTAAGAATAAAGGTCAAAATCCCGGTTACTGGTCAAAAGAATCGAAACATACGAATCTAAAGATAAAGGACAAAGAGAATTAATATGTAGATGAATCCCTTGATAATTTGAATTTGTTATTGTTTTTAAATCATATCACATTCCCATTTTAGGAGTAATAATATCCATCTAATATTTGTTGGTAATCGGCATCTAGCAGACACTTTTGCCTTTATACTGATACAAATAACTACTAACTATAGGTTTGATGAACATGGAAATATCATTTAAATTCTTGTTAACTGAAATTGTTAAAGAAACGAATTTTACTGAATCCCTTAAAAAGCTTAAAAACAAGTTATACTTTGTCCCTACTAAACGCGTCCATTTAATAATAAGCAGCGGAGTGACAGAGTACATTGATTACTTTTGTTTACTTGGGTATCCAACATGATGAGTTATTGCTTTACAAAATACTTTCGTCGAGAAGAAAACATCATTTATCTTGACCATTTTGCAGAACCCATACCATAATTGAAACATCTAATGTCTGTTAGGACGTAAAGATATCATACAACTGCTTATTACCCTATACTAATATAAGGTTACGACATATGGTCAATGGAACTAAACGGTATAACTCAGAATAAATACGGACACAAGGCTGGTGATACTAGGTGGCTTTCCAAACTACAAATGCGCGCCATAACAAAGTTATAAGTATTCGGAAAATATTTTTGTACATGATAGGAACACTGAGTAAGTAATGTCAAGATTAAGTTCAACGTTTCAAGCAGAATAGATCTGCAAGTTAAATTTTTAAATGTGCACCCACTGACGATTGTGTATTGGTTAGAAGAAAGAGTAATGAGTTCAGTACTTAGCATTTATCTCTGAAGTCAATGACTTTTGGCCTGGACTATATACGGGATTGATGACTAACAGGAATCTGTGAGATGTTAGACATACGTTGTTTAACAAATAAGGCGATATGGACTGAAATCGGTCATAACGGTAGAGATACAGCTGCTTCCTGTGAGGCTTGAATAATAAAATTCAATATTTAGTTTGTCCGAGTTGCAGTGGGAACATAAAGATTACAGTAGCTTAGTTGATCAAATACAACGTAGAATCCAGAACATGTGTACATCAGTTAAAGTTTTCGTAGAGAAACGAAACTCTCACGTAAAATCTGGCAGCAGTAGAGGCTGTAACAAAACTAATAGTTATAGAAAAGATTAGGTATCGGGGTTGAGATTCAGGATCATATACAATTTCTAAAACGATAGAAATTTTATGAGGAATCTAGAAACTTTAGATATAAGGGCAGACAATGGTGAATGCACCTGTGCCATTATGAACGATTTAGAGTAATGTCGTTCAAAGTCTAACCACTGGTTACCATTATCAGGCGGACCCTAACCACTTAACTTGCACCTACCTACATGGTTCAGTCCAACAGCTAGTGTCTTCATGGACTGGTGCCATACCTTGGTTTGGCCTCCCCTATCTACTTCCCGACCTACTACACTAACCATCATCGCGCGTCAACGTGGTCGGTAAACCACTATACGTAGATCATGTTCCAATCATCTAAGTTGACGATAGCCCCCAAATGCCCTGGTATGGCCGAGAGCGAGGAGGGTTCGCCCTCCCTCTCGAAATACTCTCACACGGCCACGCGTATACAGCCTCTGCCAGGGAAGTCCTACTCACTGCCTTCTCGTGGCGAGGGTGTTGTTTACGAAAATGAGAGGACGAAAAGCGAATGTCCGGCGCTATAACCGGATCCCAATTCTATGGTGCACCAGTATCCTGCGGGAACAAATGGCGTATGAACCAACTTTTGGTCACCGGCTTCCATGGGACTGCATCTCCTCACGATGCTCCACTGCCTTGTGGACTAGACCTTTAGGTCAAAGGCTCGGGGTGTGGCCCCCTAAGAAAACCACCTGCTTCGGTTTGGGCACCCGGGCAGTATCTCAGCCCACACACTAAAACTATGATGAACTATCTGCTTATAGAAAATATTCGTTTCTCTCCGACTAACATTGAAATGACTGGTATTATTATTATTATTATTTACTACGTCATTTATTCACTATCTCCTATTCCTACTTTTTGTATCCGTTTCGACTCAGACAGCAGCTCGCCTATGGTGAAAATTCAGCTTTATCTAAACGTTCTCGAGTCACTGCCTGGTTGAAAATTGTATGTTACTACCGAATATGAGTACTGAAGCAGTTTTTCTGAAACCACGTGCACCATTCAAACTGGCTGCCTTAAACGTTCGCACACTTATGCAGGTCGGACAACAGATAGGGCTGGCTATGTCTTTGGAAAGTCTTAATATTGATGTGTGTTGTCTATCCGAGACCCGTATTCAAGACTCTGGTGAAGTACTACAAGTTCGCTCTCCATCTGTCACTTCAAAAAGCTTGTTTTATGTGCGTTTATCCGGGGACCCTGTGGCATCTTTGTCTGGTCTTCCTGGCGTTGATGTCGCACTAAGCGCAAGAGCTGAGGCAGCACTAGTCGACTGGATCCCCATTAACAGTCGGTTATGTGCTGTTAGATTAGAAAGTTCCATCAAAGTGAGAAGAAATAGGCGTGAGAAACGATGTCTTTTCGTCATCTCCGCCTATGCCCCGACAGATTGCAGCCCGGATACAATCAAGGACGAGTTCTACCACCAGTTAACTGTTCTTCTCCAGAAAGTGCGTTCGACAGATATTGTAGTACTAGCTGGAGACTTGAATGCTCAGGTCGGGCGTCTAGGCACAGAAGAGAGTTGTTTAGGTGGCCGATGGGGACTCGTTGGTAGCAGGACAGATAACGGGGAACGTCTACTGCAACTATGCACAGACCACAACCTGTTTCTGGCTAGCACTAACTTTCGGCACAGTCATCGCCGATGTGCCACCTGGCGCCCTCTCTCTGCATCTCAAGCCTGGACTCAGATTGATCACATCGCGATCAGCTACCGCTGGCGCGTTGTGTACAAGACTGCCGCTCCTTTTGGAGTACCTATCTGGAATCTGATCATGCTCTGGTCTGCGCCAATCTTACCTTACTTTTCAGTGGACAACGAAGTGACCGCCACCAAAGGATTGATGTTAGCAAGCTGGCTGCAACTTCTGTTGCTAGTAAGTACCGAACCGAGCTAGCTTCTAGGCTAGCTACCACTCCACCGAAAAGTATAGATGAGCATTGGTTGCAATTGCATGACGCCATGAAAATGGCGGGTCAAGTCAGTTGTGGGTTTGCGAAACGTCCCGCTTACAAGCACTGGGTTTCTTCTGGTTCCTTACAACTGATTGAAGCCCGTCGGTCTACTCCGGGTGACCGTGAGTTTGACCACAGACGAAGGATGTTACGTAATGAAATCGGGCAAAGCTTGCGTAAGGACCAAGAAGCCTGGTGGTCGGAGCGTGCCAGTGAGTTGGAAGCAGCAGCTGCATCTGGTAATTACCGGAAGCTCTTCCAACTCATCCGAGCCACTGGCAGCAAGAAGTCTGGTGTGAGCGAAACAATCTGCGAGGATGACGGAACGCCAATCACTAACATCCATCGACGTCTTGGACGATGGGCAGAATTCTTTGAAGGGCAGTTCAACTGGCCTGCTGCTCCGGCAACATCGGTCAGACTGTCCTGCCCTCCATGTCCGGTGACGACTGATCCACGAAATGAGGCGGAAGTCCGCAAGGAACTCCAACTCTTGAAACGTTACAAATCACCGGGCCCAGACGACTTACCTCCGGCTCTTTTTAAAGATGGTGGTGACTTTTTGACTAAGGGACTGACGACGTTGTTTACAAAGATCTGGGAAGTAGAGAATGTACCAACGTCATGGAATGAGTCGATAGTTGTCCCTATCTTTATAAAGGGTTCTCGTTGTTCCTGTAACAACTATCGGGGGATAAGTCTACTTCCGATTGCGTCCAAGCTATTGGCTTCCGTCATACTTCGTAGGTTGTTCAGAACCCGAGAAGGATTGACTCGCGAGGAGCATGCTGGGTTTCGTTCTGGTCGAGGATGTATTGATCATATCTTCACCCTCCGCCAAGTGTTAGAACACCGCCATACTTATCAAAGGCCAACAATCGTAGTGTTTCTTGATATCAGGGCTGCCTTCGATTCGTTGGACAGAACTGTTCTCTGGGATTGTCTATTGAAGAAGGGTGTGCCTGAGAAGTTTATTAACATCCTAAAAGCCCTATACACAAACACCTCAGGCAGAGTGAGGGCATACAATCACCTTTCTCCACTATTCCATTCGAGCAGTGGGGTCAGGCAGGGTTGCCCAATCTCACCATTCCTCTTCAACTTTGCCATCGATGACATTCTGGAAACAGCTCTGACAGATGTAAGTAATGGTGGTGTGGATCTGTTGCCTGGAGAAAGACTTCTCGACCTTGAGTATGCGGATGATATTGTCTTACTGTGCGAGAATGCCCAAGCCATGCAATCCGCACTTAATCAGTTGGCAATCAATGTCCGTAGGTATGGTATGTGCTTCGCACCTTCGAATTGCAAAGTACTCCTACAAGACTGGCAGGATTCTAATCCTGTACTCACTCTGGATGGTGAGCATATAGAAGTAGTCGAGAAGTTCGTGTATCTAGGTAGCTGCATAAGTGCTGGTGTGAGTGAGTGATGAGATCAATGCACGTATAGTGAAAGCCAGAGCGGCTTATGCCAATCTGGGCCATCTTTGGCGCCTTCGTGATGTTAGTCTGGCTGTAAAAGGTCGGATCTACAACGCGACGGTGAGAGCAGTTTTGCTCTATGCTTGTGAAACCTGGCCTCTCCGAGTTGAGGATGTTAGACGACTCTCTGTGTTCGATCATCGTTGTCTCCGAAGGATTGCTGGCATCCAGTGGCAACACCATGTCAGTAATGCAGAGGTTCGACATCGTGTGTTCGGGCACAGAGACGATAATTCCATTAGTGTCACCATCTTGAAACACCGACTTCGGTGGCTTGGACATGTTCTACGAATGTCGTCCCAGAGAATTCCTCGTCGTGCATTATTTGCCGACTCTGGGACTGGTTGGAAAAAGCGGAGAGGTGGTCA